TTCTCAATTGCTATATGATATTGTAAATTATCTCTAATATTAAATGGAATAATAAGGACAATAATAATTTACATTTTACTAAGAATCTTAGAATTAGACATACTTATAATCAAATTTTTCGACTACTGAAATATATCTCGACTTCACTACTAATTTACAATTACATTATTAAATATAACATTACAATATTTTTATAATATGGATTATATAGTTTGATATGCTTGAAAGCAGATGTTTTTTATTAATTTTGATATTTCAAATATTAAGAACTCTCTATAGGATCTATAAAAATGAATTGATGTGTTTGTTCTATCTCCAAAATAATAAATCATTCTCATAAATTATTTAATTAATTTATGTTATTGGCATTCAAATCAAAAATTTTGATAACGCCCATTCAAGATAATTTTGAATTATGTAAGAGGAAATAGGTATAAATAAAATACTTATTAAACTATGCAAACCAAGTCCTTTCTACCTTTTGGATTTCTCTTGCAAGCTGATAGAAAAAAAATCAAAATTTTTTCCATAATTCATTAGCACTTATGAAAAGTAACCTAAACAAAACTACTAAAGATTAAGTATATATCGATTTTGTAAAAATTAAAAAGCGACTCTACTCTCTAATGATATGATAGCATATCAATCATATAGATTAAAAAATTATTAAAATAAATTCAAATATTTTGATTTTTTTCATTCCAATTTTTTAATATTCTAAATTACAGTTAATTTGAAGTCGAATTCCATGTCACCAATAATTCGCCGTTATTACTCATGGTTCCATAAGTTTTCGAGACTTCAAGTTTTCCAAATGTAATAACTTGTTCTAAATTGCATTCAATGAATAAGCCTTATTTGTTAGGATTAATAGAAATTTGAATCAAGTTTACACATCTCCCGTTTTTTAGAACCAAAAGATTCAGCGGCTTGATGTGTTAAGCTGGAAAATAATAGTCACATCCTTGACCTCCTCCTGAAACTGGAAATTCTTAATACTTCTCATAAATGCCTTTCCTTGTGGCTTTGTAAATATGAAGATGAGTTGATGATTCTTAAAGTACCATAAACAATTCATTTGTAATGAATGTTATTCTGATACCTCCTACATCTACTTAAATCTTCTGACATATTTATAATTAGCCATTGGATGTAAATTTCATTATTATTATTATTTTGTCTCTTCCGCTAGATACTAATTGTTTTTTATCTTCACTTATAGATAATCCTAAAACTATATCAGTATGCTCAAATATGGTTTGTGAACACGACCAAAAATTTTTCATTTTTTGATATTTCCACACTTTAATAGTTTTATCGCAACTTCCAGTGATAAAACTTTCATCATTTTGTAAAATTAAACAGTTCACATAAGAAGCATGCCCTAACAAAATAAATTAAGCACTCCATGATTTTTGTTGAATCTGATTTTCCTCTAATTTTTTCGGCGTCCATATAATGATTCTTCCATCAAATGAACCAGAGATAAATTAATCATGATTCTCAGTTTTTGACATAAAATTTAATGTGCTTACTAAGTTTGTGTGTATTCCTTCCAGAATTTGTAGTTAAATATATTCTGGTTTGTTTTCTAAGAATGCATAATTTGATTTGTTCTAAATTTATGGTAATTGGATTATTTTGATAGCTGAACACATTGCAACTATACAAAGTGTGTTAATATTATTTATGGCAATAGCATAACATGTCTCTAATTATTTTATAGACCAATTTGGCAACAGAATATACTCAAACACTTTTTTATAATCCTTTATGGTTTTTGTTGTTTTTCTAAAGTTTAATTGGTTTTTTTTGACTTTTTTAGATATTTTGGAAATTTATTCAGAATGCATTTATAATGTTCTTTATTATATTTTTATATAACATAGATAGTTATCATAAACAATTTAATTACATAGATATATAATACTTTTGAATGAAATTTCTATATTCATAAATTTAATTACGCTTTAGAAATTCAGGAATTGCTATTTTATTAAATTAAAATAGACATCAAAATTTACCGTCTTGATTCTCAGGGCAGTTTAACTTTTATAATAGTTATAGATTTGTCTTACCCAATTCTTAATACAATTATTACAAATTAGAGTATTCATTTTCTAAGTTCGATAAATTTAGAATTAACTTTAATTAGCTTTGTGAATCACAATAATATTAATTGCTTTTGATTTTGAGAATATATTGGGGGAATGTTGGTAGTATTGACCCATATCTTGTAATACAAGGAACTATTAAAGCCAATTAAATAATGTGCATTCTTCATTTATTTAAACAGAATTTAGTACATTTTGCTTTATAATCCTTTTGAAATAGATTATCTATCAATAAAGTCTTAGGTCTACTATATCATTCTGTAAGTAATAAGAGACATGTAAATACAAGAATTTACTTCATTTCTTTATATAAAATATATATAAAAATGATCTTATAATTAATTTTTATAATAGAATGAAGAAATATGTTTGGATTCAATTTATATTAGTTGTTTCCTTTATTGCCAGTCAAGGATAAATTTGTAAAGTATAATGATATCTAAATTAGCTAAAATAAAATTTTCAAAATCTTTTACAAATAGAGATGTCAGGAACCTATTACTTATTCCTTGAAGACTACTTTGTGGGTGACGGGCTAATGTATAGTTTAAATGATAATGATTAATACTTTTAAGTCAATCCCCCCTTAATTTAAGGGACTATTTATGGAGAACCCATAAGTTTGATACCAAAACCCAAAACTGTGCCTTAATAAAAAGAATTCTTATTGTTGCTGAAAGTCAATGAAGGGGATTTAGACACCTATGAAATTCATAGTCTAAATAAATTTTCTAAAAATAAGAGGATATCTGCAAGTGAATTTATTGTCAGGTTTAATTTTGATCGCTGCAATTAAATGAATAGCTTTGATATTTTTATTATCATTACATGCTTAGATTTTGAAGGGTAATAATTAATTTACATGATATTTGATTCGGATTATCAACTGATTAACACCTTTAAATTTGATATAAAGTATGCAGAACAAAAGTCTAAAATAATGTCAAAATCAGCTGGAAAATACTTATGCACATTGATAAACAATGGTTAAGAAAAAGGCAATGAATACGTCTCAAATTATTCACATCTTCTAATTTTTTAGTTAGAGACATAAAATCTGGCTGATTCAAAAACAACAATAAATGTTGTTTTATTAAACTAAATTCCAACTTCAACCGATTTTATCTCAAATTTTGATATTGTAAAAGAAGGATATCGTAAATATTATTTTTACTTTAGTTTTTATTTCTTTTTTTAATTTGGGAGTTTAAATCCATAAACTAAATGAGTAAAAGTCGTATTAATTAGATATTTCAATAAAAAAGAGAATTCTGGGTATAAGAGCTCAGAAAATATCATATGGTTTTCATGAATATAATATTGTCTATTGGGATGAATAGAATTTATCGAACTTTTTGTATGAGCCAATTTAGAATAAAATTGTAAATAGTTAAAATTATTAAGGTTTCATGGGAGAAAAAAATATAAACTAATTAAATAAATTTATCACTAAATTTTGTTACTAGTGTCTTTATTAATGACAAGTATATAGTTGTATCAAATACTTATGGTACAAGTATTTACCCAACCATGATAAATGATGTTAATGAAGGTAGGTTGTTGTACTATTACCCATCAAACTCAGCAATAAGTTACTTCATAAATATTATCGACTATTTGATTTCTATTGAGGAAGGATCATTAGTTTTATACATGATTAATGATCCATAAATTAAAATACAAATTTCAGGACTCTCAAAAACTATCTAGTCCTTTTAAATTAGGGCAATAGCTAATTAATTTGACAAACCTCGAGTTGAATGTCCTGTTCTTAATTTATATTTTGAGGTGTAATAGCTATTCATCAGTATATCTTAACTTTAAACTTACTATGATTACCCTTCTTAAGTTTGGAAAACTACTTATTTGAGTGGAGTTTATTCTGAGGCTGGATAGTCTAAACAATTCATTAAAATTAAAATCGATGAAGATAAAAAATAGGTAATTAAATAGAGCTAACTTATCATAAAAGACATATTGGAAATTCAACCCTAAATCTCTTAATAGGATTAAGTAGAGATTGAATTTGATAAACTTCATACAGAGTATACTACTCCTTGGAAGTCATACTAGTGTAGTGAGGTGGTTTACATGAAATAATAATAGCTCTATCAATATCAAACAGAATTTAAATTTAAAGAGAAATTTTATTTGATAACCTAATCATATTATAAGTTAGAGTTGAAGGAATGTGGTGTTAATGATCCCTAAAATTGTGAACATCTCCTTACTCAGAATTTAGAAATCTCAAATATAATCGAAATTTTTGGATTTAACATTCATGATGATTATGCTTATTTAGCTATTTCTTAGATATTAATATGGAATTTTTATGAAAATATAAACTTCTACCAAGTTAGGACTTCAAATATATAAATATTTCGTTTTAAATTGAATGAGAAGAATAAGACTGTTAAAAAATATAAAATTTCCCATATGCTACATCAAATTAAGAAGATTGATATTATAGATGATAGAATATACATGCTTTACAAATTCAAGGAACAGTCTTATATTTTTAGTTCTAAAATTACTGAAATTAATCCAACTTTGGATATCCTTCAATTGAGTCACAAAGTTAACCCTAGTATGGACTATGCATTTAATATAGAATTTTATGGATACTTTTTCTATTTTTTTACAAATGAGGTAATAACATAAAATGATCAAGTGGTTAGCATCATTGATTGTTTGAACGTAGTTAATATTGAGGATGGAAAATTTGAAATAATAAATACAATTAAATATCATGAAAGTGGTACATTTTCAAAAAACTTGTACTCTCTTACCATTTCCTTAACAAAAAGTGGAGCTTATATTTGTCAATATGCCGATGTTAAGACTACTTTTCTTACAAGATCAAAATTTTTAACTATGGCTTTTACTTAATACAAGGATAAACATTATGAAAAATTTAGATCAGAAAACATAGCTATCCTTCTTTAGTATGCAAGGTAAGAAAATAACCCTAGAATAAAAAGAAGTTCTAGTGAAAAATACTTTTATCAAGAAGTCGTATATCTTGATCAAAATGTTGAAATAATTGTTTACAATATGAGATCTACAAAGCTAAATCATGTTCATTATCAATTAAAAGGAACTTTTCTAGATGTTTAGAGACATTATATTTCTTCATTGTCACAGGATATTTTTGCTGTTCACATAAATGTAGATAAATTTTAGAAGTTGAATGGTTTATCAATTTAATTTATAAAACATGAGCCCTTAATTACAATAACTTACAAAGGTGACATTAATAAATAATAAATTTAACAATAATAAAACCCTCTCACAATTCCATTTACTTTACCTTCAGAAAATTTAAGTTATGATGAATATCCTGTATTTTAATTAATAATATACAATGAGAAGATAAAGTAAGAAAACAGTTAATAATAAAACAATTAATAATAATACAATTAATAATAAAACAATCAATAATAATACAATTAATAATAATACAATTCATAGGTTTCGATCGATGAAATTTTATAAAGAGTGTTTGATTAAATATTATAATAATCTGAAGGAATTTATATTGACACAATTTGAATTTATTCAAAGATACATAATTTATTTTTAATTTATAGTAATATTTTTATTCTTAATTATCAAAATAATTTAAAGATCTTCATTGATATTATATTTCATAAATTTAATATTTGTTCTGCCTACTTCCCCAAAATACTAAATATTCTCCGTTGTTTGTTACAGTCCCATAACTATCTTAATTTTAGTAATCCAATTATTCAATTATTGAAAATTTTCCTTTTTCTTCTACTTTTAGTATGCAAATATGAAATATATGCCTTAAGCATAAAAGATTCTTATGTTTATTATAAATGATAGGGAAAAATGGCCAATTTGATAAAGCTGAATTATCTTTCTCGAATTCAACTCTCTTCTCTATATTTTCTTGGTATACCCCATCAGCGCTTTCAAAAACACAAACATAATTGCTCTTATAAGCTAAACAGATGAATTAATTTTCGTTTAAGAATTTAACATGCTTTCCTTATTCTTATTAAGAATTAGTAACAACCTGCTAAAAGTTCCACATATTATTTTCTCCTTTCCTCCAAATTATAATTGTCCCATCAGATCCACAAGAAATTAATTCTTACCCTGATTCATTTAAACTCAATGAAACAACGAAGGAAGTATGCTTCACTAAGGAATAAAGAATTTATAATTTGTTTTGATTGAAGTCTACCATCCATACTTTAATTGATTAATCAATACTGCCTGAAATTAATTAATCCTCTTTTTCTGTTAAAATCAAACAATATATCGGATCTTTATGTTCCTCTGCTGCTTAGAAACTTTGCCATAGATTGGTATCCTATTTTTTCCATAATCTAATTGTATTATCGCTAGCTCAAGATAGGAAGCAGTTCTGTACTTTGCTATATCCGCCGCATAGAGTATCAGTTAATGTGATTTTTCCTTTTTCAAAATTCCACATTTTGATGTCATTATTACTAGTTGAAATCATTATCTTTCCTGTTGGGTCAAACGCGATAGCTTTGCACTTCTCTTGTTATTCCGTTGAATCATCAATGAGTACTAATTGAGCTGGGCCTGATTAATTTATTTAAATAAGTTCGTCTGATTCATTTATTTAATTCAAAATTTCTTAACACTTTTGATATTGTGGGTATTATTGAAATGATCCTAAATAATACTTAAATTTATTGCCCCAAGGATTGTTTATATTTTTAATCTAATTAGTTAAATTCATCTTTTCATTCTGTATTAATTCTTATTTCAATATTATTGAGTCTAACTCCTTAAAGAAGCTATACTCTTTTTGGCTTTAATGTGTGGATTATAAATTCTAAATCCAATCCTTTGTATTTCCTATTAATTGATCCAATAATTAAATAAGTTATGACTTCAAAGCAATTATATGTGTATATAATGATTCAACGTGTCTGAGATCTACATCAATCTTGTTGTCCAAGAACTCCTAAAAATTCTTTCAATTTCCCTCCATCATTTGAACAACTCTCTTAAATCCAACTACATTTGAATACGGTTCCATGTAATCAATACATTGATTACACAAGAGTCTTTAATTTAACTCTAACTAAGAATCCAGATTAACCATCATTACAGGCTATTTATGAAGGCTACATAAAAAGATCTTTTCATTTTCTATCATTTTTAGTTTTGACATTTAATAAATTGTATTTTAGACTCTATTGAAAATATTATATGAAGAAATTCAATAGAATCCAATAGTTCGTTATAAAATATATTAGAAGGTGATAATAAAATCAATTGGGATTGTTTTAAGAATAAAACTTTACTTATTTCTTCTAGAGTTATACCCATTTTTGTATCAAAATATTCATTCCTTATGAATACTTTCTTTCAATTAGATTTACACTGTAATAGGTAAAGAACGGTTTAATACTTCAATTATAGTAGTTTTATTTAAAATTAACAATTCATCAACTTATACCATATAGTATTTTTTATATAATTAAATCTCATTACAATTTACAAGCTTTATTCATAATATGAAAATTTGTTCAATATTTAAATTTTTCATAATAATAAAATGTTTCAATCACTTTTTAAATGATTTTCTTCGATTAATTATTGATATTATTCATATAAATTATAAGGGCCATTGTCCTTAATATTCAATTTTCATTGTATATTATTATANCTTTGCCATAGATTGGTATCCTATTTTTTCCATAATCTAATTGTATTATCGCTAGCTCAAGATAGGAAGCAGTTCTGTACTTTGCTATATCCGCCGCATAGAGTATCAGTTAATGTGATTTTTCCTTTTTCAAAATTCCACATTTTGATGTCATTATTACTAGTTGAAATCATTATCTTTCCTGTTGGGTCAAACGCGATAGCTTTGCACTTCTCTTGTTATTCCGTTGAATCATCAATGAGTACTAATTGAGCTGGGCCTGATTAATTTATTTAAATAAGTTCGTCTGATTCATTTATTTAATTCAAAATTTCTTAACACTTTTGATATTGTGGGTATTATTGAAATGATCCTAAATAATACTTAAATTTATTGCCCCAAGGATTGTTTATATTTTTAATCTAATTAGTTAAATTCATCTTTTCATTCTGTATTAATTCTTATTTCAATATTATTGAGTCTAACTCCTTAAAGAAGCTATACTCTTTTTGGCTTTAATGTGTGGATTATAAATTCTAAATCCAATCCTTTGTATTTCCTATTAATTGATCCAATAATTAAATAAGTTATGACTTCAAAGCAATTATATGTGTATATAATGATTCAACGTGTCTGAGATCTACATCAATCTTGTTGTCCAAGAACTCCTAAAAATTCTTTCAATTTCCCTCCATCATTTGAACAACTCTCTTAAATCCAACTACATTTGAATACGGTTCCATGTAATCAATACATTGATTACACAAGAGTCTTTAATTTAACTCTAACTAAGAATCCAGATTAACCATCATTACAGGCTATTTATGAAGGCTACATAAAAAGATCTTTTCATTTTCTATCATTTTTAGTTTTGACATTTAATAAATTGTATTTTAGACTCTATTGAAAATATTATATGAAGAAATTCAATAGAATCCAATAGTTCGTTATAAAATATATTAGAAGGTGATAATAAAATCAATTGGGATTGTTTTAAGAATAAAACTTTACTTATTTCTTCTAGAGTTATACCCATTTTTGTATCAAAATATTCATTCCTTATGAATACTTTCTTTCAATTAGATTTACACTGTAATAGGTAAAGAACGGTTTAATACTTCAATTATAGTAGTTTTATTTAAAATTAACAATTCATCAACTTATACCATATAGTATTTTTTATATAATTAAATCTCATTACAATTTACAAGCTTTATTCATAATATGAAAATTTGTTCAATATTTAAATTTTTCATAATAATAAAATGTTTCAATCACTTTTTAAATGATTTTCTTCGATTAATTATTGATATTATTCATATAAATTATAAGGGCCATTGTCCTTAATATTCAATTTTCATTGTATATTATTATATAAAATGGCTTTATAACACTTATATATCTTTGCTTTTGTTGTAAATTGATTTTTGTCATGTAAGCATATTTCTAGAATTTAACAATTTCTAAACTTTCTGAACCAGTAAATAATTCAAGTTAATAAAATATATGCTTTGATAAATTCTTCAAGAATAATGAGAGATTTCTTTTTATTACCTTTTCGAAGTGGGTTGCAAACAAACCATAAGGATAGCTATAACCGGATTTTAGAGCTAAAATAGAATAGATCTATTTACATGATAAAAAGATGGTTGCAAAATCAAATGATCCACTTTTTGATTGCATGCATTGAAAAATGAATTCCTATTGCAACATTACTCGTCATTCTACTCTATTATTATTGTGGAAGTAATAATAATAGTAAATTAGAGAGTTGAGTTAAAAGTTATTGATACTTTTAATCTACAATTTAATATTATTCGAATATCAGTAATTTTACTCAGATAGAAGCCTATTATTAAAATAATCATCTTCAAATTTAACCTGAGATAAAACTCTAGAATGAATAGAAAATGAAGTTTCTCTTGAAATTAAATTTAAAGTAATTTGTAAATTAAATTTTAATTCTGAATTGTAACCAAATAGGTTTTGATCAAATATTTTAGAATATGTGTAAAATGGTTATTTTTCAAATTTTTCCTATTTTCAATCTAAATCACGTAAATTATGTTCTGTGAATTATGAATTTACTTGGATTAAAATTGTCTTATCTCAAAATTTTAGAAAATTACAATTAAGTGTCATTGATTTTATAAATTAAATAAATGAAATTGCTTATCTATCTGATATAGTTAATGATTTATTGGGGAGAGTCTCAACCTACTTGGAAAGTAATTTATGATAGCAAAAATTGGGAAAGTCTAGGTACCTAATAAGTAAAATAATCATGGCATTACTCTCATGTTTATGGTGGTCCATTTAGTTATTGTGGGGATGCAAGGTTATTTGGAGGATATTCTGTTTTTGGTAAATCTTCCTTAGTTTCTTCAAGTCTCACGCTTCCAACTCATATATCTGTAAAAATTACTTTTGACTTTTGGAAGTAATATAATTGATGTATTTAGAATTGATTCGTGGGATAGTGAGAGTTTCTTATACTTATTTGACAACTATGTGGCGTCTTAATCATTCGCAGGTTTCCAAGGTCTCGATATTTGTGGTATTACGGGGACTATTTATAGAGAATATGTAGAAACCATTACAACAACACTTTCACCTCATCTTTCTTCATCTCTTGTTTTGTTTATGACTTCAGATTTAAATTCATCGGCAGATGATGTATAATTTGTATAATCTTTAGGAATCATGGGGATTTAACAATTTTAAAATAGAAATTGAAGAATGTCCTGAAGGTTGTACGTTTTGCCAGGACTCTACAATTTCTTGCAATTAATGGATTAATTTTGCTTCATATTGGCCAAGCTCAAATGAATCTGATGTATGGTAGATTGATAACAATCAACCACTTGGTTATAGCAAATGCGCTAGTCTTGAGATTGCAGGGGGAATTGATAAACTATTTAAAGGGCAAAGCATATCAAATCTCATTTAAAATTTACCTACTCACTTTAAGGTTCATATAGTTGTCAAACTTTGGGTTATTGGCATATGGAATTAAGAAGCATTTTATTTAAATATCGATAATCAATCTAAGTATTCTACTCAAATCTATTCTTTGGACTCCAACTTTTAGTGTACTGAACACTAAGTAAAGATAATTAATATTGATGTAAATGCATATCATACATCTCAAGAAATAGATATAAAAATGAAATCAGTGAAAAATTTAGAAGAGAATGCATATTGGGGAGTTTCGTCTTTTAACTTGTATGTAGCTAAATGTTCAATTGGTTGTGAAGAATGCAATTGGGATGAAGCCTATAAATGTATTAGATGTATCAAAAAATGGGGATCCTTAAATAGTGAATGCATACCTGGTAGATAACGTTATATATCAACTAGCTCCTCCATTGGAATGTTCATTTGTTAGAATTAATGATATTTTTCGTTTAAAAACTAATTCCATCAACCTATTCGAACTGACAATAAATGAATTAGATTTGGTTATGACTGAAATTGGATAAAAACAATTATTCGTAGATGACATCATTTCCAATATTTCTATATAAGTTTAGGTTTAATGCTAATAAAATATGGAAATTTCAAGTTTTTTTAGAAATTGTAATGAGTGTTAAAGTGAAGAATATTCATTTATTAATTAATGTACCTCTCAAAGTAATATCTTAATTTATAATGCAATATTTATCTAAGTTGTTGAATCTGAAAAAGAATTATTAATCACGATGTCTTAACAGAAAATAGAAATTATTTAAGTATCAATAATTAATGATGTTGAAACATAAGTATCAATATTGAAAATAGAAATCTGAATCATATTATAATATAATTGTATTAAATATAATTGATTAAATATATTTCATATTATTATTGTACTATTAAATTCTAAAATTAAAAATTCTTAGTTACAGTTTGATTTTAATTTTTCTAATGTTTAAATTAAGAAAGTAAATAAATAGTATTTTAATCAAAATCAAAATCAATGACATTAGGAGGATTATTTGATTCAATAATTATTCTTACTTTTGCTATTTATTACTGGCTCAATCAAGTAGATGACAATTTCCAATGTGCGATTCTTCTATTAATCTGATAATAAACCATAACGAATCTTTAATTTTTCGAATGAGCACCCAAAACTCTTTTATTGTCTATTTTCTATCTTGCTCTATCACCCTAGCTCTCCTCTTTCCTAAGATTAATATTCAAATATTTTGCCCTAATACTTTAATATTCAACCAACTCACACTTTTTTGATTTGGCTGATTTTAACAAAATTTTTTAAAAATCTAATTGACTCAGATTTGCATGTTGTTATAAATAAATCATAAATTAGAATATTTATTCTAAAATAATTAAGGATTTTCAATTGAATAATTTATGAATATGCTATTCTAATATGAATTTATAATTAGGCATATTTTTTTGTCATGACTGTATTTTTTGTGTATTTTCATTTCCAACTAATGTGGTTTGTATTAAGGAAGCTAAATTGACCATCAAAATATGAGCTCTAATGATTCCAAATAACTATTTAGTATTAAATAGGTATCATCGCTTATTCTTCTCTTAAATAAAATGGTCTTAATTGGGATGGCGTCTTTGAGATTTTGTATACAAACTTATATTGGAATTACAATTTTCTTCTGTGTATATGTATCCACTAATGTTAAATATCTATAAATGCAAACTTCATATATAAATGCGATTTTGTACATCAATTAATTCTCTGATAAAGCGGATCTTATGTAAGATCTATGTTTTTTTCCATTCACCTAGGTTCTCAAATTTCACCTTCCTTTGCAAATACAGAGCTTTCGTTAATACAATAGTAATTCTTAATACAAAGAAATAAGCGGACAACTTTAATTTGAAAATATTCAGATACACAAATGCCCAAAATCAAATAACTGGTGGTCAAAATACAATTTCCCCTGATATATTGGATAAAACTTAATCTGATATCTATAATTTTTAAATGTTTAGAATGTCAGTTTTTATTGAAAAATGAAAATTGCTGATGATAATGAAAGCATATAAAATTGATTTTATATTAAGATATTAACCAAGTTCTAATGATTATAAATATTAAAATCAATTTATGTCAGACTACCTTTATATCAAAAATATTGATTTTATACTTATATTTAATAAAAGAAATTTATAAGAAATCAAAATACTCTTATAATAACAGATTTTCAAGGAATTCTGATCTTCTATAAAGTTATTATTAGAAAAAAAGCAATTTCTCAATTGAAATTTTTCTTTATACATTTTTTTGATTTAATTCATATTATGTGTGTGATATTACTTTGATTAAATAANTTTTAATCAAAATCAAAATCAATGACATTAGGAGGATTATTTGATTCAATAATTATTCTTACTTTTGCTATTTATTACTGGCTCAATCAAGTAGATGACAATTTCCAATGTGCGATTCTTCTATTAATCTGATAATAAACCATAACGAATCTTTAATTTTTCGAATGAGCACCCAAAACTCTTTTATTGTCTATTTTCTATCTTGCTCTATCACCCTAGCTCTCCTCTTTCCTAAGATTAATATTCAAATATTTTGCCCTAATACTTTAATATTCAACCAACTCACACTTTTTTGATTTGGCTGATTTTAACAAAATTTTTTAAAAATCTAATTGACTCAGATTTGCATGTTGTTATAAATAAATCATAAATTAGAATATTTATTCTAAAATAATTAAGGATTTTCAATTGAATAATTTATGAATATGCTATTCTAATATGAATTTATAATTAGGCATATTTTTTTGTCATGACTGTATTTTTTGTGTATTTTCATTTCCAACTAATGTGGTTTGTATTAAGGAAGCTAAATTGACCATCAAAATATGAGCTCTAATGATTCCAAATAACTATTTAGTATTAAATAGGTATCATCGCTTATTCTTCTCTTAAATAAAATGGTCTTAATTGGGATGGCGTCTTTGAGATTTTGTATACAAACTTATATTGGAATTACAATTTTCTTCTGTGTATATGTATCCACTAATGTTAAATATCTATAAATGCAAACTTCATATATAAATGCGATTTTGTACATCAATTAATTCTCTGATAAAGCGGATCTTATGTAAGATCTATGTTTTTTTCCATTCACCTAGGTTCTCAAATTTCACCTTCCTTTGCAAATACAGAGCTTTCGTTAATACAATAGTAATTCTTAATACAAAGAAATAAGCGGACAACTTTAATTTGAAAATATTCAGATACACAAATGCCCAAAATCAAATAACTGGTGGTCAAAATACAATTTCCCCTGATATATTGGATAAAACTTAATCTGATATCTATAATTTTTAAATGTTTAGAATGTCAGTTTTTATTGAAAAATGAAAATTGCTGATGATAATGAAAGCATATAAAATTGATTTTATATTAAGATATTAACCAAGTTCTAATGATTATAAATATTAAAATCAATTTATGTCAGACTACCTTTATATCAAAAATATTGATTTTATACTTATATTTAATAAAAGAAATTTATAAGAAATCAAAATACTCTTATAATAACAGATTTTCAAGGAATTCTGATCTTCTATAAAGTTATTATTAGAAAAAAAGCAATTTCTCAATTGAAATTTTTCTTTATACATTTTTTTGATTTAATTCATATTATGTGTGTGATATTACTTTGATTAAATAATATTTGGAATTTCATATCAAATTCAAACGTATGCAATGTAGGATTATTCTTAAATTCCACATGAATTACCTGGAGCGAGTCTGATGATACCATTTTCTCCCCACCATTGACCCCAAGAATTTTTGACTATCCAAGTTCCGTCGTCATTGAAACCTATAATCAAAACATCATGGTTTAATTCTTCAAATCTACATTGATTAAAGACACCGGCGTTATAAAATAACCAAGTTGTACCATCAACAGATGCAGCGATTGGAGACTTAACTATTGCTGGCTACATTTAATCTGGTTCAACCTTTTGATATCCTTTAATTTAGAATAAACCTGTTGGTTTTTTGCACCCTTGAGTTTTTCCGGCGTAAGGATAATTGGCGGAGCTTAATATACCATTGTTTTGAACCCAATTCAATGAATTGTTGAGGTTGCCATCTTCACAACCTTAATTTTCTAGATCGCAATCAATTAATTATTATTCTGAAAGATCAGTATTTGTGACACTATTAATTCTTAACACAGATTCTACTGCTCCAACTGCTGCAAAAGCCCAAGCAGCTCCACATTGTCCTTAATCTTTGACAGATGTCAAGCCGGCCCAATTAGCTGAAGTTAAATTTGCTTCCTTAGTTGGTACGTATTTTTCATTTACAAAGTTTTAAGGAGATTTTCTTCTTAAGTAGATTTCTTTAAATTCCTCTACAGTTAAATCAGTAAATTAATTCTCTCCTATTGTATAAGTTTGTGTTTTATCAGCATTATGAGCTTCAAATAGCTTGATTCTCTCTTCATAAATCTTTGCTCTATAGATCTTTTCAGAAGGACCATAAAACTTGGCATATTTTTTTGTAAAAAGTTCAAATCTCTATTAGAGAGTTACTTCTGAAGCATCTAAATACTAAGAGACTCCAATCATAAGTAAAGATAGCATTCCCAATGTTAAAAGTTTATTCATTTTAAATTATTATATTTTTTATCTTTGCAAGCTTTTTTTATTTAAGTGGTGACATAATTAAATATATCATCAACAATTAAATTGTTTTCTTGAAAATTAAAGTTAAATTAAATCAGTTATACCTATTAATCGACTTAGATTGACACTTTATAACTACTGATCTATCTCTCTCTAAAAAGTTAATATTTGATTAATTTGAAATATCGAAGCTAATAAATTATAGCTATTTTAAAATCACTCGTATATTAAATAATTATGATAACTATTTAGCTGAGAAAATTGGATAATTATTCAAATATTATAATAATCAAGTGTTTGTGAAGAATAACTTTCTTGTTTTCATACTCTTATCATTGAGCAACTAAAAATGTAAAATATATAATTTAAATTTAGAGAATAGATTAGATGTATTTAATAGTTTAATGTTAATTAATTTAAATTATGTAACAATAAAAGAATATTAGATCAAAATCAAAACAACAGCAAGATCATAGCTCATTCCGTTATCAATTATTAGATCAAACCAATTATAAACACCCAGATGACTGTTGTGCAATATCTATTAACCCAAATAATAACCTCATGATTTGTTCTGCCTATGAAAGCATTAAAGTCCTTTACTTTAAAACAGGGTCTCTGAAATACCTGTAATAAATTAATAAGCATCATGAGAATATCACAACACTTAACTTCTTTCACAGAAAAATGAATTTCGTTTCCAGTTCATGTGACACTTCAATTATTATTTGGTCATCATCTCTCATATCAAGTCCTAAATATATAACAAAATTGAATGGGCATTCTGATTAAATAAATAGTGTAGTAGTTGCACATAATCATTAAGATGATCTCATCATTAGCGGGTCATTTGACTAAACAATCAAATTTTGGTCGCCTACCTGCTCCTTGCCTTCCTCTTGGTCGTGCATATAGACCATCCATGAACATACTTCTTTAATTTATGGATTGTCAATTAATGAAGATGGAAATAAATTATTGTCTTGTGGTTATGATAAATTAATCTTAGTGATTGAAAATTCTAACAACAGCATTTGGGAAGTCAAATAGAAAATTAAGGTTGATATAGGACTCCGTTTGGCTTTCATAACTAATAATATCTTTGTATTTTAACCCTATTAAGGAGAGTATCTACACTTTTACACTTATGATTAGCTATCATAATAATATATTTAATCGAAATCATTATCAATTAAAGGAAGTGGACAACAGTGTTAATAATATTTTCCATAAATGTTTATTCCATCTAAAAACATTCTTGTTTCTAAAAATGGTCAAGCAATCAATTTTATAAAGTTCCACTTTCACTCAAGTGGTGATTGGGAATGCATTCTAAAATATGTAATATCTTTCGATAAATGTATTAATGGACTGATCTTTGGTACTATGAGTGAGAATGGAGAATTTTTAGTAACCTGGGATTAACAGTCTGATTAGATTTAAATTCGATAATTCTAATGTATATAATGAGACATATATTTAATTACAAATCAAATAAATTTTAGTTTCTGATAATGTTTCAATAAGTAAAGAATGAGAATTTAATAATCTTTTAAGAATTACAGTTTGTGTGTAAGATAGCTTGTCATTTTTATTAAGAATTAGCGAACAATAAGTATGGATAATGAAGTAATTATAAATAATATCTTTAAAAGAAACAAAAGGAAATTTAATTTGGTAGAATTTTCCAATATTTAACATGTTTAGAATTGACAATCTAAGTAAATTAATATAGAATGGATAAAATTTTTCTGTACTTCTAAAATTATTGTTCAATTATATTTCAAATTCTATATTAACCACAATGTAAAACGATAAACCATTTCGTATTGCTCTTCAGTCTAAACCATATAGGCTCTTTATTCGCGTAATCTTCTAACTATGCTAAAAATCGATATCTTTTAATCTTTCTAATTTAACAATTATTTAATATAACAAATAGACAGCAAAGTTCCAGTGCGACCAATTCCAGCACTACAATGTACCACAGTCTTCTTATTTTCCTAGATGGATTTATTAGCTATATTTGCTAATAAATCAATGACAAAAAAGGAGTCTTTATCAACTACTCCAAAATCAGGCCACCCATTCCATTGATAATGATGTATTAATTTTTCTTATTCTTCAAATTTGATTATGAATTCATTTAACGTCAGTCCTCCTTTTAAATCTTCTTTTTTTTGTAGCTTTACTTAATAAGGTCCGTAATTATCTGATATATCTGGCCAGTATTTCTCACATTGTCTCTAAATTGCCAATAAATTTTACAAAATTATGATCTTCTAATTTACAAAGCATAATTATCACTCCAACCTCGTTTGTCCAAATCATATGCCAAAAATTATTCACACTTTCAGGGACTGGACCTTAAGTGGCAATATATTTCATTTCAACATTATCTATTCCTTTAATATAATTTGCATTAATGTAAAACTTCTCATTTATGTTCGATGTTACAATAGTGTGTTTATCTTAATAATCTAATTGATGATTTACACGGTAATATATCTATATATCGATTTAAATGCTGAATCTTTTCATCCTAAAAGAATTATTTCTCATGTTCCTTTGTCTCAGTTATTTAGCATAAATAATCGAATTCTTTTCCTAATTTTCTTTAAGGAAAAGATTTGACAAACTCGCTGATGCTTATTGCCGTTTCGTATTTCATGAACTAGCTATCTTTGGTATTGGACGATAAATCAAATGAAAGTTATAAACTCTTTTATTAATTCATGAATCGATTTTATCCCAATTAATTACTTTTAAACAATGTAAAATATTTTGCAGTTTAATAATGAAAAATATTGTTGCCAAACAAAGAATTCTAATGGATTTGTTTTATTAAATATTTTTTTTTTATTTAAACAAATAATTAAAGGATGAACTTTCTGTTAGGATAAATATTGAGTTAATTAAATACAATTATTATGTTATCAATACAGTTAAATTCACAATAATTGTCTAATCAACAATAGACTCTCCAATTATTTAAATATCATTTTATTATATGGTGCATATGTAAATAAATTATTACCTTACCTTATGAACTTTTAAATTGATTATCTTAGTGTCTAGATTATTAAGTTTTATGGTTTATTTTCTCTTGGTTATTATTAATTTAATTAAAAATAATTGTTTTAATAAAGATTTTGCAATATTGCATTGTAAAACCATAAATCTCATGTTTGAAAACAATTAATATAACATTTGATAATTAGTAAATCAATGATATTTATGTTTCAATTATTAATAAATAATTAAAAAAGAGACTATAACCAAAATATTATGGATGATTTAGATAATTCCCGAATATTTCATTTTTATATAAATCAATAAATTTTGCTGATTAAACAATTAAGTTTTAGAAATTTGAAGATATATAGGGTTTCTAAAATTGATTCATTTTTAATAAACTAGCTAAGATATGAGAGCAAATAAATTAATAAATCTGTTATAGCCATCCAAGGTATATCCTAGACCATATACATCTAGATTGTTAACTGGTAACATTATATTAAGATGATGTATAAAAGGCTACAATCTAAATTTCAATCAGAAAATAGCAAATAAAAATTATATTATAATTTGTTTTTGAATTACTAATGATGGACAAATACAAATATGGTATATAATTTGACTCATGAACTAGCTTAATCATTATATCGATCCAAAAATTACAAACACTCTTTCATAACAACATAATTATGTTGTAGGGTTAAGGTTTAGCATATTTGGGAGTAGACAAATCTCAATGATGAATCTGAAACAGTAAAAAGTGCAGGCTTGCTATGTAGATATGATGATAAAGGCTTAATTAAATTCATCAAGAGAGTTATAGACTCAGCTGATACTTACACATATGAATAGCAGAAATGGTTACAAAAGGCAATTCAAAAAATTTATTATGAATCATATTAAGAGTTGTCTCTCCATGAAATTCGGTTTTTGATAAAGGAAATACAAAAAGAGCATGAGAACAACAACAAAACAAGAACAATAAGTTGCCTTTAGATGTTGTGCTAGATTTTACTTGGACTAGGAAGAATAGATGAAGCACTATCGATATGGCCTTCGTTCATTGGCTTAGAGCCTACTTCTTTGGTTGGCTATCAGAAATAAGGTATTTAAGCATACATAACCTAATTTCAAGCATAATTATTAGCTAAGTTGAAGGATGAGGAGTCGAGTATCGAGGTTTGGAATCTGTACTTAAGCAATAACAAGGAAGAAGAGTTCACATATTGTCATCAAAAAGGTATTGTATAAACAAGAGAGTTTAGCTTAATTCCTTTTCATTCACTTAGAGAGGATGGAGGAGGCAGTTTAAGTATGGAATGATTACATTCAGAAAAATCCCAATTATCTAGATGCGTACATTAACAAAGGTATTGTATAAATAGCATAACCCCTCTTAGCTGACCTATTACATTAGATGTTTAACATTGAAGGAGTGATAGCTGTGTATGATGATTATATAAAGAAACATTAGAATGATTACAAGGGCTATAGAGTTAAAGGTAAAATATATTTCAATACGATAAAGCTGACTTTCTTGTAGCTTTGAATTAATTTGATGATGCAATAGAAGTTTGGGAAAGCTACTTGCAATTGTTTCCGAAGGATAGAAAAGCTTATGAGAAGATGGGTATTATCTATAAAGTAATCAATAGTGATGGTCGTTAACCTTAAATACTAATGATATTAGCATACAATTAATTTATTATTTAACAAAAATACAGTAATTCCTTCAATGTGGAACAACAATATATTAATTATAAAGAACATAAAATTAGATGCTCAATATAACCATGCAAATATTAGTTTAAGTCTATTTTTCATATTTTGGTTTTACAATATGTCTTGAGGAATGAGCACTAATATTTATCTCAGGGACATCATTTTTTTTTATTCCCAGATTATCCAGATTGAGGATAGAATTAACATAAAAAGGAAGTAGCTTAAATTAATTCAGATATTTTACAAACATCCTAATAGTAAGTAGTAGATTTCCATTAAGTTTATAATGCCATGGGCGATGTTAGAGTTATCAACTTTAAATAAAGTCAAAAAATCACAGAAAGTGTCCTATGTATCGCAAAAATAGGATAGAAAATAATTTTAAAAGGCTTGGCCCTAGATTGTCTCTGTATTTTCATCTTAGTTATTATATGAAAGAGAATTCAATTCCCAATTATAATCTTATTCTATGTATTTTACTAAGGAGGCTGTGTAACCCAAGATACCATTTAAAACAAGATTGTGCATTGAGTCTTTGCTTAATAATTTATAAAGATGTTAAGTACCTAGAATAAGGAAGGTTTTATTTGGAAGGATCGCAAGCTTTAATCTATTCCCAAGACTTTATTTGACAAATGTCATCATTCAAAAATCCATCAAAAGGACTCACTTAGTTATTTTTTTATGCATTTTCTAAGATTGTCGTTGAAACTTCGTTTATCATCGATAATAATGAATCCTTACAGTCTTTAAATAAAATTAGAGTCTCAGTTTAGTTTATAAAAGATAAATTATTTCCTGGTACTAAATTTTCTGTTTTTATCAGCCCACCCAAAAGAGTTACAATATCCATTTTGATTCTAAATTACCCATATTTTAGAGTTGCATAAAGGGATGGTTAAAAGTCATCATTATTTTTGACAAACAATATATAACTAGTTAGTATATATGCAATCCAGATGATAATAATCAATAAGATAATGATATAATTAATCTTTGTGATGTGATTGGTTTTTTAAATTCTTGAAGTTAGAGAAGATTCAGAGCTATTTGGCTTGCCAAAGGGTTCAGTTTACTTTTGCTTATTCTTCTTCTTTCCATCATTTTCCATCATTATCTAAGAAAAGTTCTCAATTTTCCAATTTTAAGAAATTTTCAAGTCTATAATTGATTTGACAGCCATCAATTTAACAATTTACTCGACTGCTTAATTTTCATTTAAATGAGAAACTAGAAATAGGATGGACTTTTGTAATTTATCAATGAATATCCAAAATTTTAATTGTGACACCATTAAAAGTAATATTAGGAATAGCTCTATGAGTATCAATGTTTAAAAATTAACTACTATCTAATTTTAAGAGGAAATAGTATTTTCAATAATTTAAATTACTAAGTTATCGATTTGCTTAGCTACTTACAAGATATTTAATCTCAAAAACCCAGACGTGAATAATTCTTCATAATGTGGATTTGGAGAATTTAGGTTCCTCCTATAAGCAGACTCAGAAACTTAATTTAGCATAAAGTAAAAGTCTTCAACACTCATATTATGAGTACTCAGAATATTATTAGTTACTTATTTAATTTCAAAATCGACTATTCCTTATTTGTTTGCTAATTTTGGAACTTTGACATTAAGATTTCTTAAATATATTCTTGCATTCTAAAACATATTACCAACAGTTTCTAAATTTCTTTATTCCTAAAATTAACTGAGTTTGATAATATTTTCTTATTGTAATTAGATTGTCCAAAGTTAATAAACTACAGAAGAATAAAAATAAGTTATATTTTATGGTTCTAATAAGTTCATCACTCCAGTTGTCTATTAATCTAGATTTTGTACAACCACTAAGTAATCTGTCAATGATATGACTATTATACAGATTAAAATCATCACCAAAATTATAACAATTTTTTACAAAGGCAAGATAAGTTGAGTTTTGGAATATAGTTATTCAACCAAAAACTAGGTTTCCCTTTAAGTTGAGCAGACAGATGATCTTGAACGATTGGATGCAAAATCATTATTTTCATCTTTCTTACTCGAAAAATATTCTTTTAAATGAGACTTGGTTCTGCTTTTCTCATCTTATTTTTTACTGACTTGAAGATCAGTTTTAGATGGTTTCTATTTCTTCAACTTAAATAATCAATATTGCAATTACTTATTCATTATGATCATTTAAATCAATATCTTCAATGTTATAATTTTCAGAAAACTTAGATTTTAATATTAATGGTCCTAATTGTGTCCTATAGGTATCGTATTGACCTTGTGTTTCAGAGGATTTTTAAGGAATCTAATTTTTAAACAAATGCTATTCATAACTTTAATTGGCGCTACTAAAATTTAAATACTCATTATCCTTTTAAACTTCATGTGTATCATTTACTGCCTTATATTCCTGTCTTGCTTCGCTGATGATATCATATTACTCTTATTTGTTGCCTTATTGCTCTTATTTGTTGGCACAAGTCATAGCTTGAGCCAATGTGGAATTCTAGCATATTTTATCTTCAAAAAATCCAGACATCAGGTTTTATTCATTAGGAGGAGTAGGACCAGAATAAATCGATTGAGTTGATAAGACTTTAAAATCTGTGAAAGTCAAGATGAAATAACCAATTTTCTTTTTCGGAATTTCAACAGTATTAAATTGTAAATCGTATTAGAGCGCTAATTGAAATTAAGACTTTGAGACATCTCCGAAATCTACAATATCAACTAGTTAAGATTATAAATAGGGCTAAAGTAAAATAATTGGAATTCCATCAATTTCTTTGTCATTCAAATCGACATGTTGTGCATCATAGAATGTTTAACGACTCCTGCTTGCATCAAATCTTGATTTCAAAATTGACATTTGAGGATTTCTTCTTTTTTAAGATCTCTCATAATAAGAATTTTAGACTTTAAAGGGATCCAATAAGTTCTGGGTTGACATCAAACATTGCTAATGATTGTTTGGAATGACCCAAGTAGATTTTTAATTAGTTAGTTAATAGGATTTAGTTTTTTAATACTATTTTGCCAATTAATCAATCTAAAACAGAATGTTTGGAATATAGTATTGTATTAAAGGTTTTTTTTCTAAAAATGCTTGAATGCTTGATTAATCTTTTGAAATTCTTTTATCGTTCTTAAAGATTTTCATAAAGTGATAATTAGATTTGGCAGCAATTTCATAAAACTACTTAGTTAATCCATTGATTGACCCATCTACCCCAAACAAAATCATTTCGTGTTATTACGACTTACTCATAATAACATTCATGATGAAATCATTATTGTCAATATCAAAGTGAGGATAAATATTGAAAACACAAGGCTCTACATACCCTTCTTAAGTCAATATGAAGGTTTTTCGACTCTATTTTTGAGTCTGCGTGTAGCCATTTATTATATATTTATCTATGAGTTAGTCATGGATCTCCGATAAAAATTATGGCATTAATTAGGAACAATGCTTTATATATTTAAGGTCTTCATCCTTTTCCTCCAAGAAGGTGGACAACTTCTTTGTATCTAAATTAATGAATTCGCCTCTATTTTTGATTAAGCTTGATTAAAATATAAATACTCTATCTGGTATAAATCTATTCATTACTTTGAATTAATTATATGCTACTTAATGGCTCATCTTATCGAAATCTTTCACTTTTCAAATGTTCTTCAATTTTCTTTTCGATTTAAAAGGACAGATATTAATTGTTGTATATGGCCGAATAGTATATTTGTATAATTCTCATACTTAATGTCTCAGAGATACTGGAACTTTTGAGACTTTCATTGACCATGTCGTATTTTTGGTTCATTAACTACTTACATTTCATAATATTTTAAGAAAGAGACAAAGCTTCATTAATGTAAGTGTTAACGCTGTCATATCCTTTGATTAAATGATTGTAAAAGTTGATCTTTGAAATGATAACTCTTTCGAAACTGGGGAATATTTCTTAGGATGAGAAATAGCACTCGTAAATTGTTTAAGCTCGTAATTGTTTAGAGATATTCTCCTTTTTTTTGGCATATACATCTTTTTGAGACAATTCGAGTAATAAGTCACTTTGTAATCTCAAGTATTGGATTAAATTTTAAGTGGTTCCAAGGAAATACAAATTACTGGTTTGAATTTTCAATAATTTTATTAGCGATTTAATCGGGTATTTCTCTGATAGAAAATAGCAAAATTTAATGACATACGTGATTTCGGATGTTTATCTGACAATACTTTTGAATAAACAATAAATCATATCTGAAGGTTGCTTGCACTTTGAACACTTGTGTAATTTAAAGGCAATTTATACGAAAATCTAATTTTCTTAAGAATTACTCAAATGTAAAGATAATTAAATTAACTTAAATTAAATTAAATAATCTACCTAAAGTGTTATGATATTGGCCTAATTTTGAGTCATTATGTACTTCAATCTTATAGTATGTACAATTGAAATAGTGATATATAAGAAAATTGAAACTAACAATAAATACTCGCAAATTGAAACCCCGCTAAAGAGGCCAAATATTGTAACCATTGAGACTACCTTAATCAGCACATGAATGAAACAGTTTTTCTTATTCAGTTGTTAAATCAAGGATATCCCTTGCTTTAAAAAGACTAAAACGACTCTAATTATCTATTGGTATTTATAAATCTTTAAAACCACTGAAAGAAACATTAAAATTTCCTTGATTACATTAAGTATCATTTAACTTTCCAAAACTATGATGTTGTTATCTCCTATTAGGGTTGGCGATTCAGAAAAATATAAATGCACTAATTTCATTAATATGGACATCGAGAGATTTATAGTGCACGAAATTATCAAAAAAATTTCATTTGAGTTTTGAGCAATAAAAGTGCGGTCTCCTGTTGCTATTTCATAATATGTTAGCAAAGCAGAATATATTACTGGCGTATAAATCAAAGAAGAGTAATAGGTAAAACAATAGTGTAAAATTTGGAATGAGAAGGTGCTCTCTTTTTCTTCTCGTACTAAATGTATTATAAACAGGAATAAAAAGGCAATGTGCATGAACAAAAATAAATAGATTATGAGTGCAAAGTAAAACTGAGAATTTTACTCAAAAGCCACACAATATCTAACGAATTAGAAAATGAGACTAATTGATATATTATTCTTTCAATACTTCATTTCTCTATTCCAACTCGAATTCTAATCAACAGTAATACTAATCTCTTATGCTTTAAAAATAATCGATATCAAAATTTCAATGCTAAGCATAGAATTTTGCATTGTAGATGAATGAATGCAGCGACATATGAATTGTGATACTTTAACAATTTTTCTTTTCATCATTAATATTTATCAAAACAAATAAACATAATCAATATCGACTTAATAAAAATAATTAATAATCAAAAAAAAATGGAGTGATTATCTAAAACTTGAAATTATCAAAAACCTCATATTGTAGTTATAAAATAATTGAATTTGGCTAAATAAAACCATTTAACAAAATTATTAATTGTCTACATTGAACTTTATTAGATATTCATACCTCTTTAAGTTATAATTAAAATTCTTAATTGCTAAAATCATATTTATTAACTAATCATATTTAGATTTCAAACACATAATTAATCATCATCAATTAATATTAAATTTCAACATTTGTCATTGGTTTTTTAAGCTTGATTTTTTAATTTCAATTTAGATCTACGATTCAAGTAAATCATCAGAATAATAAATATCATATTCACAGAGCAAATTAAATATTTAGTTATCATCCAAGTTTAAACATCTAAATCATCATTCAAGAATATTAAAGATACTTACTCCTCTGATATTTCATTTTAAACCAATAAATCAAATTCAAATTCTTTCTTGCTTAATCCAAACTCTGAAAGTGATAACTCATAACCAATCTATCCTAGATATATATTCCCCTACTAAATCATTGGAGCAATAAGATAATGTGTAGTATTGAATGTCAATATTTAATAATCGGATTGAAGAGAAGCAATATAATGTAAGTTCTTCTTTAATTTTAAATCGTACAGATAATAATTATAGTTCAGGGAGATAAAGATAAAATCTTCATCGAACTACAACTTATTTTCATTCTTTATATAATGAGGTATTTTAAGCGTTTTAGTTACTGAATAAATGCATTCTTTCTCTTACATAAAACATTTGGCAAATCCAGTAAAGATTGTTCTTTAAGTAATTATTACTATCTTCGAGATTATGCATTGCTCCTCCATCTTAAATGACTTATATGTTATAATCGTAAATGTGAATTGAATTTATAATCGCAATTCATTTTACAGTAATTCTGATTAGAATTTGCTATTATCCAACTTATAACTACTATTAAAGAATAATTAATTCTAATCCAGATAATAAACACTCATTAAGCAAGTCGAAAAATCTACATTGTTTTTAAGAAATACAAATTGATTTTGAGCGTTATTTATGATAAAAAAATCATTAAACTAATGTTAACTTTAAAAGTGTATTTCTGTAACTTATTATTATAAAATAAGGAAGAACCTTGCTAATTTTTCAAATTTCAGCATTAATATATTACCCTCTTTCTTACAGACCATTAATTCTTTTCCACATTCATAAGTTTGAACAGATTTTTAAAAGTACCTTGAATCAAGCAAGTTAAATTCATAAAACACAAATATACACATATTCAAATAATTTTGAATTACAAGAAACTGATCTTATTCCAAATAAAATATTTAAATGATTGGAATATTAAGAGACAAATGACAATCATTTAGTATTTTATATTAATTTTCTATTTAAACTAAATATATTTTTAAAGTAGTATCCTCTTAATATTAAAGAATACGAGTTTCAATACATAATGTTAAATCTTACTGGGGGTTGCATTGCTACAGCTTTTCTCTATATAAAAATGGACCATGTAGGTTTAAATTCGTTGTATCTAGTAATTTAACTTTTTCAATGGGACCAGAAAAATAATCTTGTAAAGTTAGTGATGTTGTTGATTGTTATTTACGATGCAATATTTGCTAACTGGTTGGTAATTTCCTTATGTTAATACAGAAGTTGCTTATTGAAATTGTGAAATTGAAATTAAATTCTTTAAAAGGATAAATTTAAGAGTAGTATATAAAGCTTTAGTTAAGTTCTATAAGATTTTAATCTTAATTTAAATTTTCAATATCCATCTTAAATTCTAGGTATTCAAATTAAAAAATCTAGGTTTTAAAGTCTTTATCATAGAAAAATATAAACTATTCCGTTATAAAGAATTCTATTCGACTTATTTCGATAATTTATTCCAAACCTTAAGCTAAATAAATTGATAATTTAAATATTAAGAGGAAAAACTCCCCAGATTCATTATTAGTTAGAATTACAATTTTTCCCTTGTTATACTACACTTTTAGTGGGAAGTAGATTTGCTTTTGATACTAATTTAGATCAATGTACTCTGACGATATTAACTCTTGGTCGCTGTATAAATATTTTATTAGCCGATTTTACAACTTATCTATTGCATAAATCACTATTAAAGATTATTCTATTAATGCATGAATTATTATGTGATCTATAAATGAAATTGATGAATGAAATTCCTAAAATATTATATATAGGTTTTTTTCATATTGTATCAAATAGTTTAGATTATTTTGCTTAAAATACAAGATGGAGCTTTCTTTATATTAATTTTCAAATTTAATGAAATAAGGCAATAAAATTTTTTAGGAATTTGTCACATATATGTAATTGTTATTTTGGGGTAATAAAATAATTTAATCACCAAATTGCATTACTTATGTTATCTTTTCAGGCAATTTAATTATTTTGTAATTATTAAGAGAAGTATGAAAATCATAAATCTTAACTTCTTAAATCTAGAGTTGCACAAATACAACCATACCCAAATAATAAAATACTTTTGTTTCTTTCCCGTTATAAACTTAACTTTATTATAGTTACTTGCCTCGACATAATTATATTATGTACTTTTCATCATTTTTCCAGACAAATTACTTAGAAAAAAGTCCTTTGTTATAATAAGTCAGTACATAGGAAGAGGTTTTGGAGTTATACAGATTGATATTAGTTTAGCAGGTAAATTCCAACTCTTCCCTATCACTTATACTGACAATGCTAGAATTTGGAGCCACTTTTACAGCTATTGGTAGGTTCGAATTGATATGTAGCTTTGAAAATTTAAAAGAAATATAATTTTTATTCAAACAACTCCTTCTAATATCAACATTAAATTCCATGATATTTCCATAAATAACAGAATTGTCTAATTCAATGACCTAAAAGCAATTTAATATTGCATAATTCTCTTTGAGAAGTAAATTGTTTGTTAAAACTTCTAAAAAAAACTTATATGTCTTATATTAAAAATACCTTAAATTATGATTTACTTTAAAGACTTTAATTGAATTCTAGATAAAATCATACCCATAAAATAAGTTATATGTTGTATCATATACTAAGGATGACAATTTCCATTAGTAACTCTATATTATCCTTTAATTCATCATAACTAGAATTTATGAGCTATATTAAACTATTAATAAATTTGTTTAGTAATAAATGTTTTAAGGAATATTCGCAATACTTATATAAATTGAACCATTAAATACGCTGATTTATTGATTGGTATTTTCAGAAATCAATACTTAACTATAAACTAAGCAAGTATCGTAAAATAATAGGGTAAATATTTAATATTGTTCTTCAGTAATATGTATAAACTTTATCGAAACTATATCAATATCAATCACTAGATAATCATACATAAAAATTAGATATAAATTATTTTAACATATTTAAATATTTGTAAGCTAATTGTTTTGTGAAAAAGTATCAATATTAGTTAAATTATTAATATCCATAATTTTTTGAGCAGAAAATCCTTTGTAAAGGAACACACTCCAATAGTTACATTTAGTAAATGCAATTATAAATTAATTTTTCTTTGAAGTTTCTAGAATTTGTTTTTAGCAAGAATTAATATCTGTTGATAAAGTGTGATTATATGTATCTAAGGTTGTATTTCTATCTAAATTGATTTATAAGTGATGAACATTTGAATTAGAAAAGCAAAATATATTTATGGTTTGCTATTCGTTTATAAAGAGGTGCTCACAAGTATAGTTTTCTTGAGTAGGGTAGTTGATTTAGCTAGTTACTTCAGAACCAAAAATTATTTGGTTATTTACTAAATAATTGTACATTTTCCTTTTACAAGTGAGATAATAAATAGTTGTAATCTTATAGAGCCAACAAAATTGATTANATGTACTTTTCATCATTTTTCCAGACAAATTACTTAGAAAAAAGTCCTTTGTTATAATAAGTCAGTACATAGGAAGAGGTTTTGGAGTTATACAGATTGATATTAGTTTAGCAGGTAAATTCCAACTCTTCCCTATCACTTATACTGACAATGCTAGAATTTGGAGCCACTTTTACAGCTATTGGTAGGTTCGAATTGATATGTAGCTTTGAAAATTTAAAAGAAATATAATTTTTATTCAAACAACTCCTTCTAATATCAACATTAAATTCCATGATATTTCCATAAATAACAGAATTGTCTAATTCAATGACCTAAAAGCAATTTAATATTGCATAATTCTCTTTGAGAAGTAAATTGTTTGTTAAAACTTCTAAAAAAAACTTATATGTCTTATATTAAAAATACCTTAAATTATGATTTACTTTAAAGACTTTAATTGAATTCTAGATAAAATCATACCCATAAAATAAGTTATATGTTGTATCATATACTAAGGATGACAATTTCCATTAGTAACTCTATATTATCCTTTAATTCATCATAACTAGAATTTATGAGCTATATTAAACTATTAATAAATTTGTTTAGTAATAAATGTTTTAAGGAATATTCGCAATACTTATATAAATTGAACCATTAAATACGCTGATTTATTGATTGGTATTTTCAGAAATCAATACTTAACTATAAACTAAGCAAGTATCGTAAAATAATAGGGTAAATATTTAATATTGTTCTTCAGTAATATGTATAAACTTTATCGAAACTATATCAATATCAATCACTAGATAATCATACATAAAAATTAGATATAAATTATTTTAACATATTTAAATATTTGTAAGCTAATTGTTTTGTGAAAAAGTATCAATATTAGTTAAATTATTAATATCCATAATTTTTTGAGCAGAAAATCCTTTGTAAAGGAACACACTCCAATAGTTACATTTAGTAAATGCAATTATAAATTAATTTTTCTTTGAAGTTTCTAGAATTTGTTTTTAGCAAGAATTAATATCTGTTGATAAAGTGTGATTATATGTATCTAAGGTTGTATTTCTATCTAAATTGATTTATAAGTGATGAACATTTGAATTAGAAAAGCAAAATATATTTATGGTTTGCTATTCGTTTATAAAGAGGTGCTCACAAGTATAGTTTTCTTGAGTAGGGTAGTTGATTTAGCTAGTTACTTCAGAACCAAAAATTATTTGGTTATTTACTAAATAATTGTACATTTTCCTTTTACAAGTGAGATAATAAATAGTTGTAATCTTATAGAGCCAACAAAATTGATTAATAAGCCTTTGATTATAAAAAGCATTAGCAAAGTTTGCTAATACAATTGCGTCTTATTCTGAACAATTTTAAATAATTTAGGTTTCTACCATCATATTGTGTTGAAGTTAAGGCATGGAGAAGTTTAAGTCCCTACTCTCCAAAAATATAGAGTCGAATGAGTTAATGTAGTATTCATTTTTGTGAAGGTACAAGGGATGACAATTACTAACATTTACTTATTCTGCTTAATGGCATGGTAATAAGAAATGTATAATGAAAATTAGTAACATAAAGATATATATGTTTTTATATATATTTACTATATATTTATTATAAAAAGGGCTCATCTCAATTTTTGGCGTGTGTATTTTACCAATATGTTTTTGATTTTTCAATATCTGGTTTAATGGTGGCTTGTCCTGGCTTCCATGAGGCTGGGCAGACTTCTCCATGTTTCTCAACAAATTGGAATGCTTACAACAATCTTAGATATTCATCTACATTTCTAAAAGTAGAGATTTATATTACCTTCCAACTGGGGCATCATTAATTGAAGCATGACGTAAATTTTAATTACCATCAATTAAGAATGTTCCTCTTAGTGAAAGTCCACTATCTGTTAGAACTCCATAATCTGAAGAGATTTGCTTGGTCAAATCAGATAACAAGAGAATATCCAATCCTCCTAATCCTCCGTCAGCTTTGGGCTTCTTCACATATTCAGCATGTGAAAAGACTGAATCAACTGAGCATCCAAGGACTTCACAGTTGTTTTCTCTGAATTACTTAGCTAATTTAGAGAATTAGATGATTTCTGTGGGACACACAAAAGTGAAGTTCAATGGATAGAAGAAAAGCAATAAATACTTGCCTTTGAAATCAGTCAATTAAACTGATTCAATAGCATTTTTTATTGGATTCCTTAGGGATAGATCAATAGATAATACCAAGCATTTGTTTTGAAGAATGGGGCAGCCTTTTGAATAATTGCTTTTCCTGACATTTAATGATTTGGAATAATTAATAATTAATTGAGATTGTTCCTATATATTTATATAGACCTGAAATATACTAGATACTCTATTAAGACTAAATTCCTATTAGACAAGAATTAGTCTAAATAATAGTAATTCAATTTTTCAATTATTAATTAAATGTCAATAACTCATGAGTACTTGAGGAAGTATTCTTATAATCGATGGAAGAATTCATCAAGACCCATTTAAGAGATAACTCAAAAAAAAAAGGAAGATGATCCCTATTTTGCAGAGGCGCAATATGAAACTCACGAATAATTTCAAAAGTTAAATCCAGAAATACAAGTCTCACAAGAATATCCTGAAGAAAATCAATTGGTTGTATCTAATTAGATTCAACAATCCAATTCTTACGATCCTAATCATGCACTATCAAATACATAAATTATAAACAAATCCCAGAAGCACAATATATTTCAACCAATTCCAAATTGTAACCTCATTCATTAACCCCTTACAATCCAAAATTTGAAGGGAAATAACTTTGTAATAAAAGAGCAGTTCAATATAAGGATTGATCCCACAACCTAAAACAAAATTAACAAATCTATCTAATTAGATGAAAAATCTCTTAAACAGTAAGTTGTCCCCTAAATGCCTCAAAATTAATATCTCTTTCTATAAACCAATCAAATCTCTTAATATATTGAAATATCTCAATAAGTTGATGAATAAAATGAATTGAAGGAAGTAAATTAGGACTTTGAAGAACAAGAAATACCTCCAGCATCTAAATAGGAATTTCAACTTAGGTCTGATTTACAATCATCCAATCCTAAATATGAGGCTGAAGAACAACACTTTCCCTAAGTCGTTCCGATGGATGTTGATTTCAATAAAGAAGAATACCTCAAGATAATAGATGATTACATTGAATTTATTAAAATTACAGAATACACTGATGTGCAATTAATCGAACATGAAATCTTGAGATTGCAACATATTTCCTCACAACAGCAATTTATGCTCAGAATCGACCCCCTAATAATCAGCATGTTATTTGAATAAATACCAAATAACCCTTACAAATAAGAGTCCTCAATACCATACAAACAGATGGATTATGCGGATTTATATGATGTACTCAAAAATTATAAGAGTCAATTAGAGCAAGATTTGTATATTCCCGAGTTGAGCGATTTCATGCATCACCAATTATCTCAGCAAACACTAAACTTCTTAGCAATCAAAAGATAATAGATCTAATGGAATCCATCACTCTTTCAAGCATTATAAAGGAGTAGAAACGAGTTAATAGCAATATTCTCTATTTATAATCAAATAAAGATCCCAGACATTGTTTTGTTTGATTAAGACATTGATGCTTTTAAAATTTAAGTAAAGCAAGTTGGTTCCAATTAAATCAACATTTTTCAACATTTGTTTAAAAAATATAAAGAAAAAACCCTTAAGAAGTTGAAGGACTTAAAAGTAAGCAACTAATAAATAAATAAAAATAAATCAACCTTGGTTAAGTCAAAATATGAATATTAGAATTAGAATCATGCCTTCTAGAATCAATTAGAGGAATTTAGAGATAAAATAATAGAATACTAAAATAAATAACCAATTGATTTTAAACAAGCAATGAGTTTAATAAAAAAATTCAATAAGTACTTCATTATTATATTTTAGTATTTAATAATTTTATATATAGATCAAACAGCAAGAACGCATTCTACAAGATTAAGGAGTATCTTATGTTCCAATAGTCTTTAACTAAGAACAGGAAATAATGAAGATTTTTGATTTAATGTACATTAATCTGAAACAAGAAATCTTGAAAACTAAAACTCTATTAACATTGCCTCTAGGAGAATTTGCATGGGAACATCACCTATAGTAAGAATAGGAAGCTTTAAATAAAATAAATAGGAGATTCTCACTTCTTAATCAATTTTATGAGTAATCGGTACAGAAATACTAAACGGAATATTAATTTATCAGACATTTAAAGAAAGGATAAAAAATTATGACTGACAATATTAATGTTTTAGTCTAATACTTAGATATTAAGAAAATTATTCACGATTAAAAGATAAGCATGTTCTCGTATCCCAAATTGCACTTATAATAAATCACAATATAATCATTGAATTATCACGATTTGATTGTTTAAACTAATAATCGAGTGATAGCTATTCAGTAATTAAATTAATATTAATTTATTGAGGGATTGAACTAGATTTTATCTTAAGATAATTACCCATCAGTGGAACTCTCATTATTGAAAATAAAAAATCAACTCAATTCTCTTAAGTTTTCAAAATTAATTTAAGACGAAATCAACTTATTACATACCTATATTGCTTAGGCATTATGTTACTTCCCTAAAAACCTAATAGAAATCTTTGCTCAGACTAATACTTATGAAGAAATTGAATTGAAATTGGGAAATATTGAATAGTTTGAAGCCTTGGAAAATGGCAATTATGAAAGTCAATCGAAGGAGCTATTTGAAATGTTTAAGACCTTCTTTGAGTCTAAAATATAGAATCAATTTGATGAAATATTCATTCAGTTGTCGGAAATGAGCAAGGAGCAAATTTATGATTGGAATCCATTAAGATTAGCCAAAAGGATAGATTTATTGTATGAGTATTAAAGGTCAGATATAGAAACCAATTAATATGTAAAAAAGGAATTAGTGGAGCAAATTATTGATTATCCAGATTTACGGTATCTATTTTAGGAAGCAAGGTCACTTTTCAAGTAAATACGAGAATTACTTGAAGGGGAATAGGATCTAGAAAAAACTAATCAAAGCATTTTGAGTTTAATCTTGGATTTTGAAGCTCCAGAAGGAATAGATTCAACTTTGATTGATTTGAAACCTTTGGAAAGATTTCATAGAAGTTTTAAGAAGTTCGATAAATATACACAATTAAAAAATGAAATCATTAATTTAGGATAAATATTACAATAAGAATATAGTTAATACTTATAGTGTTGTCAAAGTAAAATCAATAAATTAGTTGATTGTATTGAATTAAAAATAAATACTTTAGATAAAGAGATTTTAGACAATATTTTATTTAAACCTCTACATATGAATACTCCAGTGCCAATCTATGAATTATACACATTATTGAACTATCGTTATTCTGATTTCTAATCTATCCAAATTTCAAAGTTTGAAAATAATTAATAAAAAAACATCATCTTGTTTTCATAGAAATTAAATTAACACTTTGATGAAGATATTGATATAGTCTTAGAAGTAGTATATGATAAGTCTAAGGTTCGCGATGTTGGAATATATGTTGATCAATAATTATGTTTTTAATGTGAATGATATTTAATTTAGTTTATTACTTTTTTATTGAATTTACTGTTAAAATTAAATCATATAATTTAAATATATCATATTCAATTATGTATTCCAAGAATATTTATGACAATTAAACTAAGATAAAATTTTCAAGTTCTCACATAAGTAATTTGATATTTTAGATCTATATAAATATGAAGATGGGAAATTGATAGATTTCTACTTCACAATAAAGATATAAAGATAATTTAAATGAGTTAAACTAATCATTAATAAAAGCATTATAAATTTATAATAAAAACGATGAATTTACATAAAATTGGATGGTCATATTAATTATCTATATATATTGATAGTATCAAATAATTAATATTATATATAAATTGAATCAAGATTTCTAGGCAATGCATTTTCTTTAGCAAGGTCTTTGTTCAATCTGCATACATGTTTCATGACAAACTTATTTATGTTGATCAGTGTTTGCATTCAATTTATATGAGCTAAGACACTTAGTCGTACAATTTATTAATTGATCTTGACAATCAGTCAAACAATCTGAAGAAACAAGGATGATTATCCAACTAAGCAATATTATTTAATTCATTTTAATTTCAATTAATTTTTATGTTATTAATATTATTGAAAAATCTACAGATCTGTAATTTGTATTTACCCGATAATAGAGAAGAACCAAACATATAAATGGAAATTATGTTACTTAATGGTATACGAATACAAATTAAATAACAATAGTGGTTTCATTTTTATTTCATACCTAATGACAGCATCCTTTCTCTTGGGTACTAAGTGGGATTTATGTATAATAGATACTATTCTCCTATGAATAGAGCCATAGTGTAGCTCTTTGAATTTGGTTTGCTCTGGAGCTGATGAATTCAACAATTCTTTTTCTGCTTCGATGAGCACTGTATTCTTTTTAAAAATGGTAGTTTTCTTGTCTCTTGATTTTTATCTGGAGGAGACTCGAGAGGCTTGCCTTGATTTTTGCTATTTCAATTTTTCATTATTGAGAATAGCTAAAAATTTATCAATATTGTTTCTAGTTCTAGTAATTTCTTAAGTGAGATTAGTTCTTAGTTGCGTAATATCCGATCTATATATTTATATATAAGTTGAATGATTTACAATCTTACAGTGTCAGTTACACCTAAGTCTTGGGTTGGATTTGTGTAAAATTTTCGTTTGCTTATGTCTTTGACTTTTTCCTTTTATGAAATTAAAAAATCTTACTAATCTCTTAAATTTGAGTTCTCTTTCTTGGAATCTTTTCATTTACAATAGTTGTGCATGATCCATTTTCTAAATGTTCTTTATTTGATCAATTTCACTCTCTTCCTCATTCTAGTCAGACTTAATATTTCTGTAGCAACTATCCTCTAATGTAAGAAGATTAACGCATTATTTATGCTTTTAATAATTATTGATATTATCAGATTCTATCTTATCAATAATCTCTTCTCTCAACACGCAATAATTCATATATTGTATCATTTGAGGAAAGCTTAAAGGAACAAATGTTAATTGTTGTGAAGGGTCACATTGATTGATTTCATAATCCTCCCTAATTTTCTTCATTAATTAAACAAACACTATTGAATTGTGAAAATAATGATACTGTTCAAGGCTTCTTGATTTTGGAGAGCTTGTTTGAAATCGGTCCAATTCAATTTATCTAAAGGTGTGTTGATAATAAATTGATACCATCTTCATCTTCGTCAATGCTCTTGAAGAATTCTTTCAGTTTGGATTTGGTGATGTTTATTCCGTATTTAATGAACATATCATACAATTCAGATCGATCTAGAAATTCTAATGAGTGTTATGAGATACTTCATACTTGATTTATCTCGGTCTATGGAGTTAAAGACGGCTTTCATCATATTTTATTCTCTGAGTTCTGATTCATAGAGAATGTATTTATCCTTAACTCTAGCCTTGTAGCGATTCCGTAACCATTTAATGGTGTCGAAAGTTTTGAGATTATAATTCATAAATTTTATTGTACGATTATAGATAATCAATATCATTTTTTTGCTTATTGTGCTGCCAAATCTTCGTCCATTTGTTTAAGTTAAGCACCACCTCTGAGTAGACCTGATCTTCTTGCAGCAACAAGACCGACTTTTTGACCAGGAGGAGCATATCTTGAAAGTGTGGATGGATGACCAATATGTTGTTAATTACCACCACCATGAGGATGATCAACTGGATTCATGGCCACACCTCTAACCTTTGGCCAGCATTTTCTGAGTCTTCTGTATTTGTGGAATTGTCTTCCTGCCTTAAGGATGGGCTTTTCAGTTCTACCTCCTCCAGCAATCAATCCTAAAATAAATTCAATTAAATTACCAACTGTGGCTCTGCAAAGAGCACTAAGTGTTTTTCTGGTACCAGATGGTAATCTAACTCTTGTTGTTGTTCCATCATCTGAATGACCAATAATGGTGGCGTAACAACCAGTGGCTCTTCCCAAAGCTCCCTTATCTCCTGGGTGTTCCTCCAAATTGCAAACTACTGTACCCTCTGGGATTTATCCAATTGGGAGAACATTTCCTGTAGCCAATTAAGCTAAGATTCACAAACTAAATGTTACCTTTTGCTCCGCAATAAATGTATTAGCCAGTGTATGATCCTTCAGGAGCAATGAAGAGCTTAGTGACTTTAGTGTACTTGTATGGGTCCTTGAATTCAACCTCAGCAAGTGGAGCTCCTCGTCCTGGATCGTGACGAATAGCAGTAATCACACCTCTGACATAGCCGTGTCTCTCAGCATAATCAAGATGTCTGTATTAAGGAGATCCGATTCTTTAATTTTAATGTGCTTTGAAAACACTGTTTGATTTGCCCTTTCTTTGTGCTCTGATTCTCTTACCCATTTTTTTAAAAGATTTTAAAATTTATTTTAAAGGGCTGTGATAAATTCTTTAATAAACATCATTAATTTTAGCTTGAATCACTTCTAATCTTTGTTGATGACTATCCCCCCCCAATTATCAGGATAAGATTTGCTACTTTTTCAAAACTGCACTTGTTCACCTATAATATCAGCTGTCTAATGCGCAATCAATTCTTCATTACTTTATGCCTCTCCTCTATTTTAAGTACTAAAATTAGTATCTTAAGATACAATTGAAAATTAAATAGCCATTTCATTGCTCCATGAAAAAGTTATACTAATCATATATCTCACTCCCCCTTAAATCCCTAAAATTAAAAAATATGATACATATTCTTCAATTCCTTTATAATCTTCAAGATATAATTAATACATAATTAAACTGTGACAGATGGCTACTCCAAATGAAGTATTCTCAATAAGCAAATTATTATACTTATCTTATGTAAGTTATATATATAATTAAATGTGTTTTTGAGTATTTTTTTGATCATGTTAAATATTCAAATGGAAATAGAATTTGTTCCTCTCTTTTGTGCTGATATTAAATTCAAATATAATCTTATTTGAAAATTAATAATTCTAAATATAATTCAATCTAAACAGAATCCTTTAAAATTATTCTCCATATTTTAAGATTATAAATTTAAAAATCTACTACTGTTTCTATGATGTTCTAATCAACCATTACTACATTATCCAAACTTCTTGTCATGTTCCAATAATCTTAAATACAATAAGAGTTTTCCCTATCATATTTCAACTTGTCTAAATTTCTTATATCAATTATGAAGATAATGAAAAATAGATGCATTCATTATATAAACATTATACTATTAAAATTGATCAAAATAATCACTAATTTTTCTCAAACTCATACAAAGCATCATCATGTAATTTAGCCTAAAATATTTAAATACAACTTACATCATGTTCGTGAATTTAAAATTGCCAAAATCGATTATATTCATCGTCTTTCTCCTCTTATGCATAATCATGCTTTTATTGAGTGTTCTATTACTATTCACCTGGTATTCCTTGCTCTTTGATTTGTTCCTAATTTGAGATCTCTCCAAATTATTAAAAATTTGATTGTTATTCTGATGATGCTCGTCCAGCTTGATTTTACTCTTAATTTTATTCTTATCCCCATGAGAAATTAGACCAGTCTTATTATTGTCCATCTGCAGGATTGGCTTACTCATTATTGCTGATATTGAAAGTCTCAAATATATTTTATAAGTTCTGAGTATTCTTTGCTTCATCTTAAAGTTTCTCATCATGATTGGATGTCAAAAAGTCATCATATTTAGTTTAGATATCCTCCTTGTTGAAGTGAACATCCTCTTTATAATCAGCTCTTGTATGACCACCCAATTCGTGATTATTCAGTTTCTCAGCCTTATCAAAATATTATTCCCTAAATTTGTTCCAGGACTCCGTGTCCAATTCTGACTGCAACAATGGATATTTCGATGAAAACTCTACTAAGAAATGAGCCAATTTAGTCACAAAACCCAAATACTCCTTTCTTTGGTTCTTATTGTTGCTCACTTCTGAAGTGCAGTTCAATAGAAATTGGATAAACTCATTTTGATTGAATAACTAATTATGATACAATATTGTACATTATGGACGAGATTATCAAATTTTTATTCAATTATGTGAACAATGAACCTATAATATTGCAAATGCAAGATGTCATGCTTTTCATGTTTGGAAAATAATGAGTTATAAACTTTGAAGATATCCAGTTGATATAGCTTAGTGACAAATGATTCTTGGTTCAAACTTATGCATACTCCAATGATTTCAAGAATCTTAATCTTATGTTATCCAAACACAGGAGTGGCCGATTTTTATAGGAACTCTAGCCATTTATCTAAATGAGACTCTATTTTATTGAATAACTCCTGATGGTTCACATTAAATAATGTGTTTTCAATGATTACTCCACTTTCAGATGATTCTCCTGGCCTAGTTTGCATTTTGTAAAGCAAAGTGAGAAGGTTATATAATGAAGTGCCTGCAGCAAGGGAGACGTAATTGCTTTCATGGACAATAGACTAGCAAATTAGATCGATTGATTCTCCGTATAAGAATTCAAAGAGAGGCATTGCCTTGAAAATTACATAAGCCTTCTAAGTGATCTCTTGGATGATATGAGACACATTGGTTGAGACCTATGTTGATCTTATATTGCTTTTTACTTCGAAATTTGAGGTGTCTACAATTCTCCCAACTACTCCTTTGAGTAATTGAATCCTCTGAGGTGTATAATCAACTTGAGTTTCTTGTTCGATTGCTAACACACGAATTACAAGTTCTGCAACCGAACGAGATTATAATTGTTTGACTAATCCATCTACTGAGTTCTGATATTAATAAAATTCATCAAGAAAGATATCAGTTCGCATTTTCAACAAGTTAAACATAACATTACAGACATAGCCTGCCAACACTGGGTTTACATCATCATCTGAAATAAAAAATTAAAATAATGCATGCAATAGAGATCTATTTGAATATTTGATTGTTGATACTTGTCCTCTCCAAAGAATTACTCTAAGATTTTAGGATTCTCACAACACACCAACAATTCGCATGAATAAAATGGATATCTAAATGCTCTTTTCGAATTCGAATCATCTGCTGGCATCTCAGTTAAATAACTGACCAACTCAGCCACTTGTTTCTTTTATATACTACATATCGCTCAATATATTACAATTCCATCAATTTTTAATTCTGATTTCTGAATTCACCAATTATTAAATCATCATCCAACAAAGTGGTCAACTACAGGTCTGGATTTTCAAAGTGGCGATCGAATGCATTCTCCTTCATAAGCATACCAAAATGAGTCCAAAATTGAGCACTATATGTAAGCACCTATAGCCTTACCTGAAATTCATCGTGAGAATTAATTTTATTAATGGAATAATTATCAAATTACTTAGTGAATTAAACTCAATACCAAAAAGAGTGTACTCTTAAATATTATAGAAATACCAATCTCTTAGACGGTTATCAATTTATAAATTTCTTTTAGGAATACTATTTTTATTAAATATAGAGAGTATGAAGAATAATAAGATTATTGAGAACATACATGATAGATATCCTCATTAAATGAAATATTATTTCAATTGTAAATGGGAATTAAATGCGAATAATCATTTAAAAAAACATCTCTTAAATGTTATCTTAACTAGCTTACTCTTTCTGGTGTTTCAATATTATAATCTATTTAATCTACAGGAATTTCGATATTTAAGTATTGCAAAAGGACATTGAAAATGGAGTACAAACCACAATCATGCCCATTCTCCTACTGTGGAACTCTTAAAATCCTCTTCTCTATTTGTTTCTCCAATGGTTGAAATAATAAATTTACTTTTTCCAAAATCATTTCATCGTTATAATTCATGGAATTTAGCATGTATAGTGTATTGTTCTAAAATACCAATGTTACAAAGTGACTCCTATCTACATTCAAAATTAATATTATTCTGTTGAATGCATTTTTGAGGATAAGTTCCTCAATTTCCTTTGGGATTGAGATTTGACTATTTTAGCAACTGACTATACTTGAAAATATATCTTAACTCATGACAGTGTTAATGAGCATTATTTGATTATCAGGATTCATCATTCTGAAGTAACCCTAAATCAATTCTAAATAGTAGTCGATCAATAGTTGATTTATCCAGTTGGATTCTCGTAAACCTAGAAATACAAAGTTATTTATCGAAAACTCCTTGTGGTTGAATAAATATCGAGTAGTTTGGCAATTACGATATTCTTATGGAGGATACTCGACCTACACATTGTTATAATAATAATATTCTTAAGTTTCTATTTTGGAATCCTATTCAGTAATTTAAGTAACTTTTCCATGCAACAAGTTGTCCTTATAGCACCCACTGGTTTGGCAATATTGCGTTTTCTCTTCGAATGGCCCATGCTTCCACCCCCAACTATAATGATACATCCTCTCATCATTATCAATGTTGCATCTACCATCAGCAAATCCTTCTTTAAACTACCCAATAAATTTAGTGTTTGCTTAAGATTGTATTTCTCCTCTACCATTAGGGAGCAAGGTATCTCTATCTAGACCTCCTCTGTAGACAGATTGATTATCCGGAAAATCGTAAGGAATGGGCATGTATCCGATTTGATTTATGTAAAGTAAACATTCATAACCCAATGGTATTTGATTCTCTATTATGGTTGGCAAAATAAAACTATTTGTTAAAGGAAGATCTACATATTTCCGCCAGGTCTCAGTATTAAAGACTATCCTATTTTCACCGTAATGATGGCACATTGATTTGGTTACTCACTCTTTTGATCAAGTTAATTCTACTACATTTCACTACAATTAATTTATATATATCATTTATAAAATAATGACTTAGAAAACTTATTGGTTTTTAAACTAAACACTAAATTAACAATTCACTTTTTTTTTCTCAAAGTAGGCACTCTTATAGTAGGAGCATTGTCTTAATTTTACAGTTCTATTTATTATTGTAAATCCTATTTCTATTATTGTTACTATTGTTGGACTGTTTGTTTTAATTGGGTTGCTGTCTCTTATGATGCAGTTAAAGCAGGAGGACAAGAGCCTTTCCTTAGGAACTTCAGAATATTTTTGGATTATTTTTAAGTTTTCAATTAATATATTCTTATAAAACATTCCGAATTTTCAGGCTTAAATCCTATTCTTAAAATGTCATCAAAATAACCTTTCAGATACCAATTGTCCATTTAGATTGAACTGAAAGGACCTAAATCTACGAGCAAAATAATACCTTGCACTTTCAAGTAATCATCCACATAATACCATATTTTTGAAAGCAAATGATTGGCTTATCCAGCAACACTCCTACTAAATACTACTTCCTTTTTTATGCTCTGCAATTACTGCTAGCTCCAATCAAAAGTATTGGATTGTTTGGGTTAAGGAGTGAGAATTTATTGTTCATCGAATCGAAATAAATCTCCCCCTCCACTCGAGTATATGCCAGCTGTTTTCAGAGGAGTTGCACAATTGCTTGAATACACAAGAATTTCTAGTCTAAATTTGTAAAAAAACCTTGATTGAAACCACGTATTGGGCGAACCTAATAGGGATTTTGACTCAGAGACTTGAAAGCCTGTGGGTACTGTTGACATAATGCCTTGAAAGCTTCAGGCATTTATTCAATAGGCTTTTATCGATAATGCGCAATCAATTAGGCTCTCGAAAGTTTTTATTGCATAAAATATAAATAAAATATGATGAATTTCCTTATTTCTGAATAAAATTTGACAACAATTTAAGAAGAAAGCATTATAGCATATTACTATTAAATTTGTTATTTACGTCAAGAATCCATGTCTATCATCCTTAAGACTCCTCTAATCTATTCATTGTCATCAATATTATCAACAGAGAAGGATTTCTTTCTCATCAAATCCTTCAACTCTTCAGAATCTTGAATTGTATAATATTACTATATACCTGTTCGCTCGAGAATGGAAATAAGAGCTGTTTGATAGTGTTCACCCTTATTCTTACATTCAACAACCGTATCAGACTCAGGTTCATATTGAAAACTATTCTGTAAATTATGACCCAGCCACTATTATTGATCACTACTACTGTTGTCTTGAGATTTCTAATTCCTTTGCGATGTCTGCAAACTTGGTTCTCGCACTTTAAAGACATTTTAGACAATGCGATTTCTGGGCACGATCTTAAATATTCTTACTTAAGACGATTGCTCAACATATCTAAAATAGTTAGAAATACTACCTCCTTTCCTATTGGTGATGATAGAAGGAGCAATCTTATTTGTTGCAATTTTAATTGATGCATTGCTTAGTTCTAAATAATATTGGATGATATTCGAGTTCTTTCCATCCATGACATTTGCAACAACTAAAAGCATCTGGACATCCATAACTATATTCAGTAATGTATTCATTCGTATTCCAATTGGGACACGATTGTGGACTGTAATTGAATCCCTGTGGTTTTCGTCTGAAGTCCTACCAGTTGTGGGCGTAAACACATAGGGATTTATCATGTTAAGTCAGATTGAAGGGACACCACACTGTTTTGTAATAGAACATGAAGAAATCATCGTCGTATTCTAGATTGTGAATGAGTTCTATGGCTATGTCACCTTCCGAATGGGCAAATGAACAGAATTTCCCATAATCGCATTAATGGATATTATTGGGATAGAAGGAGCAAAATTTGGTTTTGTAATTGTCAACTCGATACAACTATTCCACTCTGTTGTGAGCTCTATTGCAATTGTCTCCGTAAGGACAAATCGAATTATTTTCAATATATTGACATAACTCGGCTGAATACTCCACTCCAATCCTAGCAAGGAGATCAATGAGACGAGTACCTTTTGCGATCCTTGGGATTATGAAAGAATGGACAATGCTTGTGATTGTGGTTGCCCATGATTTTGCAAGGTTAGACTTTGAAGAATCCCAAATCTAAATGTTCCACTCGTATCTAGGATTGTAATTGTTAACTGAAACCCAGATTATTATGAGTCACATCAGTGGTTTCTCAAGATAAAATGAGCAAATTTACCTGTGTCATTCAACTTTGCATTTTTCTCTGTTTTCGATCCACTGTTCATGCTCAACATTCCTTTGGGGATGTGGGGAGGAATGAAGTTCTGCACCTATTATCTCTTGTTTCCATTGCTTCTCCCATTTGAATTGTATTTTTAAAAACCATTCCTCATTTAATCACGAGGAATCTGCATAAATTAATAAATTATGAACTCATTAACTCTTTTACACACAATCAAATTATCGAAATTTATATATATAATTCCCAATCAACTATTTGGGGGGGGATATCCCTCAATATAAGAATTCTAAAAGAAATTGAAGGCAAATTAAATTAATTAACATTTAAGTGTTACACTACTCTATTAAATAATTCACTATTTTTTATGCTTATCAAGAAAACCAATCTCATCAACCTAGACACCATACAATTTTATGATATCAAATCTCAGCATCAAAACATCAACCATCCCAATGCCACTATTGAAACCTTAAAAAAAAATGATGATCATTAAAAAAATGCCTCTCAAACTCAAATATTATGTAAAAGGTTTGAATACAATCAAATAGGAAATTACACTGTCATTAAAGACTTAAATCAAGCCGGAGGAATTACAGGATTAATTATTCTAAAGGATTACGCTTTTTTATTCAGTCATTATTAAATCTACTAGGTCAAAGACTGTCTTTTTTCGAGAAATTAGCAATTGTGTGTAATCATCTCCTCTAAATTTATTTCCATCTATCAACTTGAAAACTTGAAGTTGATCTAAAATCAACAAGTAGATTGGAGTTTCTATTATAAATCTGGAGCAATTACTTCAGATTCTCAGTATTTAATTGCAAATACTCATGAGAGCACAATTATATATTATTGCTTGAAAAAGCTAACAACAATCATCACTATCTACTAATCAAAACCGAATTTTAGTTAAATTTTTGTCTCAAGAACAGACAATGTAATGTTATCAATCAAGTTTGGATCTCATTTGGTTAAAAGATGGCAAATAAAGGATGATTAAATGAAAATGCAAACTTAGTTTTACCTTAATCAGACCTACACACTTCATTATGTGACAAAGCATTACATACTAGTTAGAAGACAATTTAAGACTTTCGAAAGCATGTACTGCATTTTTTCTAATCTAAATAAGTAGAGAAAACTTATCAGAACCATCAAAAGCTCATTTTTTGAAAATTTGCAACTGGATCCAAATTGCGAATCCAGGATTTTGATTGATGATGGGAATAAGTTGGTATTTTTTTCTTTAGCTCAATACAAATTTTATTGCATTTAAACTGGACAGTTCAAGGTTCCCTCAAAAGAATATAACAAATTAATTTCAAAACCTAACATAGAGATTTACAAGAATCAAATGAAAGTGGAGTATTTTTAACAAGAAGGCTAAGAATGAAACAATTATATCCTTATTCAAACGACTAATGAAAATATTTATACATTTAAAATATCAAGTAATTAATCAGAATTATTTATGAATCCAAACCAGTCTTCTTAAGGAGTGGAGCATACAGATTAGTTTAGACTTTGAAGTCGCATTCTAATTTTAAGTTAAGAAATTACTTTGTGTTTGACACTTTCAATCATTTAAAACTTAACAGACAAGGCTTTCGCTCTTCTAATTGGAAACCATGAGTAATCTCCAGCCATTTGCTTTGCTCTTATATAATTATCGACACCATTGTTAAATTTGGATTACTTCATTCTCAAATAGCACATATAGAATAGGTAATTCCAAATATTGTGTTCAACTTTAATGTGATGCCAAAACCCAGTGTTTTGACTAGTTTTATCGAACACCAATCTGTCGATTCCACAAATGAAACACTTGTGATTCTAGTCCTTCTCCTTTTACTTTTGGACTGATCTCAATTCCGAATAAGAAATGATAATGACAGCCAGGAGAACATTAATGACGCACAATTTTATGATTACATTTATGATGTTGTCATAGAAGAACCTTCCATAATAATTATTGAGATTGCTCAGATACGTTTCCTCAGTCTGTTCTCCTATGTTTTCCATGAACCTGCCTCCGACAGACCCATCTGTTTTAAATGTCCAATCAAAGGTCACATAAACACATTGCCACAAATGATCGCAAAGATTCTGATTCTTATCAGTAACGAAAAACTCAAAGAAATACACATATGAAATCAAGGCTACCCAATATTCAAACAGCACTATTATTAACCATAATCCAATGAATTTAAATTTAGCCAACCAAACAGCCTTTAATATGGGTATGAGTGGTTCCAAATAGAGAATGTGGATCAGATGAAATGCCAAAAAGAATGGGTGAATTGTTATTCCAATGATGTTGAATGCTATCTAGAGAATGTAGTATATAATGTCGAAGTCAATGACCAGAACTATGATTGAGATAATCACCTTAATCAACCCAGAAACCATATGTCCAATAAGTGAAGAAGCATGCCAAGCATTCCAAACAAATTACAATTTAACAGGGGCTTTGTCAATGAGATAAAAAAACAAAACCATGAAACTATGAGTTACAATATGAATATTACTTTATAGCAAGATTCAAATAAGCCAAGATCATCAAATAGTACTTAGTATTTGTGTTATTATAATCTCCTAAGAATCTTGGTTCATTCAATCGGTAATATTAAATTACATCAGGATCTTTAGGCTAGTATCCTGGGGGAAATGCTAATTGAGTATAACTTAAAATTATGATTAAGTTTATAAAGAATCCATTGTAGAAAGCAAGTTGCATCCAAAGTTTGCCTCTTCTAGCCAATATCTCTAAGAACTTGTGATTATTAAAGTAGTCTCTTAGGGCCTCTTAATGGAGCATAAACTTATAGGCTGAATCCACAAAGTTAACAAGACTTATTATTTTGGTTTTAGTGCTTGTTCTATCTGCTTGATCTAAGAATTGTTTTTTCGTTTCCTATCTCAATAAGTAGAAGCATGGCAATTTTGGAAAATAAGTCAGGTAAAGTACATCGTCTTTTACAAATTCAACTTATAATGTATTCAATTTGTAAAATTGAAATGCCTTGTGGATCATTTCGTGCTTTTTGATTATGTTGATCTTTTCTTCAACTTGGCCACTAATTTACTACTTGATTTGATTCAACTACTCCAATCCATGTTGCATCAAGGATTGGCCCAATCTTGTGAGTTCATTTAGTATATTATCCCTCAGGAAATCCTAGACTAATTATCCTTCATCTTCATTTTTTTCAAATTCCTCCAAGTCTTCCACAACATAATTGAGTTCTGAAAGAATAACATATAAAATGTAAGCATTGAATCCACTTTCCATAATGAAATTTGGTTGATCTTCAAATATTAATTTAGAGTAATTGTCATCGCCATAACAATTTACCATTTAATGATATACATTGACAAAATGTTATACTAGCACTGTCTTAGGAACTATTTTCTTTAATTTCTACACAATATAATCATCTTTGGTATTAATTTCAGCCACTACCAACAAGATTATTAAGCACTAATGCTTCAATTAATTAATTTGCTCATCATCTAATTAGGATTATAATGATGAGTCATTTAACACTCGAATGGAGAATTCAACAAATTTAGAATTGGCTACTAATGTTTGATTTGGTCTACACGCATACGCTTGAGACTTTATCGTCTTCAAACATTAAATTAGTTACTCGTAATTGTTTTTAATATCTAAAGAGCACAAATAGTTGATTGTCTACTGGACAAGATCATACGACTTTTTATTGTTCTTCTAATAACGAATCAGATTTTGTAACTCTTTGTTGTTGTCATTACACATCAATTCCATGATTTCCAAAACCAAAGTAGATATTTTTAAATCCTGCTCTATTGTCAATAGCATTTCCATTTTTTAAAAGAACTTGTCACTAGAAATAGCAAGACTCAAAAAGGTTAAGGTTGTCTTCTAAACATGCTTACTAACTAAGAGTCCTTTGATTAAAATCAATAATTAAATTATGTAGTCATTCTCACTTTCATTCTCCTCCCAAATTAAAGTTAGTATGACCTTTGTGCCTCCTAATTGATCAAGTATTTAAATTCTGTTCCCATCTATGTTTATTATTTGTATTAACAACTTAATGGCAAATATAGCACTTTATTTAGATGCTTTGTTTGACTTCCAAAACTATAAAAATGCTAAAAGCTTTTGTAGTATATCATCACTAGTAAGAATCAATTATCTTTTTTCTTTGTCCTACCAAAAATCGTTTGTAAACATATCGCTCACATACCAAATGGATTAAGCTAGTTGATCAGTTTCAGTAAATTCCTTAATTTTTGGATTGTTTTCAAATAATTTCTTAAAGAACTCCCACAACTCTAAATCATTACACCCTTGATCAGATCCATCACTTACTTCTGTGGCCTAGTATTCCTCAAACTTTTCAGTTTTAAACGTCTCTCCATTGATATCACTCATCAACCTCTCCTGATCTGAATCGGATTCACTCCTTTCATCTGGGACTTTCATTTCAAAGGCTTTGATCAGTCTGTGAACTTGATATTTCGTTGAAGTATCGCCATTCTTAGTCAATTACGAATATTGTTTTAGAACACTCAAAGCGTAACTCCTAATTTAGATTATGTCTGTTTTGAATGAGTTTTTCTTGTTGGCATATTCGTTGTACGTATTTATTAAAGGCAATAGTGCTTCAACAATATAAGTCTTAGCAGAAAGCTATAAGAACTCTTACTACTCAAGCCACGATGCTTCGATACTGATGATTTGCAAAAAGTAACTCTCATGCACTAACAACAATTTTTTCTTCTTTTTTGATAACGTGAATATTATTCTGCAGATGACAAATTTGATCTAATGTAATTGCAACAATTACCTTAGTTATACTATCCTGTAATTCGATATCCAGATTAGTATTCCTCATTTCTTATGTCTTTTCTAAAAAATAGGATGTCAAATCAGTGAAATCAAGCACTTCCAGTATTTTGACTGATAAGGCTGCTCTATCATCGTGAATTAAAACAACTTCTATTATTTTAAGGAAACTCTATCGAAATTCCTCAATGTTTGGTTAATTTGGATAGAATTTCTAAAAGTTGTAATTTTCCTAAAATGGCTAAATAATATAATTGAATTTGATATACGTTGATGTCCTTTGATTCGCATTGAATCAGAGCCTAATAGATGTCTTTGTAGAGTGATTAGCACTACTTGTTTCGGACAATGGAAGTGAAGAGTTCAATAAATGACTAGTATTTTCCATAGAGTTTGACATATTCTAGCAACTGATACAAATCATTTGAATTCACTAAAGGCAGCAAGTTCTGATTGTTGGAAAACAATTCATTGATTAATTCAATCTGACCTAAATTTACCATGTTGTATCTTAATAAGGGCCTTGCTAATTTGATCAACACAAACCTACGATATCATATACACTTATTACTCTTAGCTTTAGTAATCATTTCTGACTGATAGTCCTATTAAGCGAAGACATGCTTAAAAGATGGATAGGATCTTCTCAGCCAATTCTTATTGATACTATTTCTACTCATCATAGTCAGTTAATTCAAAACTGCATTCGAAGATGTCCATATTCACATCAATCACTGACAAGCATTTGACTATCAATTGGTGGATCACTTAGTAACCACCACAATTTAGGAATATCTTTCTAACTGATTTCTCATTGGCTTCATTTTTGGATATTATTGTATAAATCTCAACCAACTTCTCTAGTACTTTTTCAATGGTTTCCTCATTCTTTTCATTTAATGCTATTGGGATATCTAGACGCAACCAAATTTAGGAATTCTGCACATTGTTTTTCAACTTTTAAACCAAAATATACATCGTCCTGTAGATAATCTACAAATTATGTGTCATTATCATTTATATTTGCTTTAAGTAATTACAAAACTCAGATCTTTGATTTTGGAATCTTTCAATTAATTCTACGATGTGATTTTGAAGGACATGATCGTTTGCAAAGTAGAATCCTTTCAATAACACCTCTATAAAGGGTCTATCAATAATCCGATCAAAGTGTCTAATCCTATTGATCTGAACATGATCCTTAATTCCTCTTTATTAAAACTTCTTCTATCCTGGTTTGAGGAGGTCTTCCCTCAATAATCCCTATAATTACGCCAAATATTTCTTTTTATAATAGACTGTATGGCTCTGCAAATTGGACTTGTTCTCAGTTGAATCATGCAGCTATTATTTATCAGAATGTATGAATTTCTTGGAAAGAGAAGGCAAGAAAGTATTAGTGAAAAAGGCGATTGCATTATCAATCATAAAGTCCAATCTCATGTCCAAAAGGTATTGGAATATTTTACAAATCTCTATCTTAATTTCTATTTCATAATCCGAAGTACTCGTTTAAGCACTGAAGATCTTATTGTAAAATCTGTTCAGGACTCGTTTAACATTCTACAGTTTTCTTAAGAGGGGATCTCTAATTGTTTCAATGCTGCTTTTATTGATCTTCTTTTTCTCTGCTTTTCTAAAGAATTTCAATGACTGAATTTAAATGATCTTGGCTAGTTTCTCATTGACATTCTTTTATTTCAATATAGAATTCGCCTTTTAGTAATCAAAGTCATACTCAAGTAATACGGACAGTTGTTAAATCAACCGTTCCAATACATATTCGATTTCCTTGGAGTCGTCCATCCTATACTTGGCCATCTCATCATTTTGCTTAGAAAACTATCCAAATTGCAACAACATGAATAAGATTCTCATAATTTATAAGGTGAGAAGATTGTATACTTTTAAAGGTTACTGTTCGTGAAGATTGTTAACCATTTACTTCAAATAAGAACTCAATATCTCTTTGAATTGATTAATTACATAATACAAGGATTTCGTTTCCAATTCCACCTTATCGAACACTTCATCCTCATCATCATAGAACATGTTATCAAAGAATGTTTAACTATTACGAATGTTCACTCTGATCAGGGTTGGCTTAGCTTGAGAGATCAAGGGATCCCTGTCCAAGTAAATGTTTTTGCAAAGGGCAATCAAGTGTGCTCTCAACTCTGGATCAATCAAATTATTATTTAATAAGGGAACAAGGGAGTTGTCACTAAATTGTTCTCCAAAATATTTGATAGAGTCATAGTTTCTCTATAGACACAGTTGAGAGTATAAGAAGAATTGAGCCTTTAGAAAATTAAGTTCTTCCTAAAAATGAGGATTGGAATTCTTATGATCAGATTCAAAATAGGCTTCAAATTTAATAGAAACAGGGCCCATCTTACCGTTACAAGCAACAATAATATTCTTCTCTTCATCTACCACACATTTCATTAGGGTGATGTTCTTCTTCTTATTTATCAACGTCTTGAAAATCATCTCCTGATTTGCAAATATCGCCTCAACTCCGAAAGAGCAACAGGTGGCTAATAAATGTAGAATTTCTGTTTTTTGACTAAATGGGATTTCAGTTTTGGCAGCAGAATTTAAAGAGACCTTTTCTGTCAACCACTCAAGAATGAATACATTTTTATTGGGTTTGTTGGATGAAACTATTATAGGCATACATCTTACTCTTTCTAATTTTGGAGAGATCTTCGAGGAAAAATCGATTTTTACAAACAAGACTATTTAACACAGCTATGAATTCAGGGTATAGTATAATGTGTTTATGGAGTATAGGCAGAAACTAAAAAAAGCAGTTCTAATTTTCAATATTGTCTTTACAAATCTATTAAATTATATTGATAATTAAATACGATGTTAATAGTTTCAATTAATTATAATTAGAGCATCTTAAGTTGCTAACTGTAGTAATACATAATCCTCCCTTCATCTCTGTCTGCTCTGCTGATTGCCTTTGTAACCTAATAGAATTTCTCCTCCTTTTCAAAAAACTCCTTATCATTTTGAGCTATTTGATCAACCAATTCTGGCTTGAGCATTTAAAACAATAGGCAAATAAGGGGAAACAGTGGTTCTTGTCTGAAGGACTAGATTTATAGATTTATCATTATTACATCCTGTCGTATGAATGAGATTTGATTATATTTTTGATTAGGCGATAGATTGGAAATCAATTTGTTCATTAAAAAGTCACTCACATAGGCCAATATTTGCTTAACCTTTTAGTATATGAAATAAAACTAAATTTTTAATCTGATTTCGCCTTCCTTATTTTTCATATCGTACGCTGAGCACTTTATTTCTTAATCACTAATGTCTTACAATAATTCTATGGCTTCTATAAAAACCTTAACAGAATATTGGAGTAATTTAGTTTCAGTGTCCTCGTATTCTCCAATCTTGCGTAATCTCAAGATGTTGATGTTTCTATTTTCTTGTCTGTTTTTCTGATCTTCCAAATATATCCCAGATTGATAATGCTAAATCTTGAAATAGGAGTCCTTTTTTAACATTTTTTATCCTTCATCTATAGGAATCAAAATAAACAAGGAGAGTTTACTCAATTAGTTAGTTAAGATGGGATCACCATTCAACAATTCCAAGTACCGAGAGGATTGGTTATGTTTAAATCTAACCAGTTGATAAAATTGAATCTGTCCTCCTTGTCCATTTGTTTTTTCTATCTTCCAATATGAACTGCTCTGAAGTTTCTAGACTCTCTTCATGCCGATTCTTTCAATTACGTCATCAAAGGTCACTTTGAGATCCTCATAGATGATCTTAGTCAGAGACAATGAACTCAATTGGTTTTGTAGTCTTTGTATCTGATATTCTGCTATTTCATGAAATGTATCATAGGGCTATTTGGCATTCAGAAACAACTAGAATGATATGATTAATGGTGTACGTTGGTTTCACTTAGGTTGATTGCAATCAGATCTCCTGCATACAACAAATCCTCGTTCTCTTGTAGACTACTATATAAATTCATTTTTAAGTATGTTGGATTGATCTGGGTGGATGACACTTGGTCTGCTGAATCCTTGGAAACCAGTCTTAAATAACATTTTCTATTCTGAATTGATTTTGCAGCACACAGTGTCACAGTCTCTGAATCCAAGATGCACGAGATCTGTTTCTGATATTAATAGACTGGTTGGAAGTGCAATACAGTGTAATCAGATGGAAATTCAACCAATTGAACTGATTCTTGATCTATCATCACAAATCGAAGAGAGTCTTTGTGAACCAAATGAAAAGTGGATGTTCCAAATAGTAGTGATGTGTCCTGCAGTTTTTGGAAACATGAGATATTGGCCGTCATCTCCTCATCAAGATTGTTTTCATAAGATTTTATAGTCTGTTGTCTAGATTGAATTGTGGATTCTAAGATGCTCAATTACACTACCCTTTTTATTGATTTCTTTGTCGATGTCATTCTTGACTAGCTCCACCAATTTGCACAGCCAAAAATGATTGAGAACAGGGATGATCATAAAAATGCATTTATCAAAGTTCAGAATCTCATTTTGATGCGTGACCTTATGAACCAATAAATTATCATTAAGTTAATCAGTTGAAAGGTAGGACTCATTCTCACTGCATAACGACAACGATATCTGACATCCATATGTAATCTTTTTTAGCATTATTTATAATTATTGATTAAAATAATTGTAATTGGAAATACTACCTAATAGTACAAACAATACGAAAAATGATCCCAAATTATTTTATCCAATTTAAGAGCCAAAAGACATAAGAGTAGACAGTGAACCTGTTTTTCAAATTTATCACTGAAAATCAAATCAAGAATAAAATTGAAAATTAAGCAAGTACCTAACTTCTAGTGATGATTTGAAATTCTGGTTCTCACATGTTTTTCTAGTATTGAATGATCAATTATATAAATATTTTTTAAATTTTTATGGAGAGCATAATTGCAATCCATCTGATTGAATGTTTGTTTTAATGAATTCATATCATAAATTATAGATTTTTGGAGTATTATAATCGGGTATACTTAGATAGTGGAGATGGACAGTTAGAAAAATATAGAATTAATTGGAGTGTCTTCAAAAAAGAGATCGTAATTTTGATGGGTTGTGGTGTATCAATTAACACTATGGAACTGAGGGAGTGGTCTAAGTGCAATATCTCCTTGGTTTTGAAATTCTGAATTCTGATAATTGGTATTAAACAGACCTGTTGAAAAAGTAATGGATTTCTATATTATGCTTATATAGATTGTTCTATATTTTTTAGGAGAAAAAGCACACTTCGAGTATTTATTGCATTAAATTACTATGTATACTACAGACTTCTAAGATATTGACTCAAAACGTGTTAAGGAAAGACTAGTTGAAAGCGCCTTTAATAAGGTTTCGATTTGGAGGAAAATTTTTCTTGAAGGTTTGATCAACGAGCAAGGAGAAAGGCAATATTATACTTTGAACGAGGCTGCGAATTTGGTTGGCATTCCCAAAAAGACCTTGGAGGATTACACTCAAATCTTTCAGAAAGTTGGCTTGATTGCTTCTATATCTGATTTTTATGGAAAGAAGATGGGACACTTGAGGCAATATGTAAGGAAGAATAAATCCAAAATCAGAAAGGCCTTGATGGTTGAAAGGTTAAAGTAATACGAAAGAAAACGAGAAAAATTAATTTAAAAACACCAAACCCAGTGTTCACTCATTGGTGAAGAGAATGCATCATCAAAAGATACAGAATCAATTGATGAGAAATACTCTTACAATAATTTTTATAATTCTGACTTCGAGGAATTAGATGTTTACTAAGAAAGCTGTGTCTTTTTACCATTATTAAAATTTTGATTTAGTTATTAATTGTGTATTCTGAATGTAATTAACGTAGCACAATTGTTGTTTGCCAAGTAACTCTTGAAGTAAGGGTTCTAGTAAGCAAAATGCACATAAATGATTCCCTGTGTTAATTTGCTTGTTTCATAGTGTATATTTATAACACCTAAACACAAACTATTTATAATTTAATAATAATTAAACTTGAAGTAATTTTAATTTAAAAAACTTAATGTAATTCTTAGACATCACAAATTTAGAAAAGAATCTTTAAAATTAAAAAGGCAAGAGTGTCGTTGAGGTTCCCAAGAGTCCTAAGAAAAAGACCCAGATAAATTACATGGACATGAGTAATTTCAAGTTCGATTGGATTTGTTTGGATGAGGAGGAATTTGAAGTTATGAACCAAGATAACATTAAAAGTTACGCCTTTACAATTCAAGAATAGTTCTTATGGTTCTAAAATCAACACACACACTTTTCTTACCCATTGAAAGTGGAGCATAAAAATGTAAATCTCACTTGAATTTCCATAGTTTACTGAGTCCTTAAAGAAGCACAAAATAGACGAATACAAAAGACACAGCTTGTTGTGTTGGATGGGCTATGTGATGGGGAGTTACGAGAGTGCTTCGAATGAAACATACTTTTTAGCAATCTCCATCCTCGATAAGTTTCTCTAACAGTATCCATTTGTCCTAACCAATTAAGAACTATTAGCAATTGGTCTATGTTGTTTGGCCTTGGCCTCAAAACACAAAGATGTATTTCCTTTAACTTCACAACAATTGATTTAATTGAGTAACGATAAAATGGATGAAACTATGCTGACGAAATGTTAATTTACTATTTTGGACACTCTTCAATTTCAGGTCGAAGTCCCAAACTACTTCTAAATTTTTGATTATATAATGAGAGATTTAGAATACAGATATTACAAGCATATATCCTCAGACATTGTAAAGAACTCATTAGTTAGTAGACAATTGAAGGTCATCTATAAGTGCAGTCTACATTTATTAAGATTTGTCTCTCAATATTACGATTCTACAATCTTCTATTAAGGTGCAATATCCTATGGATCCATCTTTTACACGATCAAACGCATGGAATTACTGAAGTTCTCCGTTCCCGTTGATCTCATCAAAGTCCTATCATTAATACAAGCAGACTAAGAGATTAATAATACAGAAATCGTATTAAAATACATATATCGATTATGCCAAAATGGGATGTCTGAAAAACAACAGGAATTCTTTAGACAAACCTTATTTCAGTATTGAATTTTAATCATTGTTATTTTTTGTAACAAATAGAATAAGTATCAATAATTACATTGTCTTCTTCTTACTTTCAGCAAGTAATCTAGTTAAGAGATATTACGATATGGATTAGTGAGACTCGCAATTGAGTTCTTCTTCGATTCAATAAGTGGTTTTTACAATTCCTTTACTTATTATCTAATTTAAGATTTTAATTAGTAATCAATTGATTTATTGTTATTGATCGTAAATTTTGAAGGACTCAATTAAGGGAGAATAGAACGATTTACTGGAACATATGTACGATTAAAGTGTTTCTTCTTTAAAATCTTTGAGGACGTGTTGCTGGGCTGAGTTGGCAGAGTTTTTATAGGCAACTGTATTTCTGAGACCACTTTTAGATTTTTAATCGGTATTAGTAACAATTTATCATTAATGGTTTATTGTCTTTTGATAAATACAGTATGTCTCATTTATGTTTTTGAATGTGTATCTTTTCTTTAAGGAACTTAGAATGCTACTTATTTATGCTAAATTAGCATATCTTTTGTTAATCGAGTGTCACAGGAATTACAACGTTTCCTAAATAAGATTGTCTTAGAATATAATTTATTTCTTATGAGAATCATTTTTCTAGCAATCTTCTATGCTTAAAGAAATTATTGGAATATTTACAAAAGCGAAAGGCATCCTCTGCAAAATCCCTTTTTTTCTTCAACTAATGTGCATATTCTACTTAACGATGACAAGTTGCACCTTTGTACATTAGATGTATGATTTTAGTATTGTCGTGTCCACAATCAGAACAACAACAACTTCTCCTTCGAATCTTTTAGATGTTCCTGCTCTGCATTCTCTTCCCTTCTCTACTTCCAAAACGCAAATGCTTTACTTTGGCGTCTGATAATTTGGGTTTTATCAATTCAAAAGAGAGAGTTCTTTGTGTCTTCTTTAAAGGGTGAGCCCTTGTGCTGTAATTGGTAGTATTCTCAACTTTGCGATTGACAACAAAATTATATAAATTGGCTGAACTTTCCTCATAATCCATACTGGGTAACCCTTAAATGTCTTTCTCTAATTATCATAGTTTCAACTATCTTACTTAATTCCTTCATCATTTTCTTAGCGCTTTTAAACAAGATCTCTTGCTTTAGTATTCCTTCCAATTTTTTTTCAGGATGTGAATTAATTTTCATGACAGAAATAAACAAATAAGTAATATATGATTAAAATAATCCGTATATAACTAGAACAAATTCAACTAAATCTAACTTTTCATACACCTATCCCAAATGTCTTAGTATTCAAAACACTCACTTTTCCAATATTTTAGGTGAAAAACAATAACCCTCTCACCTTCTCATTTTGAAATGAGAAAATCTATTCTGAATTCAATTATAGTACCTAAGGAAACCTATATAAAATAAGCTGTATAGAGGATATACACTCATATAAATTGTTTCTTTTTGTCAAAAAGGTTTTATCTTTAAGATAGTAAAATGAGAATTATAACATTATTAAAAAATAATTTTTAACAATCATATATTTTAAATTAAATTGGAAGTTTGAGGTATATAAATTATGGGTTTCCGACCATTTTTTGAAGACCTTTGTTTACAACTTCCATTCTTGAGCTTTAAATGTGACAATATCATAACACCTGTGAATTTAACCTTTACTAATCTCTAATCCATAACAATGATATGAAATACAAATAAAGTTTCAATCATAAAATTACAATCCAATTTAAGAGAATGCGTACATTAATGTCTTAATAGCTTGATCTTAATTTTTCAATCATCCTTGTCTTTAAAAATATATTATATGAGTTGGTATAAGTATATGTATATTTAATAAAAATTCATTAATTGCAATAATAGTACTTAGTATCTTAATCGAAGCTGTTCCATTCATTGCAAATTTATTTCATAACTTCAGACAAAACAAATGGTTTTCTTGGAACTATATATTATTTTGATATAAATCTAAGTGCAAATCTCTCAAATCCATTTTATGGTTATTTTAATATTTACCATGCTTCTTCTAAATCATAGTAAAATAGCCATACCTTTGGATGTATTTAACTCTATCTTTGGATAACATGCCACCTTAAATTCAGTTTATAAGAAAGCTCTTTTGAAAAGAGATTGTTTTTAAACGTTGACGGACATAGATATATATGAAATTTTTAAATATAAAATTAATCATTTCCCTCCTTGGGAATTTAAATTTTATAATGTGGGATTTAATTAATTGAAATTATAATGGCATATAAATTTGAATGAATTAAAGGATTTAAATAGATAGATATTTTATAAATACTTCAAATATGTTAAATATTTATTCATTTTTCTTAGATCATCTTTTAAAATATTCGTATATTAATCTTAATAAGGATGGCTTACTTTCGTTTAATTGAACTAGTTATTGTGGGTCAGCCATCAAAAATTGGAACTTAACCTAATTACTATCTTCATTTTTGATAAATTTGATTGAAAAGGCCATAAATTCAATTGTGTGATCTTCTAAGAACTCCACCTCCTTCTCAAAATCGAAATTTAGATTAATTTCTGCGAACATTTTCTTGAATTAGAGATAATATAACTAAGGCGAGCAAATGCTTTCTTGGAAATTGAATTTTTTGATTTCTTCTAGCAATTTAGGATCCTTTATTAATCCCTAATCCTCTTAAAACTAATTCATTTTGATCTAAAATACTTATAGAATAATTTTTTACCATAAACAGTTATTTATAATTCTTGCAATTTTCTCTGATTTTATCCTTCTAATCAGATTTGCATTTCAAGAATTACCTTATTTCTTCATCCAAGTTCTGCCTATCTACATAGCTCAATTCCTAAAATATTTATAGTTTTGAAGAGTCAAATCGTTTGGTGATAAGTGTGTAGATATTTAAGTAGCATGAGTATTGATACCCATTTATGTAGAGTTAAAGCAAATATAGAATAATTGTGTAATTTGATTTAAACATGGTTAGCTTATTAATTTGCAAATATTTGAATGTATTGTCAAATTTATTGAGTAATTTATTTGCAAAAGTACATTTTGCTTGATAGAATTCTAAAATCTTCTCTAAGACATTCGTCTATTATTAGCAAACTGAATACTGTTTTTACATTTTAAAGAGTCTCACAGGCGAGCTTATTTAATCTTAACGATTCTATATAAATTTATCACTATGAAAAGGTTAAAATTTTTGGTTAACCTAACTCTATTTATTTGCTTATGGGAACTCACCAGTTTGATTGGCTCTCTAAAGTTTGCTGTTTGATCTGATAAATTGAGTTGTTTTGGGTTGTGATACATTATTATTATCTATTGAGGTCGATTGAGAATTTGGGTCATTTTTCTCCTTCGATTAAGTGGACATTGATGATTTTAATAATTAATCTGAAGAGGATTTCAAATGGCTAATCTCTTTTGTAGATTCAATATCAAAATCATGACTTGGAAACTATTTGAACAGTTCCTCCCAACTTATTCTAGATGATTCTTCATATACTAGGGATGACTTTAAAAAGTTCAATAATAATTGTTATTCAGATGCAGACCCTCCTACATCTTTTGGGATGCTTCCTATTATAATTTTATGAGTTTTTGATTTCTTTACAGATTCTATAAATTAAAAGAGTCCAAGACAGCTAATTGGCATTTATGAATAGACTAATTAATAGATTAATACACCTAACTAAATATATTATTGTTAATACACTATATATATCGCATTTATTGGAATAAGCTCCATCAATCAGAACCTAGGGAGCAGCATAATATGGAGTTCCAACTTGAGACTATTGCATTTCAAAATTAGGGTTTTCTGAGATCTTAGACATCCCATAATCGCCAAGCTAGTTTTATGTTTGATTATACCTAGAAATAACCGTTGTTTCCTAGAAATATATTTGCTGGCTTTATGTCTCTATGAATAATACCCAATTTATAGAGTTCCCTGTATCCATTTATTAATTAACAAAGAATCTGTATAATCTCTTGAGCTGAGAATTTCTTTCCATACTCTTCCCTCTTTTGAATTACGCTCTAGAAGTCCCCTTATTGACAATATTCCATAAAAATAAAGCATATATCTTCTTTTTAGGTTATATGAAGTAGTTTCACTAAATTTGGACAATCTACTTAGATTAGTTTCTTAACTATATTAATTTCTCTCTGAAAAGAGATATCTGTCTTTGGAGATCCTGATATAATCTAACATTAAAATTGTAATTACTTTAACACACAAGGGTATTTGATATTTCGGATTTGAACATTTATAACAAAACGAAAATGCTCCATGACCAAAACATTCAGTATAACGAATGATAAATCCATCAACATCGGAAGGAGAATTGTTTAACATCTATCTTAAAATATAAATATTATTAATATTTAATAATATATATGTCGAAGCTGTGATAAATATTGAAGAATTCTTTTTATTATCATTTTCTTGAATTTATAAGCAAATAAAACTAGGTATATTTAAATATAATCATCAATAATCACCAAAATTAATCAATTTATCATAATAATAGCAGTGATTAAACAACTCTGAATATTTTCTAGTCTAAATAATTTAAGGTTTCAAAATCATCAGCTAGTTTAATAACCACTAGTTATTAGAGAATTAATTATGAGCTGGAATACTTGTTATAAATGATTTAAACACAACCTAATTACGACTTACTTCTAAGATAGGTTAATCTAAATGAGTTCTATACCTTTATTTCTTATGGCCTAGTCATAACTCAAAGGGTCAACGGCGTCATTAGATTTGCATGGGATCTTTAATTTGATAGCAAACTTTAAACTATTGGTTGATCCGTCTGGGAAATAAGGGTTTTGTCTCTCAAATTCAATCCTTAAACCATCTATGAAAGAATAGTAAAAGATTTCAAGAATTGATTGATTAATTGATATATAAAAGCAATCAGTAATTTGTAGTGTATGTAAATATTTAGTTATAATAATTTATATTAACAGAAAATTGTTCAGTTATATAACTAGTATATCAATTGGAAACAGTTTCAATTTTCTTTTTTTTCTTTAATTGCACTGGTATTCTTTTCTTATTAGCACAATCTTTGCATCTACAACTGGATGAGCATTTTTGATTTCTTATATAGCATTCACAGTAGTTTTTTTAGCATTGGGATTTTTAACATTTACATCCCCAGACTCTCGATCTATCAAATAAGTCATCATCATGTGTTTATCGCTGAGACTTTATTTTTATTTTTTCTAATGCTGTTTGTCTAACTGGGAGATGATCATCGCAATTCTTGCAAGCAAAGCATTTGCAAAGTTCTGTGCATTGTCTATTTTAGTGGAAACACTGACAATATAACTTAAGACAGTTCGACTTAGTGCATTTGCATGGAGTTGTGTTTGGTTCCTGCTATTAAGAGTGGTGATCGGAATCCTAATTATGGTCTTGAGTTGTGTTAAAAGTAGGATTAGGCTTTGTTTTGCGAATTCTTCTACTTCTTTGTTCCAGAGTTTGAGAGCAGAGATCGTCTGTTCTTTATTGCTGATCTTAAATTTAAATGATTGGCAATTTTATGTTGGCATCTATATTGTCCTCTTATACTTGGCTCTGATTGTTTAACTTCATAATTGTGGGTGATTCTGGTTCCTCATTAAAATTTTCTGATAAGATGCTCCTAAAATAGATCTACAGCATACATCATATTTTTAAGTTGAGGCTAACACAATTCAACATTGTCATTGTCTAAAATAGTATCATATTTGTTCTGGTTCCAATAATCATATGTTAATGGGGATGAGTCTTTCCTTTAATCGATAGAGTTCCAAAAATTTTAGTGCATTTCCTTTTACTAATAATTAATATTGTTCTGTTGAAGTACACTATTGAATGAGTTATTTTACATGCAGTTTATTTATTTATATTCTGCCAAATCGGCTTTGTTGCATAAGTTAATCAATTATGAAATGCGTTTCTTCATGTATTTGGAAATATCAGTATTACTCAATTCTCTTTGGACAAAATGCAGGATTGGATGACTCTAACGTGGTGAGATCAAGTAATAATAATTCTATATAAAGAAATCTATAGAAAAGAGGAGGATGAGGGGGGAGAGTCTTTTTTCAAGAAAAATTAAAATAAATTTATTTATATCTCAATTATACAATACATAATCTTAGTATATATTTATATAATTGCTATATTATATTCTATAGAAAATGATTAATTTTTCATTGAGTTTATTTGAACCCATTATTAATTTCCTAAAATTAATTTTCATTTTATTTTTTAGCCTTAAAATTACATTAAAAATTAATAATTCCAATAACTAACATATATTAAATTAAACTGGTAAGAGGCTGAATTGAAATATTTAAATTATTTTTCTCCAAAATAAACTAATTTTAATATATATTAAATTAAGACAACAGGTTAATAATAAATATCGATGGGAAGTTCATGCATTTCGAATTAAAAAGATTCTCCATTTGAAGATGTTCCTTCTGTATAAATAAATGCTAAAGAGAAAGGAATCTAGTGTATCAACCAAACAATCAAGGCCAATTTCCAGTAGGTTAAAGTATTGAAGGAATCCTTAGATGAGGGAATCTCAATCTCCAACATTTAGACCATTGTGATTCGACCGAGATGCGAATCCGAAAGTGCCAAAATAATGAGTGAGCTAATCAAGTTCGGCAATTAGATCACTATAATATCAAACAAAATACCAGATAGCCCTATTTCAAGCGTGAAATCAAATTCTAAAAAAGGGATTCTAAAAAATAAATAAGAAATAAATGTGACTAAATCAGCAGATGGAGGCTTGTTCTTTCCATCTCCGTACAGAACTAGCGGTAAAAACATTAGATTCAAAGGGTGAAAATATTATTTATAATATGATTTTAAGGAATTTAATTCAATATTTTAATAAAATATATCATAATGCTCTTGCTACCTCACACCTTGGTTTCATAAACGAAAACCCTGAAGATCTTGGTTGGGATGTTGAACTCCTTATTAAGTTTCTCCTTGTTCACAATTTTCAACTGAGTTTTGCTCAACAAAGTTTCGAACTCCTTTTCGTAGGTGATTTATCCAAAATCGATGGTGGTGAAATACTTGATCTTGGGTTTGATGTACTCGACAAATTGGAGAAAGGTAGAATTCTTCTTGCTGTCTGGTTGTAGAGTCAAAATGAAATAGATAGATCCTCCTGGATTGAGTAACGATTTAGCCAACTCAAGAGCTTCGATCCTCTTGGGCATGAGCATGAAAGATGAGGAGAAGACTACGGCATCAAACTTTCCTTCCTTCCTTTCGGACACCTCATAGAAGTTTTGATATCTAATTTCCAATTTACGTCCTCCTAAATTATAATTTCTAAAAATGTTATTCGCTTTCAAAACATAGGCTTGATCGATGTCCACTCCCAAAACTTCGCAATTTTACGGTAATTGATTCCAGATGTGTTTCAATGGAGAGCCTGTTCCCACTCCGATGTCCAGGATCCTTTTCGGGTTTCTTTGGTTCATATAAAAGACTAATCTTTCATAGCTGTATTTTGTTAAGAAATTCGAGATGATCATGTCATAGATGGTTGATGGAATAACATATAGGGTATGTAGAATTTTGGTCAGGAAAGTCTGAATGAATGATGCCATTAAATAAAATATTAATTTATATAAAATGAGTTAGTAAAATACACTTTATAATTAATTTCTAGATTAATCTATTTGATCATCGTTTTGAGATGATGTAGCAGTAATTAGTTAATTTTTAGTGATTTCAATTGAATTCATTAAAAGTATAAATTTTATTAATTAAAAAACCATGTCATTGTTATTCTTGCTCTAACTGTTCTCATTATACAATTGCATTCGATTTTCATAGACCTACTCTTATTTCGATTCGATTGATAAATTAGATCAAATAACTGATATCTTGTAACGAGGAAATCCTTGCAACTTAGAAGCTTTAAACGCATGTGCCTTGAAATTATATATGCTCAATAATGATGTTTATGCTATTAGCAATCTGGGCTACTTCCATTTATTTGGTTTCCCAGAGAATCGAGGAGATGAACATTTGCATTTTTGTCAGGAATTTGGAGGGTTTTCAGTTCCACTCCTGAAATAGAATGAAAGTTTAGCTTACAATTATTTTAAATTAAGCAATAGATAGGAAGTTTAGGTTTATATTGCCTTCATGGATTGGATGAACTTTAAGAGAGGTGGACCAGTGCCTAGAAGCATTAGAAAATTAAAGAATCTGGATTATACATTAGCGAAATTGGCTTACTTCAATTACCAATATAATTGTCATCGATTCAGAAATATACCTGAATTAGAACTGAGTTAAAGATTTGACGAAATGTTTGGTGAAGCTGATTGTCAATAATGTGATTAATTGATGTTGATTGGATATCAAATAGGTGAGGCAGAATTATAGTATTTTCACGAGGTGATACCTAAGATCGAATTGACTCATGAAGACTTTTTGCTTATAGAGCAGTAGGCAAATAATGGAGATCCATAAGCATAACTTCAATTAGCATATTAATTCTACGCTGGAAATGAGGAATTGGGAATAAATAGAGATGTAAATCAAGCCATGAATATTTTCTCAAATATGACCTTGAGTGGAGAGTCATTGCATAATCAAGCACTCTTACATGTGATGAAAGGTGAATACTAGCAAGCTTAGATTTTACTCTAATAGGCAATCGAGCTATTTTAGATGCCTGATTCTTACAATCTATTGGGTTATATGTACTTATAGGGTCTGGGAGTAGAAGAAGATTTTAGGATGGCTTAGTCTCTCTTTTAATAGGCTGTGGATAGGGGGTTTGATGGAGCTGCAGTCACTCTTGGAATAATGAAAATGAATAGAAATGTGACTGAAGGAGTTGAGTTGTTGTTGAATCATACTGAATACAATGCTAGATGGGCTCTGATCTAAGCTTATGTAAGTTTTTAGAAAGTCTTGGATAATCAATTTGGATGTCAAAGATTTTTGAATGTCACGAGAGAGTTCATTAAATAAATTATGTATCCAATAATGCAGAATGAGAAACCATTGCCAGAGGATCCAAAATCATAATACATAATGAAATAATTCTGGGCATTTTTAGGAATTATTGAGCCGATAGATTTAGAAGAACAAGTTATTTATAGAGTTGAAGGAGCTGCCACAGCACTTGCTCATGACTTAACTGATGAGGAATTAAAGAAGAAGTTCTATCAATCGGATCTCTAACCAGAAAGCTATATATCACTCTCACAAATTGAGTTTGCATAAGGAAATGCCACTCAAGCACAATATTGGGTTGATCAATTGATAAGACAATGCATTGAAGGCAAATATGAGATGGACGCCTTGTTTGTTGCTTATACATGGAAAGCTTGGATCACTTTGGTGAATATTTTTTATTGATTGTTTAGTTATATTCATGCATATTATTATAATATATTAATTGGAATGGAGTAAAAATCTACAAAACGAATGTTTTCAATGGATTCTAATTTCGAGCATGCTGAATTCATATCAGCTAGGACGGATACCAAATAGCGTTTAGGAGAATTATTCATTCAACATCCCACCAGATTGGAAAGTATCAATAATCGAAATTATACCTTAAGTGTTCGGTCTGAGATAAGTAAGCTCTAAAATCCCAAAGTTCAAACATAAAAAACCTCTATTTGAATTACCCATGAGCGATACCTAAAGGTCATTGACTCATCAAACAACTTCGATTATTGATTGTAGCAAATGTAGTCAAAGTCTCTCAAAAATGATCAATAATAAAACTCATCATGAGCAATTAGTTCTCTCATAACCTACTCTAGTAGCTGAAGAGAGGAAGGAATTATAAGTGTAACCTCCAAAACGATTGGCGAGTCATCATGGCAGATAAAAGAATGAGTTACCTCCCATTTTGGCTCATCCCAATATATCGCCACCTCCCTCCTTCCAGCAATCTCTCAAAACACAAACTAAACAAAAAACCTTGGGAAAATTGTCTTTCGGACGAATCTCTAATAATCTTGATCACGATCTCATGCAAGTCATTTAATCAGATCTTCAAAAGCAATTCACTAATAATCTTCAAAAAGACTATCCAATCGCTAAGATGCTCTAAAAATATGTATTTATGATTGTGTATGTAATTCAAGCAAAACTTAAAAAGGTCTAAGTTGATCTCTCTTAGTCAGGCCATCAAGGATTTTAAGAGGTCTGCGCAGTCGGAGGATAAGTCAAATACTTTTGAATTATTCAAATTGAAGGAGAAGGAATTAAATTAATTAATATCTGGGCATAATAATTATGAAATTTATTAAACTATTGATGATATAATATGATTAATAATATTTTTAACTAATTAACACCTTATTTACGCATTATTGAAGTTTATTTATGAAAATTTTATGTCACTTTGAATTTGTATTATATAATGTAGAACAAAGCTCTTGTTTTGAAATAAAGACCTGATGAAACATTCCCTCAAAATATGGACTTTTTTGAAGTTAGAGAGGTCCCTATACCTGAACTTAACGATGGGGAAATCTTGATTAGAGTACTCTTATAATTCAAAAACAGGTTTTGTACATTGGAGTTGATCCAGTCATGCGAGTTTGGCTTTCTGGAGCCAAAACCTACATCGACGCTGTCTAAATAGGACAAGTCATGCCTGCTTTTGGAGTGGGAATTGTGGTTGAAACCAAATAGCCAAAATGGGATATAGGTAAAAGAGAATTCCTAATTTTTAGGACAAATCGTATTTGGGGTTTTGGAATGTGCCAATCTCTGTAAAAGACCAACCAAGCCTTTATTCAAAGTTCCTCTCTTTGAGTTAGGCGATCCCAATATACCTCTCTTGCTTTCTATTTATGGAGTCACAGGACTGACAGCTCTAAATGGAATGAAACTCATTCCACAAGATCACATACCTACTTAAGAGAGATAGAGAACATTTTGTGTCTCAAGTGCAGCAGGGTCAACAGGATCCATAGCTCTTTAGATCGCAAAACATATGGGGTTCAAGACAATCGGAATTGTGAGCGGAAGAGAGAAGAGAGAGTTTGTTTTGGGCTTGGGAGCAGACGAATGCATCACATATAATGATTGCAAAGAAAATGATGAAATAATTGTTGAGTATGGAATATTATTAAATTAAGCAAATTAACATAAGAAATAAGAAGAGTGGCTCCAAATGGCATAGATGTATACTTTGACAANGCTGAAGAGAGGAAGGAATTATAAGTGTAACCTCCAAAACGATTGGCGAGTCATCATGGCAGATAAAAGAATGAGTTACCTCCCATTTTGGCTCATCCCAATATATCGCCACCTCCCTCCTTCCAGCAATCTCTCAAAACACAAACTAAACAAAAAACCTTGGGAAAATTGTCTTTCGGACGAATCTCTAATAATCTTGATCACGATCTCATGCAAGTCATTTAATCAGATCTTCAAAAGCAATTCACTAATAATCTTCAAAAAGACTATCCAATCGCTAAGATGCTCTAAAAATATGTATTTATGATTGTGTATGTAATTCAAGCAAAACTTAAAAAGGTCTAAGTTGATCTCTCTTAGTCAGGCCATCAAGGATTTTAAGAGGTCTGCGCAGTCGGAGGATAAGTCAAATACTTTTGAATTATTCAAATTGAAGGAGAAGGAATTAAATTAATTAATATCTGGGCATAATAATTATGAAATTTATTAAACTATTGATGATATAATATGATTAATAATATTTTTAACTAATTAACACCTTATTTACGCATTATTGAAGTTTATTTATGAAAATTTTATGTCACTTTGAATTTGTATTATATAATGTAGAACAAAGCTCTTGTTTTGAAATAAAGACCTGATGAAACATTCCCTCAAAATATGGACTTTTTTGAAGTTAGAGAGGTCCCTATACCTGAACTTAACGATGGGGAAATCTTGATTAGAGTACTCTTATAATTCAAAAACAGGTTTTGTACATTGGAGTTGATCCAGTCATGCGAGTTTGGCTTTCTGGAGCCAAAACCTACATCGACGCTGTCTAAATAGGACAAGTCATGCCTGCTTTTGGAGTGGGAATTGTGGTTGAAACCAAATAGCCAAAATGGGATATAGGTAAAAGAGAATTCCTAATTTTTAGGACAAATCGTATTTGGGGTTTTGGAATGTGCCAATCTCTGTAAAAGACCAACCAAGCCTTTATTCAAAGTTCCTCTCTTTGAGTTAGGCGATCCCAATATACCTCTCTTGCTTTCTATTTATGGAGTCACAGGACTGACAGCTCTAAATGGAATGAAACTCATTCCACAAGATCACATACCTACTTAAGAGAGATAGAGAACATTTTGTGTCTCAAGTGCAGCAGGGTCAACAGGATCCATAGCTCTTTAGATCGCAAAACATATGGGGTTCAAGACAATCGGAATTGTGAGCGGAAGAGAGAAGAGAGAGTTTGTTTTGGGCTTGGGAGCAGACGAATGCATCACATATAATGATTGCAAAGAAAATGATGAAATAATTGTTGAGTATGGAATATTATTAAATTAAGCAAATTAACATAAGAAATAAGAAGAGTGGCTCCAAATGGCATAGATGTATACTTTGACAATGCAGGAGAAGAAGTCCTTGATGCTGTATTACCAGGAATGGCTAAGGAGGGATTAATCTTGTTATGTGGAGCTACATCTACATACAATGCTTGGAAGAATAGAGGTGGATTGACCAATTTGGCGTCCGCCATCACATAACAAGTCAAATTAGAAGGTATAATTCAACCTTACAGCTTAGGCATCATATTTTATTAGGATCAAGCCAAAATTTACAGTGGATTCTCTGATATGATTGAATTAGTCAATGATGGAGTAATCAAACATTAAGAGGAAATTTATTATGGAGTTGAGAATTTTGTTTAAGGTCTTAAAAGAGTCTTCCTTGGACAGAACATGGGGAAAATCATTATTTAAATCGACCAATAAGTTGAACATTAAGCCAAATTATGATTATATTAAGTTGTGTTTAATAATATTATTATAAATTATTAGTTATAATAATTATGTCTTTTATACATCATTATATTCATTATTTGCTTATCTCTTAAGATTCTTTCAATTTCAGTATCCATTTGAAGTGGACCAAAAATGATTATTCTTATCAGTAATGTGCTCAATGAATGTCTATTTTGTAAATCAAGCTCTAATGATGGGACACTCTTTTAATTCAAATTTCCTTTAACAACTAATCAAAATTAGGAGTGCATGAACATACCTTTCATTCGTTTTGCAATTAATCAGGATTGATTATACAATATATCATTTAATTATTGAAAAATCATGCAAATAACCAATATCACAAATTATGAATGTATAGAATTAATTTTTGACAGATTCATCTTTAATATGTTTCCATTCTAACATCTCCAAATCAGAATTCAATATGAAGACTATGTTATTAAGGGATGAGAGATTATCAAAATAAGTAGAATCAATTCATGCATATATGTTCTTATCTCCAAGTTTGAATATGTCTTTGAATAATTACTTGTATATCATTTCTAAGAGTAAATTCTGAGCATTCTAAAAATCACCTTTATGTTAATTAAATGACGCAATTAGAATCAATTTTATTGATTTTATGTCATAATCTATAATAACATCATAAATATTATTGAACTAAATATTTCACTAATAAGCAATTCAGCAAAATCAATAGTTGCTCCACTGATTATGCTATGAATAATGAACTGATTACATGGTCAAGGATCATTATGTGATTATGATTAGTCAGTTTTTTAAAACGCAATTTAATAGTATAATATCACAAAAATTATTGGTATTGAACCAATAAAATATAGCCATCTTTTCTTATTTCTTAAGATCAATCACTCCTTTATTTATAAAGGATAACCATTATTATTATAATAATCTAAATATCATGAATGGATATAATTATCAAAAAAATTAATTATAAAAATTCAATTAAAATAATTATTATAATATGTAATTTTTAGTAGAGGATTTAAATTTATTATGTATCATTATACTTTATAATTACCCTTGATACTTGAGTTTTTATAAAGTTTAAATTTATTTTATATATCTGTGCGGCATGACAGATTACTTGAGGGCTGTAATTGAAACACAACTTATAGGAGCATTCAGAGTGGCAATAACGATGCCTTTAGAACATGTACTAGATAGAATCAAGACCTACAAGCAGTCAAGATTGGGAATCACCTATTTATAAGTATATTTTATTTTTGTATTTTAGAGTTTTAGAGAAATAAAGGGGTGTCGAGGTTACCTGGGATTATACGATGGTTTCTATCCTAGCTTCCTTAGAAACATGTTCAAATAGTACTATCGTTGGCCAATGATGATCTTTATCCCATCTTTTCTTAAAGAGCATATTGATAATTCTTCTCTAAATAAGATTCTCACTGGGATATCAATAGGATTATTTGAGAGTTGTCTCATAACACCATTTGAGAGATTAAAAACACTAAAAATGACCACAATGTCCACAGGATTTGGATACTTAAAATACATAACTCTAGATTCCATCTACGTTGGATTTCGCATCCAAACTACTCGATAGGTAGTATCCTGGACAAACTATTTATACTGGGATCACAAGCTTAGATATGCGCTGAAAGGAGATCCCTCTCAGAAGTTAAGCTTAGTAAATGGCTTGATTGCTTCATTTATTTCAAGTGTTTTGAATATAATGGCAGGTTAAATATAAAATTTATTTATAGTTCATCCAATTGATACATTAAAGACACTAGTCTAGATGGAATCTAATCAGGGATATAGAAAGATTCCCTTATGGTAAGCTTTTTAGTTGGTATTTCAATAACATGGTCTATCTGGTCTATATGCTGGTTGGCAGGCAAGAATAATAGCCTATTTTTGCTAAGCGGCTTTGACAACTCCAACTATAGACTATCTGGAGAGGAATTACGGAATTGCCAAAAGAAATGATAAATGATTTACATCTAATTTATTATCTCATTATAATTTAATAAAATGAACAACAAACACATTAGATTATTTAATTTTCATAAATACCTTCTTTTTTTCTCTAATTTTCTTGTTCCAAAAGTAGAGGTTTTATGTCCATCTTTTTTTTTTATTTCATAAATAGTTTTATATTTGATGGATTGCTAAGATATTCTATAAAAATTAAACGTAATTCATTTTATATATATCTATATTTAATCCTCTGGATACCTATATCTCTTTTATTGCTATACCTACCTATAACTTTCAAAAACCAATCTCATTTGTGAATTTTTCTATTCAAAAAATAGTTTCAATAAAAATTTCAAATTATCTATTTCTTATTCTAGATTAGATTGTGAATAGTTATAGTATGCAAATTGGGTTTGAAATTTAAGCATTGTCTATTTGAAACATCAAGTTGATCTTACTAATATCAATTTTATTAAGAACAATATTATTTTAATTAATATGATTTACGATGCTACCCAATAAGTAGGAGAGTAAGAATATTCACAATCCTAGTATACATTTAACTTAAACTCCTTTCTGAGTATATTGAGTATTCAATTCATAGCCTCATTCCTATCAAGCATGCAAAGTTATTGCTAAATTTATGGCATTACAGATATCTGACTGACATTATGCATTCAATTAAAATCATTGCAATAAACAAGAATTAAACAAAGTTATGCGTTTTATTAACTCAAGTGTTACAATCTTCTAAAAAAACATGTGTATGCTAGAAATATCAGAGCTATTCCCCATTTCACTTTTACAGATTATCAATTCGATCAATGATAATTAATTCAGTCTATTCTCAAGTAGAGATTTTACAAACTTGCTCCATAATTGCAATAGGTCTAGAAAGTACAAATTAAAATTATTGCAATTTCTTAATAGTCTAATCTCTCTTAATCCAACAATTTTTGGATGTTTCAATAGAAAATGGCTTGCTATTATCATTATTCTCATCATTTATGAAATATATATATATTGTACTATATGTATGCAAATATAATTTGAATCAGAATAAAACAAATTGTTTTCTAACATTACCAATGATTTCGTTTGGAATCACCTTCAATACATTGAATCTGACTGTCTTTGATAATGGTCTTTAATTAATTATTTAAATTCTTACCTGCATTGTCCGCAAACAACAATATCTCCTTCCTTGACTGGTCCAAATGCTGGTGAAATGTGAACTGGTACATTTCTGTGTCTCTTTTCATATCTATTATATTTGGCAACATAGTGTAAATAATCTCTTCTGATGATAATTGTTCTGGTCATCTTTGTTGAAATTACTATGCCTCTATTCATTTATTGATTTTCATTTACTTCAAGATGGCTCCTCTGACACTCACGTTTCCTGTGAATGGACATTTCTTATCAATGTAATTGCCTTCAATTGCTTCCTTTGGTACTTTGAAACCAAGGCCTACTTCCTTCCAATATCTGACTCCCTTGGATGTTTTCTTAGCCAACAATTTCTTAGAGTTTTAGAAAATGCCCTCTTATTTTTGGAAGGCTCTTTGGTTTTGAACGTCTGCCATAATATAATTTTTTAAAAAAAAGATATAAAAATTTAATACTTTAATGATCAAATTAGAATAGAAAATAGAAACTAAAGCTTTATTGCCTCGTCTCAAATAAAAATCCATCAACGACAATACTATGTATACTATCTAGTTACTGCGCAAAACTATTCATCAAATGACAAACAAATATTGCGAACCTCAGCCCAGAAAAATGGCATCCAAAATGTTACCTGCTCAAAAAGTAAGGAGATTAAATTATTCCTACACCAAAGAGTGCTCACAAAACAACCAAAGTTAATCAATTGAACTATATCAAAGAGCCTCTACATAAACTATCGCCAACTTCGACATAGATTATAAAAAGAGTTGGCCAGATAACTACAAGATGAAAGTAACAAAATCCCCCAACCTGCCCATGAATTCAATCCAAATATTTTAGCAATTTAGAAATAAGTTTTAAACCATGGATATCAATGATAGGTTCAAAAACCTAAAAAATAGAACATTATCACAAAAATATGGAAGAAGAACTAGATCTGTTTCTCAATAAAAATGAATATGTAATAATTACTATTAAACTTTGAAATAAAGATTTTTCAAAGGAATCTTCTTTTTTTTAAAGAACATTCATTTTAATTCTTGTTTATTTGGTTAAGCCTATTCTAATTATACTTAATTATCAATATTATTAGGCTATTCTGATTCCAATCCCTCATTTTTTCTTATAAATATAAATAATAAAATTATGGAAATTAAATGTGTTGCAGATAAATGGTTTACAAACAAAAGATTTATATTTGCAATATGAATAGTAAGTGTAGCATCACTTAATTATTATTAATTAAAGCAAAATTCAATCTGATTAATTATAATTCTATAGTCATTAAATTAAGGGAAGATATAGTCATTGAAACGATAAATGATAGTATTCTATTTGCTATTTTACTTTTAGCTAAGATTTGAGGTCTGTAAAGGCATAGATATTTTAAGATTTCAAATTGAATTATAAATTATTACATATGTATTTATATTAAATAATTATGGGAAATAATCTTTGCTATTAAACTGGGGAGAGATCTTCATTGTTTCCTTAATTGCTATTAAAATATGAAATGGGAAGTTGTGAAATCGTTTTAACTGCAGGTCCTGTTGAAAATGAAGATGTGGAATGTTTAGTTATCCCAACCGATTCTGGATACACCAATATCAAGCAAAACGATAGACCTAGTTTTAAATAAGTAAACGAGAAATGTGTCTTTGTGCCTGGTAATAAAAGTATTGAATTCATAAATGCTTAAAAAAGAACGAAAAAGTTAGATTTTGGCAATCGTCATAGACAAGGATTTCTTAATTAAAAATGATGATGGAGAAGATGAAAAGTAGACAATTTACGCAACGGTTTAAGAGGCTCTCAGATTGGTAAGATGATCAAATCTATCCTAAGGCCGAATAAAAGCTAATGAAATCTATTGGATTCCCAGTATTTGAATCTAAAGATCATACTACTTCAGCTACAATCATGTTAATGGCTATCAAACTCAGTTTAACAGAGCAAAAAATAAAATCCCTTAAACGAATAGCAATCACACTTGATGTATCCAATTTTGCATAATCATACAAGCATATTGAATAAGTGAGCAGCTTTAAATGGGTATTTCAACAGGTGTTCAAAGGAAGCGAACAATTGAAACATTCTAGAACCTATTCAAGTTCTATAAATACTCAAATAGATTCGATCTCTATAGACAACATAAAGCCGAAAGTCAAAAGTAATACAAAGGATGAAACTCCTTGAATTAACCAAATTCATAAGTAACAAATTGATTTATATTGTTTAATAATAAATTATCAAATTTAAATGTTTCGCTTTCAAGTAAATTGTGTGCCCTTCATATTCGATTAATAATATTATCAGGCTCTTAAAATAAAATCGCCAATATTTTTAACAATAGTATCTAATCAGATTTCTATTGATTTTATGATTGCAGATATTCTAAAATCTAGTCCCAACTAGCGTAATTGCTAATTGAAGAATAATCATACTTCATATCAAAAACTTATGTATATTTGGCATAAATGGGTCTTATTTAGATTTTCACTAATTTTTATCTAGAACCACCATTAAGGATTCTTTTGTCATACCAAATTAATTTTGAAAATTTCTTCCATCTGGAATTATAATCATAGTTGGAGCAGCATAAATTCAAAATAATTTGAATTTATCCTTTTGATCAAACTAGAACTATCTTCAAGTACAAATAATAATTGAAATTTAGATTTTTGCTTGATTTCATTAAAGTCTATCAACAACATAAATTATTGATGCTAGGCTTGATTGAGATTATACTTTTGAATCCAAAAAAATTAGTATGAGATATGCAAATTTTGATTAGAATATCATCTTGTTTTAATTTTATTAATTAATATACTAATTTATTTTTAAATCATTAACCTATAAGTCTTTAGATCTGCTATTTATAAATTATATAAAATAAGACGAATTACTAGAAATTCTTTGAATATTGTTGAATTAATATTCTTACATTTCAGTTTTTTAATTATAGTATTTGATTGAATAGATTTAATAATAATATGAATTTTTCTATTTCACTTTTTTATCTCAAGATCTATGAATATTCCAAAATCTTTTTTTATAAACTATGTATTTCATTTCATTCTAAATTGATATTAACCAATAATAAATTATAAAAAATATTATAATTATGTTCCTAGAAATATTGCTTTTCTTTGTTATACTGAAAAGTCCTTAATCTTAAGTCTGCTAAGAAAAAAGTATGGACAAAAATGAATTTTTCATTTCAAATTTTGCAGATGCTCTTCTTATAGACACTGATGAAGCAGATTTTTCAAAAATTAACAGTATTGGATTTGATGTTTTATTATTCGAGTATTCTTAACATTATGAATTGGAGGGAACTTAAATATCTGCTACTTTATTAAGGTCCTTTTAAAATAAACATGAATTTCAAATATGCAATCTGATTAATAAGGACATTTCATATTTTATATAATGTATAATTGGATTTACCTCTATTAAGGAGAAAATAAATCTTAATTACTCAAATAAAACTCAAGTTATTACCTTACCTAATGAAATATGTTAATCAATATTTTATGACTAAAAACAAAATTTTACTATATTTTGTTACTCAGAAGAAATGTTTTAACTAATATCTGTAAACTTAGATAATTAGGGTCTATTCTATTCGTTATACAATTATCCTTAAAACTCTGAACTGAAGCTTTGCAAACCGATATCTATTTAAATTAAGCCCTTTGATTATGTAATAGGTTATCTTAATTGTTAAGGCTGGAGCATTTTTAGATCTTTAGATAACAACTTTACCCTTATTTTAGATTAAACTATTTTAAATACATATTAGAATGGTGCTGCACTAAAAAATTTAGTAAATTTACAAGTATGCTAGAAGGACAACCCGCCAAAGTAAATTTTTTACGCATTATTCGACATAGGGTACGTTTAAATTAAAAATTATAAGGTTTCAGTGTTTCTATTACAAACTTATGAACATAAAATTACTTCATTAATATTTGATCATTTATGTAATGTTATTATGTTTGTCGGGTAGGAAGAATTACTCATTTAATTCTAATATTATCCGTAAAGCTCTACGTTAACATTTAGTAAGTCCATACCTCCTCCTTAAGTACATCCCCATGAATAATTTAAAATATTATAACTTGAAAAAACCTTATTGGTGTTCATAAATTAGAAATTCATCCAATATTATGATATTTCAGGTTTGCTCTTATTTGATAGAACTTTTAATTATTTTTTTGCAATCGATCCAAGTCTAAATTAAATTTAATTCTATAAAATTAAACATCTACCCAAATATCTTGTACCATAATGTAAATATATTTATAATGTAAATTTTAAAAATTTTAATTGTTGTGATGAGCATGCTATCAAATGTAATTATATCATAAAATAAGATTCATTGACTCTATTAAAAAAACATGATTTTGGGAACAATGAAATATACCTTATTTAAAAGGATTAACAATCGTAATTGAAATTTATCATTAATTATTTATAATTCATGGATGGAATACCAATATTTCTTGAAGTGCCTTCAGAATACTAACATATATTAAGTATTGAAGAAATGAAAATTAATATCTCATCAATTTGTCAAATAAACTCAACATTACAGGATTCAATCATACTGTTTTTTGATATTGCACTTGAAATGTTTGTATTTTAAGATTAGAAAAATATTTACTTCTATAATTGCACTCAATAAAAATTAGTTCGTCATGAATAAATTCAAGGCAAATCTGTATTAATTACTAAAAATTATGTTATTATTGTAGATAGAATATTAAATCTATTAAATATTATCGTCATCTAATTACACTCTATAAAATCGTATCCTATAAAAATTGATTCTGAAATAACAAATGCTGAGTTAAGCTTAAATTATATCATAATAAATTTGAAAGGTAAGGAACCCTTAATTATTGAAATTTTCTCAGATGACAAAATTGTGTACAACGTTCTAATCAATAATGAAGATGATGTATTGTTTTATTTTAGAAATTTTTATTTATTTTAGATATATTAAGTTAAGGGGTACCTATTGATTTAAAAAAATGATAATATTCTAAAAATTAAGTTTCCTGACTGGAAAATACTTGGCGTAAATTAAAATTTAATCTTTTTTGTATTACATAACATTGATTTAACTTTAAAAATTTGCACTATAAATTAGAATGAGGTAATGTTATTATCAAATCTTGACCTCTTTGATTTTTCCATTTATTTACCTTTATCATACTCTTATTCCCACTCTAGTTTGTACATAGTAGCTCAAAGATAAAATAAATTGTATATTCTAATATATTCTTTAAAAGGCTCAAATGAAAAACTTAGAGTTATTATTCCAATAGGTAAACCCAATTTTTATTCAATAGATTAATATATTCATTATTATGATGAGAATAATATTCTAGTCTAAATGAATACCCAATATAGAATAATTAATTATCGAGTTCTAAATTTTAATAAATTATTTGAAATTACTAGGGTTCATTTAAACCTGTTATCACAAATAGATTTCAAACAATACAATACATATAATTTGACTTTGAAAATTTTAATTAACGAATTTTAAATTATTCCTAAATCCAACCTATCAATTCAACCAGCTACAAACCTTCAACATTAATTTCAAATATTTAATCACTTTTTAGGACCAATAAATAAACTTTATTTAAAAGATGATTGCCCTTTTAATTTAAATGGACCATTGCTAATTAGAAAAAACATTACTTAATGCGATCAAAGCTTATTTTCGGATTGTCTATTCAATTGGAAGTGTATTAATAGTTCATTGGTTACACTTTAGTGTGTATTTTTTAAAATGATTGAGGAAAATAATTCAAGCAATACCACAAAATTTATTCTTCTCTTTCCTATGTTTAATTGGTATTAATTAAGAAATGGAGATGTATTTTATATTCTCTAGAATTTATATACAATTAGTGAAGTATCCATTTATACGTACGATTCTATGTCCGATAGATATACTTAGTATAAAAAATTGAATGTTTAATTCGATGGTGTAAATTAAATTCGATAAACCGGCGATCTAATTTTATGTTAAGCAAACTCTTAATTTTTTTTATTATATGTTAATAGAAACTTTATCAAAAAAATTTATGAGACTAAAACTCTTTTTGATATAGTCTATATAGAGGATTCAGATGAAGAATATATAATATTGAATTAGAATAATCATATTGATATTGCGCATTATAATTTTTCTTAAGGTAATGTCACTTAAATGCAAACCTACACTATAGAAAAATAGAAACTATTACTGATAGGTATGAAGGACAATGATTTTTTAATAAATCAGATAGAAGCATAATCACTTATTTTTAGTCTTCTTAATGCTATAAAAGTTGAATTTGAAATTCGATTAAACGGCATTTTAAATTATCGCAATGTATCATTTTATATAACTGTTACTATAAATACATTGAATTAAGGTTTTGAATACAAGATCATCAAATTTTTTAGAAATTTATAAACAATAGAGAAGGCAGTATTTATTGATGAAAAATTTGGTATATTTAAAAGTTAAATTCCATTTGAATTTTATATTTATGATTTAAGATAAGAATAAGAATTTTATGATCCAATTAGTTAAATGAATATGTATTCTGATATGGCAATATAAAGCTATAATAGTACACATTATATTTTCAAAGATTAAAAATAAAAGTAAGCATTTTTAATAGAAATTGGATATGAGATTAGTGTTATTGAGAAAGAGAAATCTAAAAATTGTCAGTTAATAGCTGAAAATGAGATATCAAAGGCTGAAATTTAATTAATCATATAATAAGACGAGATTAATACCAAAATTAATAACAAAAGCATTATAATACTATCGATTTCTGTATGCATATTAATTGTGTTAATTATTTTTATATTTAGAAGATAATAATTAAAGAATAATCTAAGACTATTCTAGCCAATATCATTAGATTAATCAAAACTATAATGATTTTATAATAAAAAATTAAATAAATTTATAATTGTAATTTTTTTATTTAAAGAATTAATGCATATGGAAATATAATATCAAAAAAGGTCTATCAAAAATGTAAAAAATTAGATGATGCTAATCGATTTATTTAATTTTTTATTATAAAATCATTATAGTTTTGATTAATCTAATGATATTGGCTAGAATAGTCTTAGATTATTCTTTAATTATTATCTTCTAAATATAAAAATAATTAACACAATTAATATGCATACAGAAATCGATAGTATTATAATGCTTTTGTTATTAATTTTGGTATTAATCTCGTCTTATTAAATGATTAATTAAATTTCAGCCTTTGATATCTCATTTTCAGCTATTAACTGACAATTTTTAGATTTCTCTTTCTCAATAACACTAATCTCATATCCAATTTCTATTAAAAATGCTTATTTTTTTTATTCATTGTAGACAATATAATGTGTACTATTATAGCTTTATATTGCCATATCAGAATACATATTCATTTAACCAATTGGATCATAAAATTCTTATTCTTATCTTAAATCATACATATAAAGCTTACCATATTATTAATCTAAGATAATAAGAATTTTTTCATCGAAATAATAAGGTATTGGGGATTGAATAAAATAATAATTTCTTAAAAGATGAGTCACTTTCGTTGAATAAACGTTATTTTATATATCTATCTATGTATTTAAAATCACCCATTAATCTTTAATATTAATTAAAATTTAGGAATTAATAATTGAATTATTTTTCCAGCAATTAAGGATTTTTAGATTAAAATATTAAACAATATCTGACTCAGTAATACCTGGAAAATAGTCTTGTACTAACGTTAAAATATGTTTGATTTGCTGATAGAAGTTAAAATATGGACGAGGTACTTAGGATATATTAGAAACTAATTTGAAATTAATGACTACTCCTCTGTCTTTTAGCGCACCTATTAAGATAAATTAATCTGAATTTTTTATGCAATTAATTTCCTAATCTTATTAGATATTTATTTTAGTTAAACTTCCAGCTTAAAAGTAAAAGTACAATCTTTGATATGAATTCTCAATCTGAAGTAAATTACAATAAATCTTAATTAGTATTAAATCTTTTTCTAAAATACTAATATCTAAAATATCAAATGTAGTTTATTCCAAATCTGGCTTAATTATTAAAATTTGGAGAGAAAAGTTAACTATTTTAAAAATAACAATAGAATTATCGATTAAGAAATAATTTTAAGGAAAAATAAGAACATTAGACTAATTAATCTAAATTATAATGATATCCTACCTTAATTTAACCTAGTTAAATCCGAAATTAAATACTAGAGAATTTATAATTTAGGAGTTTCTATCAGGTTCTAATTATAATTTGTCATATTTTAAACAAATTTCTTCATCTATAATCTCACTTTTACATTCATCTATCTAATATTTTACTAAAAATGGTCCTTTTAATTTAGCATCACATTGCCCATTCAAATATAAAGTATCTACAGCCCCATAAAAGTATTGAGCAAGATGAATACTTAAAGTGTTATTTGAATGACTCAAGAGAAATAATTTTGCTTGTTTTGGTTATAATTTTTGACATTAATTTAATATTAAAATCTATAATTGTTTCAATCCAATTGTTGAATTGTCTATTTCTGATTTTAACTCAAGATTAATACTATTGTATTAAAAAAATTCAGAATAATTGTTTTAATTTAATTAGCAAGATATGTTGAAATAATGCATATTAATTACCGACAAATCCCCTTGTTCATCATGGTAAAATATATTATCATTTATGTAAAACCATTGGTCATTACTTACTTTTATAACTTATTTCAATTGAACATCTGGTATATATAGAAACAAAAAAAGCATAAGATATTTGCTATTGTTCTTGGTCGTTAAAATACCTAAATAACTTTAGCTAACTGAGTACTTGAGAGGTTAAATTATTTTGTACCCATGCAGTGAGTAAATATTCATTAATTTTAGATTTGAAAAGTATAAGCAATATTGTAATACTTAATTAGTGGAGTCTTGTATTGCAATGATTTTTAGATGAAATACTTCCATGCTAACAGCCACAATCTATACATTTTTAAGATAAATTTTGTAGTAGTTATTATTAAATTTAACAACAATGAAATCTTAATATTAAATAAAGAAAAGATTTTAATTTTAACTAAAATAAGTAGCTTATTAATTAAAGAATAGTTTTTGATCAAACTACTTTGAAAAATGATTGGAAAGCAAGGAAATTTACATTAGAATGGGAAGAGGTTAATTAATCTAATTTCTTTGAAAAAAAATAAGAATTTTATCCTCTTTTTAAATGCAATAGTCAATTGGATCTTTGAGATTAATTTTTTGATATCCGAAAGACGAATTAAGATGCAAGCCATAGACCTCAAGTTATTGTAATTGCTAGTTTATTATTAAAATAGAATTTCTGGAATGATGTACTGATTTATTACTTATATCTACTGAAAAGCTCTCCTAATTTAATCCACAAATTTAAAAAAATATAGTATTATTCTATATGTAAACAATATTCTCATACTCTTTAGTATTATGATAAAATATCAATTTAATATCCTTTTTTTTGTAATAAAGATTAGTACAATCTCCTAAAAACACATTATTTTTTGTGGTATGGCAAGTCAATGAGTTTATATTAGAAAAAATATTTTCTATTCTAAAAGGCGATCTTAATTAAAAGTCATCCTTAAATAACTAATTAACTCCAATATTATCACATCCAATTTGTATGTAAATTTAATTATTGGTTGCTGTAGAATAAGTCAATGAATTATTATCTACCTTTATTTGAAAACATTAGATTTGGCTTTCATCACAACATTAAAAGTAATAAGTTGCAATTTAGAAAATAAAGTATTTTTTTGGATTTTGAATCCAATTCTTTAGTGCGAAGAAATAAATAGTTAAAACCCCTTAGGTTTAGTCAAATTAATAAAAATAATTGTTATTAGGAGGAAAATAAATTAATTCAGAGTTGATTTAATACTTTTCTTTTTCAAAACAATTGTAATGTACTTCTAAGTAATTTTAGTATAGAAAAAATAAGTATTAATTAAAATATTCCATTCTCAATGAATTTGATGTAGATAAATTTACATTAACTAATTTTAATTGTTCAGAAGTTTGCTAATATAGTTATAATTGACCATTCTAAACAGAGCTAACAATAAATTTAATTATGCACTAACTACCAAATAATATATTTGTAATCCTCCCTATCTCTACATCAACTTAATGCTCTAGGTGAAACTGAGTTAATTCAAATTTAAATTTTATATAATAAGTACCATCAATTATGTATAAGTATGGAAAACAAATTTCAAAATTTTCTAGTTCATATTACAAATGAAAATTAAAGTTTTCTAAAGAATTTTCATAATTGATAAATTCTGATTCTTTGCGATTTTATATCGCTTAAATACTCCAATTTTTACATTAATATATTATATTTAAATAAAAGTCGAATGAAAATTGCTTCATTGTTCTTTTACAATGATTTTGAAATGGTAATTGTAAAAACTAAATATTTGAATGAAGATGGTTAATTCGATCGATGTAATGTAAATTAAAGTGGAATTATGTAAAGCAACTTACAACCATAACATTATTATTTTCTTTATAAATCTAATTGCATAATTCATTTTCTTGTGTTGGCAGAATAAATTAAGTTTTTGAGTAGTTAGAATTATTAGATGAATTTAAATTTGATAAATCAAGATCTGAAATACATTGAATAAAATAGATTCCATCATAATGTAGATTACAAATTTCCTTTAAGTATATATCGTCATGTTTTTCAACTAAAATAGATGATAATAATTATCCCTTAAATTCATATTGTGTTTGTAATTCTATAGTAATTGAAGCTTAATTATAATTTTCCTTGAAATAATAATATCTCTCATCTGATTCAATTAAAATTCTATCTTTCCATTTTGCTATGAATGGCTCCCCAGGCAATAAATGGACTTACGTACAATTTAATTAAATTCCATCCTCTACTCCAATTTTCAACAATAAGAAATAAAAGAAAAAAGAATTTAAATTCATATTTTCTTTGGTGATAAAAAGTTGTGTAATATTAATAATAAAATAACTAATTTTTCAATAATTTATTACATTTTATTCTTTTTATATCTATATCAATTAGTGTTTAGTAACTAAAAGCTTATCCTAATAATTTCTTATTATTTTAATTTAAATCATCTTTAATATAATTTAAGCTAAAACCCTTCATTTTTATAGAGAATGGCTAAAAAATATTATAGGGATAAAAGAAGTCTTCTTTAAAAGGGAAAAATACCATGAGATAATTGTACTATTCAAGATGAGCCCACAAAATTAAACAATAAATTATTGGTTTAAATATATTAATAAAAATTAATTTTATGAGAAATACTATCTAGCAATTTATTTTGTTTGTTCATATTATAATTAAATAAAATAATATAGTAATGCAAGAGCTTCTCGATTAATTCATAGAACTATTAAAATAGACGGAGGAAGCCATAAAGAATAAAATTAGAGCACTAACAAATAATAATGTTGATTTTCAGGTTCCAAATAATAAGTGGGATGAGGCTTCAGTCAAATTATTAAAGTTGCTAATTTAGACCTATTGCATAGATCAATAGATTAGTCATCATTAAGTTCCAGATGATATTTGGAGCTTAATATCATAGCTTGTGAAGAAATCTACCATAGATTGCAAATTGTAATTTGGGACAAGAAAAAAAATAAGATTACTTCAATAATAATGGTCCAAAAAGGAAGACGAAGCATTAAAAGAAATCTGTTTTTCATACTAAGCATAGAATAAACCATATAAATGGAGTGAAATTGCAAAAGAATTAGCTTAAAAATTAAATCAATAGAATGTTAAATTGACAAAATTTGTAAGAGATCGTTGGCTAAACAAGTTAAATCCTAATATTTAAAAGGGTCCTTGGGAAAAGAATGAGGAATATGAATTATGCAAATAGGTGTTGAAACATGGAAAAAATTGGATGAGTATAGCATTAGAGATGAAAAATTAAAGAACAGAAAGCTCTATTAAGAATAGATATTTTAATATAATGAAAAAGCTGGAGAAATAGGAAGTTCCAATATTAAGTAAAGCAGACTTAGAAAAAGAGTTGGAAAAATTATAATCAATTTAAATTGAAAAATTGGATTAATTTGGATAATAAGAAATTAGTTTTATTTTATATTAATTAAGGACTTTGGAACCAAAATTAATAAAAGCAAAGTAAGAATTTGAGCCAGATAAGAACGTGCAGAAGAAAAGCAATGTGAATAATTAACATAATGGCTCAAAAAAATTATTAAAAGCAGCAGAAAAAGACTAAAAATTGCATGCAAACAATATTGTTAAGAAGGTTCTTTAGTAATACAATTAAGATGAGAATCTTGATTACAATAAAATGAAAGAGCATTATTAAGATGTAGTAGCATAAAAGGGGGACACATTAGAATTGGATGAAGAACCCATAAGCGATTCTGATAACCTATCAGAAGTGTAATTTGCTGTAATGGGAAAGGATTCATAAAATTTACATCTCATTCCTAAATCTTAGCTCAAAGCTGTCATGGAGTTGATGAAACAAAAAAAGGAATAAAAAAAAGAAGTGTAACACTCACTAAGTAAGATTTAATCTCTTCCACCACCTCTTCCTAAGTTAGAATAAAAACTATAATAGTCTCATTAATAATCATCTTAACAATAATAGTAGAATCAATAATAGGTTTCTTAATAAATTTCACAATCTCCTTAACACTAAATTCCAGTTTAAATACCTATGGTCTAGCCAATTATGCAGCCAGTTGCTATGCCGGCCCCCGTGATGCCAATATAATAATAACTTTAAGGATAGTAACCTTAACAATAATAGTAATCTTTACAACAACAATAATAATAATAGCAATAATAATAATAATAACAATAACAATAACAACAATTATAATTATAATAGTAACAATAATAATACTATTAACTTGTCTATCCTTCAAATTTCATGTATCCATAAGTTTAGATGGCATAGGTAGCTTAAATACCAATAATGCCAGGTTAAATGATGGGATAAATTCCAGGGTAAATGATTGGATAAATGCCTGGGCAAATAGTTAGTTAAATTCAAGGGCAGATTCCAGGATAGATGGTTGGTTAGCTTCCGAGTTAGATGATGGGTCAAATTCCAGGATAAATGGGTTAAATGGTTGGCTAAATTCCAAATTAGATGGTAGGCTAAATTCCAACTTAAATGGTTTCTGCTATTCCTGGGTAGATGCCCTAAATTATATCCCAACTCTAACCCTAAATGATGTAACAAGTCTAAGGTTAACTTCCATAAATGGTTTAGGCTGGGTAAATGGCCACAATGTAAAATGGATAAATGCAGATGCCTCAAATGGCATAAATACCTTAACTTGCCTAAATGCCCTTATAGTCACTTCCTTTGACAGCAACACAACCTGTAGGGATGCCACAACAATTTATTCCAATAATGTATTGAATATTTTAATTGAATTAGATACACCCCTTAGCCAGTATATTAATAACAATAGCAATCTTAAGGGTAGTCAAATCAATAATAAAAGACCAATTAATAGCAATAACAAGTTCCAATTATGAGTTATTAAATTCCAATGATGTCTCAATACTAAGATCAGTATTTCTAGCATATTAACTAACCAACTTAGTAAAGGCAGCCTAAGTATTCATAAGTAAAATAGGAGACAGAAGAGCATTAATAATAATAACAACAATAATAAAATCGTAAATGAATAAAATTATTAATTTATTTAATTCATATCTAACCTAATTTAAAGGAACATTAGTATAGCATTGCTCCTACTCTAATTTTTTCTTTATCTGATATTTTCTCCTCAAGAGCTGAAAAACTGTTGATTGGGGATTGTTTTTTCAAGAATTCTCCAACTGACATACCTTTAAGCATATGTTTTCCATACAGCTGTATGCTTAACTTAGATGATTTTTTAAAGGCAGAATTAAGAAAATTAAGTACATCTTCTTTTTTTAGAAGATCTATTTAATCGATGGTTATTTCTTTTTCTTCAAATATGAAGTCATTGTTTGATATATGATCCCAATAAGCCTATCCTTTTTCGAATAATGTTTTTTCTTTTTATCTCAATTATTGTATCTAAACTAAGATATATTTAATACAGCTGCTTTTTTTAATTCCTCGATGTCAAAATCCGTCATCTTTTCAACATCCTTATAGAATTATTAAAGAAAGTCTTCGATATATTAGTTTACTTAATAAGGGGTTTGAGCACTACCTTAGACCAGAATTGCAGCTCCGTCAAGACACTCCAATGGTTAAAACTTAGCAGAAACCAAGTATCCCAATTGTTTTTCTGTTCGTAAATAATTGAATGCGTAACTGTCAAAGGTGCCTTTCAAGATATTCATAATAGCAAATTATTTTCTATTTCTATTTCCAAAAATATAATAATTTAATGTAGCTCCATTATTTTCATTAGATTCTGCTACATACGGAACAATATAATTATGAGAGAGCTTTAGAATTTTTGAATAGAAGGGATTGTAATCCAAGTGTTTTGGCTTACCAAATAGCTTTTTCTCAATAGATTTGAAAAGAGAGAGTGCTTCTTCTCTAAGTACATTTCCTGTTAAATAGAGTTAAAAGTTTGTTCCTTTAAATAATTAGGAATGGAATTACTCGTAATCTTTAATATTGATGTTCTTTAGTTCTTATAAGATTTAATTTGGTTCATAGGAACCGAATATAAGAGTCTATAGTTTAAATGGTGATTTTTACATTTAAGAAAAAGTGATTTTCAATTTGAGAATACAAAGGGCTTTGTATTTCTTGTTTATATTGATTAATCAAAGTCTTGATGGTTTGATAGTAAATCTGTTTATCAATTTGTGGTTTTGTGAAGAATATTAATGAATCATCTATGAAATTAAAGAATTAATCATTCCAACCATAAATATTAAATATAATGTGATTGGGTGATGATTAAAACTTGAAATTGTAATTATTTTTAAAGGCTGATTCTAAATTTTATGAAATTAAAGCAGAAGTATAGGATTGAAATACTTTTAAGAGGACTTGTTATTTTAAATTGAATTGGAAGTTGATTTTATCTATTTTCATTCCCATAAAAATGGCTGGTGTTTTATAAGATCTATCTAACTTCCACCACAATTTTCCAATTGATGATTTAAACAAATATTCAGGAAGAGGATATAATTCTTCATATTAGTGTTCATATTGTAAACATTCCTTATTAGATTAAAAACAATTATTACTTCAACATTAGAAAAGACCATTTCTGAATTTCTTTGTATGAGCATATTCTTATTTTGTAAATCCTCATAAGGATCTTCATCAGTTTTACTCTACGAATAAGGTTTGCAAAATGATTTCATTTTCAAATCATTTGGCTAGTATTTATGAATGGAAGGCAATTAAAATTTTGGTTGTTCAACTTCATCATAAGTCTATATTTTCTATATGACTGAGTCTGAGATGTCCAAATAAGCATAATTAATTCTGTTGACTTTATCATATTAGACATCAGGATGATATAATTGGGAATCCCCTAAAAAGACATTCAAATTATCAATATCCAATAGATCTGTAAGATAAAAGTATATTAATTCTGGGTCGTATTCTTCGTACAAATATTTTCTTGATAAAACATCATGAACTCCATAGATATTCAAATTGTGAGCAATTTCTTAAATATCCTCAATGATGTTCTCTTTGAAATTGAATTTCAGTGATGCTGTTTTCTTATAATCATGATATAAGGATCTTAATTTAGCATTATCAGCTACAGTGTCCCCTTAATCGTCGAATAAAGTCTGTATGAGGTAGTAATAATAAGAGAAGACAGATTAAATAATCTGATCATAGTCATTGAAATTTTCAACTTAAAATTCTAAAGCCAGAACACTAAAACAGCCGTTATGATCATTGAATAAGATACCACTTGACATATCTATAATGAGATTTTTTGATATTAGGTATTCCTTAACTCCTTTGCTTGATTAAATTAGATTATTAATGAATTCGATTGATTTTGTTTTGTATTATTATTGAACATCAGACAATTAATGAGTGATGTAAACTTTCTTTACATCTGAATTCGATTGATATTAGATCAATTAAGTGCCATATTAGATTGGAGATCCAAAATCTTCGCATGTAGGTTCAACTAAATTGTTATTTTTGATTTTTTCAAAATTCTTTATATACGATTTAAGTTCAGATATTGGCAAACTGCTTTCTACAACCAATGACATCAAATTAGATGAGTAGGCTTAATTAAAAAATTCCTTCAACTTTTCTGATACTATCGAATGTATATTAAAGATAAATTACTTTCATCCTTTAATAAAGTATTTAAGTTTCCTATTGAAAACTGGCTAAATGGATGTGATTTTTCTGAGATTATCTTTAATAAGGCTTCAATTTTCCATTCATCAGTACCAGTGATTATTTCATACTCATTATTTACTGCATTCACTTCCTTCTCTATCATCTTCTGATCCAAAATAGGGTCGATGAAGAAGTGACTAAACACATCTAAACCTTAATGCAATGCGCTGTTTTGGATTGTAAAGTAATAATTGGTTTCATAATTGTCTGTGTAGGCATTGTTTGTTCCTCCATTGTTGTAAATCAAATTATTAAAATAATTAGAGTCTGGAAATGTATGAGATCCGACAAATAGCATGTGCTCTAATAGATGTGCTAAGCCACCATAATTAGCTGGTTCTTGGAAGGATCCTGCTTTTACACTTAACGCCACTTATGAAATAATTGCATCGTTATTTTAGATCAATAAAACAGTGAGTCCATTATCCAAAGTGATTTATTCATAAATATTGGTGTCAATCAAGGGTTTTTTAATTAGCTATTTCTAAAGAAATGATGTTTGATCATGCTATGTGGGTTTTTACTATTAAATCATCATAGTAAGCATAAAAGTTATTAAACAGAATACGATTATGAGCATTATTGTGTTAAATATTGGGGACACTATCTTCTTGTATCCCTTTGCATTATTTAATTTTATTTTGGAATCGACTAATCCTTGCAGTTCTTCTTTCATTAAAAACGATAATATTAATTTGTGATTTTTAATAAATAAATTTAAAAAAAAACAAACAATTAACAATATGCTCTACGCAACAAATAGCTTGTATTACAGATAATTCCTCACCACCACAGGAAAGTAATGAAAATATTCATATTCAAATTAGGAAATCAAAAGCACAATATTAACCATAGCAATAATAAACAATTGCAAAGGGATAAAACTCTGAGCATCCAGCTGCTTAAAGTGCATGATTTATATATTCAAAATATATCACACATATATTAAATGCGAAGTATTTGTTTGAGTTGCTGTTCTAAGTTGCTTAGAGTATTTTCGAGTATTTTCTCCACAAATTAGATTATAATAAATTATATTGATTAAAGTTAGAGTCTTTAAATAACCTATTTATAATTTATACGTAATCAAACTAGAATTTGATAAATTTCCATGATTATCTATAAATATTTACATACTTAATTAGAGACTAAAGAACTAGTTATTATGAATTTAAATAATATAAATATTTGTGCACTCGAAATGAAATGTCATGATGACAAACCAGCCTCATAATCTTATTAATTTCTTGATAAATTAGGCGAAGGGTATACATAATCTTTACAGCTTAAGTTCCTTTGGATATATCTGGAAAGTTAAGTAAATCTCCACTGGCTAGATTTATGCCTGCAAATTAGTAAAAAATACGATGAAAAAAGAGAGGACACTTCTTTAAAGAGAAATAAAGATTTTGTAAATATTAAAAGGAAAAAAGGGTAATGATTCATCTGCTAACTGAAGGATTTACCCAATTAATCACATCTGGTTAGGATCACCGGAACACTTATTTTATTATGAATTTGCTAGGAGATAACTTGGAATAGGTAAGAATGAAATGTGGCAATTTTGATTCTACTACTATATTGAATACAGGGCAGTAGATGATTCAGCTACTTAAAGACCTTCATCATTCAAATATTATCCATAGAGACATTAAGCCTGAGAACTTTGTGGTTTATTAGGACAAAATACATTTGATTGATTTTGGATTATCCAAATAATATATTTAAGATGGAAAACATATAGAATTCAGAGAGAATAAGGGTATGATTGGAACTGCAAGATATGCTTCCATTAATAGTTTAAAAGGCAATGAATAATCTAGGAGAGATGACTTGGAATCTGTAGGTTACTTGCTAATCTACCTATTCATGGGCACATTACCATGGAACAATATTGTAGCTGATGACAAGATTGTCAAATATTATAAAATACAGAGAATGAAGGAAGCATTTAAACCAGAAACATACATTAACCTTCCTCCAGAATTATCAAAATACCTTGAATATGTAAGGAGACTTAAATTTGATCAATAACCTGATTACGATTATTTATTCAAATTATTTAGGAGAGGAGAAGATTTAACTGGAACTCCAAAATTGTAAATCTAATAAAATCACATGTCAATCAAAACCAATTTAGTACATTTAAAGAACATCGATAGAACTCAATGTTAGACTACTCGCAAATTGTTTAATCATGTTGAAAACACCAGTCGTCGGATAACCTTTGAAGATCTCAGCTCAGCTGGGGCAGACATAATGGAGGAGTTGGATAATAATGAGAGAATTCAATTAAAAAATCTATAAGTAGGCATAAAACAACCAAATACTTTCAATAAATTAAACAAAGTCAGAATGGGGTCAGACTAAATATTTGAAATAGAAAATAAACTACAATACTAAGTACCTTTTTCATTAAAATAACTAAAATGAATAAATTGATTATTATTGATTATAATATGAAAGTTATATTATATTGTTCAAGTTTTTCATCCATTATCCAATTTTTTTAAGTTATTTTATAGGAAAATGTATTAGATATTTGGTTTCACACAATGGTTATATTTAAATTTTAGAATAAATATAATTATACAATCTAAAATTGTAATTTTGACTTCTCAATCTGATTGACAACCACAATGATAATAACAATTTCCTGTGGTACTATTAATTTTTATTGATAATAAGGGTGATTATAGAAAAACATTTAAAAAAAGTACATAATTATAATATTTTATATGAATATATATAAAAAGCATGCTTATAATAAATTTAATTAAATTGTTAAAAAAAGTCTTCCTGTAATAGAAAAATGTCGATTTCATCGTTAAATAGGAAAATGAATTAGTTATTAAATTCCATTTTAGGAAAATAGGAGGAATGCATAAGATTAAATATTCTGGATTTGTATAATAGCGTTCTCGATCCTGAATTTGATGAATATTTATTTTAACTCTGGTAGTTACTATTACATTAGTTTAGTTATCTCTTCTATGTTACTGATAATAAATAAATAAAGGAGCTACTTTATAATTATGCTTTTTAAAATACTGCACATTTTTTTAGATTAGAATGGATGCTAAAAGCTTTGAATGAAGACTCCAAGTGTGTAAAAGTGAAGAGTGGCTTTTCTACATTTTTGAAAGTATTTTCGAAGAAATATTTCTTAGTAATTGGAAACTGAGTTTACTTCTCAATATTGGAATTTAGCAGGGAAATCATAAAAAAGTAAAAATTACAATTTATAATCTTAGCCAAATTGGTAAATAGTCCATCAATTTATAAAGATAAACAGGATCAAATAATATTCAATTTGATTGAATAAAGCTTGAGATTGAAAAAAATAGATATAGAAAAATAGAAGGATCATATGAAATCTTTTTTAATGGTCATAAATCAAATGATAACAAGTTTAAGATTTTCTGGGCAACCGGAATTTTGTGGTTTAACTATTCCGTTAAACTGTGACAATGTAGATTCTTTTTTAATAGTAAATTTACTTGAAGATGAGTTTACTTGTTTCAATACAGCAAAAAGAGTTCCTTATAAGATTATCATAGAAACAGTGAAGTAAGTGTAAATAAATGAACAATTAGTCCTTCAGAATTGGAGTTGATACAAAATATTAATGAATTAAGTTAGAATAAATTGCCATAGCTGATTCCTATATATGACATAGAAAAGGAAATGAAAAGTATTTCTTAGGTCAAAATATATTAACAATATAATATCGAGGAATTAAAGAAGTATTAATTGTTATTAGTTTTTTATAGATTGGCCTTAAGAAAAATAGATTTTCAAAGAATGCAAAACTTGCAAAGGTAGAGCAAGATTGCTGAAAAGGATGTACATGTTTCCAGATCTTCAAACTCTTCGATTTGGGGTGAGGATTGGAATATTACAAAGTAAAAGATAAAATAAAATTCACTATATGGGAAATTGAAAACTCATGAAGTTAGATAGATTATCATAAAAGGAGGTGATGATCTCAGAAGCGAGCTCTTAATTATGTAGATGATGAGAAAAATTAATGAAATATTCAAGCAGAAGAAATATAATCTTTATCTTCGACCTTATGATATTATTCTGACATCTCCAAATAGTGGTATATTGGAATTCATACCAAATACTGTTTCTATTGATAAGATTAAAAGAGAACATTAAGGAATCTCGTTGAGAAAATTTTACGAAATGAATTTTGATAACTTTCAAGAGGCTCAAAAGAACTTTGCTGAAAGTTTGGCGGCATACTCATTAATTTGTTACCTATTCTAATTAAAAGACAGACACAATGGGAATATTTTAATCGATAATTAAGGCCACATAATTCACATAGACTTTGGTTTTGTATTGACATTGACTCCAGGTAATATTGGTTTTGAGTCAGCTCCATTTAAATTAATAAGTGAGTATGAGGAATTATTAAATGGTAAGGACAGTGATATGTTTATGTATTACAAAGTTATGATATATTCAGGTATGTATTAATATTTAATTTTATAGGTCTTGCTATTTTGTAAGAGAACATTACAGAATTAATAACCTTTGTAAAATTAATTAATTTCAGTCCAAATCATAACCTGTTGAATTGCTTGGAGAATTTTAGTATCAATGAATTCAAGAAAAGATTTTATGAAGATGTTGATTAAAAGAAACTCTTTGAGGTAGCCGATAATTTGATCAAGCAATCTAGCAATTCTGTGAAGACCATGTTATATGATTATTTTCAATTCTAATCCAATACTATTTATTATTGATACCATATTATTTAAAATGATTATGTAAACAGCCTGATTCTTTAAATTCAAATTCCCAATATTAATGTTTCCTATTTCAAAAAGAAAACCACTTTATATTCAAGTAGAGTAAATCTAATTTACAAACTTATGTACTATTTTTGAATAAATAATAAATTTATATAAATATTCAACTATTAGTCCTTTTATGTTGTTTTATCATATTTTAAATGTCATCCAGCACTCTGATTTTGCTCTATTACACTTATCTTTAGTGCATAATAAAGTCTTTTGTCTTTAAGGCTTCTCTCTCCTCTTGAATTCTTTCATTTTCAATCAATTTCATCTTTTCTTCTAACTATTATTATAAGGGAATACTTACATATCTTTATTCATTTTATAAAGTCTTTTAATTTTATTTAGTTTTTAGATATTTATTTTTATAGATTTCTATCTATTCTTCACTTGCAATAGCTTACTTTTTCATTTCCTATATTAGTCTTTTTGATTCTGCCAATTCATCCTATGAATAATTTAATTGAAGTTGCAATGACTCTAATTTCTTTTCTATTTGTGATTGTTTCTATTGAATATTCATATCAAATTACTTCCAAGTGCTACTAATTCAAATAGGAGATATCATTATCTGATTCATACAATAGTTACTATAATCTTCTATTATCTTCATTGAGTTAATCTAAGTCTTATAAAATCTAAGCTCTTTCTTCCTAGTCTAACTGGTATTGTTTATCATACTAAGCCAATTTATCTTCATATGTTTAAACTAAGGATTTCTGTGATTCTAATTTGGACTTCAATTCTTTTACTTCCTAAACAGAATAATGTGCCTCTTTTAATGCTAAATCAGTTTTATTCCTTTGATCATCTAGATGAGATTATAATTTGATATTTTCTTATTATTTTTCTAAAATGGAATTATTTAATGCGAATTCTTGCTTCTATTGTTAACCAATCAAATTTTCCAATTATTGAATTTGATTGGCCATGTTTTTGATCTTCTCTTTTTTTTTATTAATTTAAGCATTCAATTCTTACTGTTATGTCAATTTGTCCTATTAAACTTTATTGAGTTCCAGTGAATGACGTGATTCATTAGTCTTAATCTGTTTTTCTAAATCTTCTGCTTTACTATTTGAATTATTAATGGTTAATTATAAGATCTTGTTTTCTTCTAGTTGCTCTTTTATTTTTGATTCGAATAGCTAAACATTTGATTTTTCATCCTTGATTGCCATTTCTAGATATCGACTTTGTTCTTCTTTTGCAATAATAGCTTATTTTAACACACTATTTTCATCTTTCAATATTAAGTATCGTTTTTCGTGATCCTTGCTAATGAACTTATTTCGAATTTTATACATTTCATTTGTTAACGCATCGTAGAGTCGTTGTACTCTATCCAATTCGACCTAGAATTAGGCCTTTTGTTCTTCCAATTTTGTATCATTGGCTTTGGACTCATCCTTCAATAACTTGATTTTATTTTTCTTCTTCTGGACCTTATTTTTCATATCGTTTAATTGTGTTTTCAAATCCTCGTTGCCTTTGGTTTACCAATCTGATCGTTCTCGCTCATATTTTTATATGAGTTCTTCTTTCAATTGTAATATCTTCTCTTGATCCTTGCCTTCCTACATGTAGTCTCTTAAGGCTGCCTGTGTCATTCAATAGATGTTCTTACTTTTAATTTGGAATTGAGGTCCTTTAATTTGTTATATTTGTCTCTTGATACAAAACCAGATTAGGAGGTCATCTCTTTCCATGCATTTGGAGAATTGGAAGCCAGTGGATCGATATCTCTTCTGGGTTGATTTTATCGATTAAGCAAATCGTTGCTCGAGCCTTGGTTTGTTCTCATTATTTAAATATTAATTTTTTATAACAGTCACATCAATAAAATGGATTAATTAAAATTAAATATTTATCAATGAAGAATTTTTGAAAGTTGAAATAATGTTTATAATTCATTCTTTTTCCATATTTAATGAGTAGCGATAATTTAAGAAAGGGATTGATTAACGATAGCTTTGGAGACTTCGGGAGTTTCGCGGAGACCCTAATGCCAGAGGAGAAGAAAACAATGAGAGAAAAAGCAGGATTCTTCGGGAAAATGTTTGTCTCCTGGATCTACCCTACTTTGTAAAATTTTCTGTTAACCCAAGGAAATTAGCCTAAAGTCAACCATTGGAGATTGAAACAATACAACCTCTGGCAAAGACTGAGAAATCCAAATATCTTTACGAGAAATTCAAAAATTAATTGATCCTTACCAAGAGAGGCGAGAATACTATATTCGAGGCTTTGTTTCACACATTTTAGAAGAGAATCATAATTACATTTATTTGGTTAGTAATTTCAGCCAGCACTGCAGTTGTTATTCCAATTATGATTAAGAATATTATTGACTACATTACCATGTAAGAAGAGGATTATGTATATGCTACCATAATAATTGCAGTTATCATGATATCAAGAGCAATTAATATGATTTCAAATGCTTAAGCTAGATTAGAGATTGTAATTAAATTGAATATTTTAAGAGAGCCTTCGGTTTTGATGCTTAATCTGTACTTTCAGTAGAATTATTGAGTAAAAGTTTACGAACTTCTTTTTTAAGTAACCCGAGGTACACAACAGGTGAAGTGATTAATTTAATGTAAGTGGATGCAGGGAAACTACAATTCGTAACATATTATTTGGGGGTGGCGTTATTGGTTCCAATTCAGTTGGTAGTCACAATATATTTAATGTTTGTCTATATTGGATTATCATTTCTTGGAGGGTTTGGTATAATGTTGTTGACAGCAGTTTGGAACACGATGATAGGTAAGTTCTTAATGAAATACTAATAAACGATGATGAAGGAGAAGGACAAGAGAACGAATTGTGCGAATCAGATATTCTCATAGATTAAGTTCATTAAAATAAATGCCTTTGAAGAGTTCTTTAGAGACAAGCTATTCAAATTGAGGAAGGCTGAGATCAACATAACTAGAAAGCGTTACTTTGGAACGGCCTTTTACATCTTTTCAGTTTGGTTAAGTCCATTATTAATATTGTGTGGAACATTCCTGATGCACATTTTATTAGGTCACCAACTCAGTGCTGGGAGTACATTTGCAATAATAAGTCTATTCTAAATGCTACAATAACCTTTGCTACAATTACCAATTGCAATCAATGAGGTTATGGCTACTAATATCAGTCTAAAAAGAATTTAGAAGTTCTTGTTTACTGAGGAACTATAATCTGATTGCATCCAGTATGATTATTATGACGATGAAAAATCAATTGAAATAAGAGACGGTAATTTCTATTGGTCAGCACTTAAGAAGGAGGAAATTGATGAGTAGGAGAAGAAGGAGTTGGAGAACAAAAAGAAGAAGAGGAAACAAAAGAAAAGTAGCAAGTTGTAGGTAGAAGAGTAAAGCCACAAGGAAGACGAGAAGAAATAGGTCCTGTTTAATATCAATATGGAAATAAGGAAGGGTCGGATGATTGGTATAATAGGGGATGTGGGATCAGGCAAGACATCAATCTTATAGGCCATAATAGGGGAGATGTTGTATAATAGTGAGAATCCTCCTAGGGTTAAAGTGGGAGGTTCATTGGCATATGTGGGCCAGAAGTATTGGATACAAAACTTAACTGTAAAAGAAAACATATTATTTGGATTAGAGTATAGGGAGTAGAAATACTAGAATGCCCTCAAATACTCCTGCTTATAGTAGGATTTGAAGATATTAATTAAAGGAGATGAAACCATGATTGGAGAAAAGGGAATAAACCTCTCTGGTGGTTAAAAAGCAAGAATAAGTTTGGCTAGGGCTATCTACAGTGATGCTGACATAATCTTATTGGATGATCCAATAAGTGCAGTTGATGCTCATGTAGGTAATTTCATTATGAATGAATGTTTGAATGGATATTTGAAAGATAGAACAAGAATTCTTATCACTCATGCTTTGAACAATCTGCAGTATGTGGACTGTGTGTATCTATTGGAAAATGGGGCAATAATCGAGAAGGGTACTTTTGAGGAAATAAAATAATCAGCCAGTTTCAATTCGATATATTAGAAGTTATACAAACATAAGCATTAAAATGAGGATGATGAGACGATTGAGTAAAAGGTGGAGGACTTGCCTCAATTGGTGAAGTAGGTCTCTTAGAAGGAGGAGAACAAGAGTGATTAGAATAATGAGTTGATGTTGGATGAGGATAGAGAGAGGGGCAAGTTGGCATTGGAAACTTATAAGGAATATTTTAAATTAACTGGATATTTCAATATTTCTTTGTTGGTTATTATTTAAATTTGTTGGATTGTATGCTATTTTGGTACATCCATTTTGATCGCTCTTTGGACTTCTCGTGCAGAGGAAGATGAGGATATAGACAATTATAAATATTTAGAGGTTTATTTCTATTTCTCTTTGGGACAGGGAATATTTGCATTTCTGAGACCTTTTTTATTGGTTTCTGCTGGAACCAGAACATCTGATAAGATTCACACAAAAATGATAAAGTAAAGAGTATAATTAATGATAGTTGTCTTTTATATGCTCCTCAATGCTCATTTTTTGAAAGAGTGCCTTTGGGTAGAATATTGAATAGATTGACGAAGGATTAAAATTCATTGGATAGTGAAGTATATTGGGGATTGAGTTGGTTCTTTGTGGCTATCAGCCTATTGGCAGCCAACTTGACTATTTATGTCTATTCGAGTACTGCTTACATGTTGATTCCCTTGTTTTTCTACTTTTGTCTATGTTGGTGGATTCAACAGTTATATGTGACAGCAAGCAGGGAATTATAGAGATTAGAATCAATCTCTAAAAGTCCAATAGTGAGTTTCTTTGGAGAATGCATAAATGGTTAGAGTTATGTGAGGGTGTTTAAAAAGGAAAGCAAATTCATCGAAAAGCATTGTGACAATATGGATGTGAATCGAAGAGTGTTTTTAGAATTAATAGGATCTTAGACTTGGTTCATGTTGGTATTGGGATTAGTAAGTTTGGTTGTGAATGCCATGGCCATAGTGTATTGTGTATTCTTCTCCTTTTCTAATCCCTCTTTGGCTGGATTGCTATTGACCTATGCAACTTAAATAGATGGCAATGTTTCAGAATGTGTTCAATCCTTTAGTTAATTGTAATTGGGATTAGTTTCATTTGAGAGATGTTTGGCATTCACCAAGATAGAACCGGAACCAGGATACAAGGAATTAGTTAATAATCACTTAGTGGAGGTTTCTCATTAGGAGAACTATTTAGATCATTGGCCAAAAGAGGGAAGGATAGATTACATTAATTATTCAGTCAGATATCGAGAAGGATTGAAGCCTGCATTGAGGAATCTCAATATTACCATTGATCCCTAAGACAAGATTGGAGTTGTAGGCAGAACTGGAGCAGGTAAGTCTACAATGACTCTAACTCTATTGAGAATTCTGGAGGCTTTGGAAGGCAAAATTGTTATTGATGGAGTTGATATATCCACTATTTCATTGAAATAGCTTAGAGAACATATCACTATGATTATGCAAGATTCGACAATATTTGATGGAACTCTAAGAGAGAACATTGACCCTTTAAATCAAAGAACAGATGAAGAAATCATCAATGTATTGGAGCAATGTTGTTTGAAGGATTTGATAAAGCAGAGGAATGGATTAAATACTTAAATTAGTGAAGGTGGTGACAATCTGAGTTCTGGAGAAAAACAATTAATATGCATAGCCAGGGCAGTTTTGAAAAAGAGCAAGGTGGTATTAATCGATGAAGCCACTGCGAATATAGATGTTGAGACTGAACACAAGATATAAGAGACAATCTTGAATGCATTTCGTGATTGCACTGTTATCACAATTGCTCACAGAATAAACACTATTTTGCATTGTGATAAGTAATTAGTTATTTTTTGAGATTTTAGAATAATTGTCGTTGATTAAGGGGAAATAAAGGAGTATGGCAAGACCAATGAATTATTGTTGTTAAAGGATTCCATTTTCTATGGAATTTATTAAGAAGCATTGAAACATAAATGATATCCGGTTTATAAATAATAATTATGAGTATATTTTCAATTAAAATTCTACACATCCATTGATGGTTCTTGGAAGGTTTTGATTGAAATAAAATGGCCTTCAGTCTTTCTATCAATAGATGGAATTTCAACAATGCAATGAGAAAAATACTGAAATTCTTCTGGATAGCATAATTCCAAGGTTTTTTTTGTAGATTCTGAGACTTGTACCTTTCCTCTATCTCCCTTTGATTCCATTTTATTGGCTATCAACACATCTGGTCCATAGATGTCATATCTCACAATATCAGTTCCAAGAACTCCTCCGATGATCTTCCCAGTGTGGATACCTATCCTCATATCTAAATCTGAATTATTGATTTTGTCTCTGACCTTACTGATAATGTTGATCATTTCAAATCCCATTTCCACAGTGTTTTTAGCCTCCAAGGCTGGATTTCTGTCTTTGGCATCCACCATTCCCATGACCACATAACAGTCCCCAATGGTATATAACTTATACACATTCTTCTCCTGACAACACTTATCAAATTCAGTGAATAGATTCCGCAACATAAATACAACTTATTCAGGAGCCACTTTACTTGAATACTCTGTAAACCCAGCGATGTCAGCAAACAGAAGAGTGACATCCTCATGTTGGTCCTTCAAGACTGCTCTGGATTGTTGCAATTGTAAGAATTAGTCGAGCATGTGAGTTGGCAATTGATGTTTTACTAACTGATCTAATTGTTCGTGCTTGTACTTGAGTTTGCATTTTTGGTTGTATGCTTCTACATTCTTCAAGAATTTATAGATTTGGTTAGATACAAATATTACTTAGAGTAGACTAGCGTAATAAATGAGGGACTTATCCCAATTATTAGACACCACAGCTATGATATTCAGACAAATCATGACAACGCTTTCAACAACCTTGTATTTCATTTTGATTATGGGGTTCAATTGAGTCAGAAAGGAGAGGAAGATCCCAATGGCAATACAGACCTCTCCGATTATTCCTTCTTTGACACTAAAGATGTGCATGATCCACCAGATTAAGATGAAGATGTAGAACCCTATAAAGTATTTCTGTTTGAAAAAGTGATTGCAATATTGCTCATTGAACAACAGACAGACGAATATCAATTTAACGAAGACAATCATGTATCCCTACACAATATTGATATACCAAACTATGATCTCTCTGAATATATTGTCTATCAAAATGGTAGAGGTATTTTAAATGAGGATTAGTATGCCCATTCCAAGTTCCAAGAGAATCACCAGTATTTTGTTTTACTTCCTCAATTGCTGATAAAACTCTTGGATGACCTCCTCATCTACATCACAATGAAAATCCAGATACAATCTCCTTTTGTCCAATATCAACACATCCATCTCTTTGAACTCATCCTCAGCCTGATGGATCTGTTTTAATTTGTCCTTGTCAACCTCAATCAAAGGGAACTCCAGATTATCCTCAAACATCAGATTCTCCCTCGCCAATTTGATTTCAAGTGCTTCGATTAGATTCTACCCTGTGACAGTCAGTGGTTGCTGCTCCTTAATTGGAGGTTGCAATTGATCACTCTCGCCTCTGGAATGATGCTGTGACACATTGTTATTGTTATTGCTATTGTTTAAGGTAAGATTTTGATTGTCCAAGTTGATGCTCGATTTATGCAGCAATTAGGGTGTCACTATCTTAATGCTGGATTGAACGATGGTGGGTTTGCGAGAGTTCTTGAATTCAAAAATGGATTTTCGTTACTTACCTGCATAATCATCTCTATTTAAGAAGATCTACATATCATCTTTGAACTTCCTCAACTTCTTCCGTGAAATCTTCTCCTTTATCACCTCCTATACCAAATATGTGGCCAATTGCCCCTTCCCCTTAGCCTCCACAATATCCAAAGTGAAGGTGAAGTCAGGACAATTGGACACCTGCTTGAATGCCTCCTCAGATATCTTGATTTGGTTGTCCTATGCAGTGGAACAAACCCGACTGGTCGTATTGACAGTATCACCAATCAGAGAAAACTAGGGCTTATGATACCCAATAACACCAGCAATCACATTGCCATAATGCACTCCAATCTTCACGACGATGTTTTCAGTCTACCCAAAGCTCTGGGACAAAGCGAACTTCTGCATCTCAAAGGCCACTTGGAGGGCTCTAAGAACTGGGTTTATGTTATTTTAAGATATTAGGTTCTTCAACCCAGAGGCTGCCATATAAGTCTTGCCAACAGTTTCTATCTTCTGCAGGTTGTATTGATTGCACAAAGAATCATATTGTCTGAATAGGATGTCGAGCAAGTGAACCACATTCTATTGCTGCACCTTGATTATGGTATCAAATTGACATATATCGCAAAAGAGAATTGCTACCTCTCCTTGATTCTCCTGTATGTCAAACTCTCCTTTCTGATTGATCATGTTCCGGATGAACTTTGGCATCAGAATCGAGAGAGTGTCACTTATTGAATTGATTTTCTAATTCAATTACAAATTCTGGATGAACTCCTGTCTCAAATTCCTTTGCACTCTCAAATGCATCCCACTACTCAAGGCCGTCTACATAAATGCTATGAGGTAATAATTGAGCATGATGTATGTATTTATGTTCTAATTGATCGAGGTGTTGTTGGCACTAAATCTGATGATGAAACTGATGTTGACTATTATGCAATAGAAGATTATGGTCAAGGGCCTGTCATCAATTAATGGTTGCAGCATAAACAACTGCATGATGAGCATGTCGCTCAAGGAGTTGTCATTCTGCTAGAAAAAATAGATATCGTACACAATCTTGTACAACAGACGAGAGAGAATCAAGATTTTGGACAATCTGAAATGGTACTTCTTAAACACTGATGTGTAAATGAACAGAGCCATCAATATTTAGGTGCCATTGTATCCATATGAAAAATCCAGCAGCCAAGTGTAATTACGGTCCTTGTTGACAAACCAAATTTGCAACAAGATTGCACCTTCCACCAACATCCAACTCAACGGATAATAGAATCTGTAATATTCTAAAATGGATGTCAACTCATTCAATTGATATTTGGTTTCTAATTGGATATTCTTGAACTGCTGAGTTAACTTATTGATTTTTATGCTCTTCTCACTCAAAGCCATACCTGACAGCATCGACCTTATAGAAGAGTCCATCTCATCCTCGTTCTTAAACAATTTCAAAGCATACTTCTAGATATTCAACAGAAGTGAGCTATTGTTCTTCTTTTTAGAATAGTATATCTCAATTGGCTTTAAAAGACCGCATATCTAAATCTTGTCCTTAACCGAAAACATCAATTTGTCTATCGTATAAGGTATGAATTAAAAAAGCAATTGCTGGAGTGTGTAAATTATTAGAATTATGAGTATGATGTAGAATACACTTTGGATATTGATTAGATGTTCCAGAATTTGATAGTATGTTTCATTGAATATTTGAATGTAACTGACCAAGGTCAACAAATAGAGCACTATTAACAATATCCACCAATAGACAATATTATCATAGATCCATTTGCTTTGTTCAACCACAATGATTATTGAATACATCTACAAAGATTGAATAGAACTACCAAAGTCTCTGCCATCGTTTGTATAAAATTCTATGTACTTTTAAATTATCACCACAATGAAGGATTCAAATATGGAGAACAATAATACTTTGTAAATGAACAACCAATATTTGTGCTTTCTGAATTGAATCCAATTCTGATTATAAAAGTAAACTAATTACTATTTAAAATCAGTGATGTTTCTATTATTCAGGATCGATTGCTTGTATAGCAATAGGGAAGGCAATATGAACATGATAGATTAGTAATATGAGAGAGGAGGAACTTCATTGTAAACCTCCATGATACGCTGGAAAAATAGGCAAAACATTATCAAATAGCATCTGTAAAATGCATATATCATTAGATTCTCAAGAAATTCTGCATGCTTTCTGCTGTCATAAAATAATAATGTAATTAGATTATTCATATCCTTAATGATGAGATCTGCTGTGCTCATATGTCTCACTTTAGAATAGATAAATTTATCTAGTTGTCGATTAGAGTAGTGTTATTGCAAATGCTTGTATTTTGATAGTTTGTTGTTGACCTGTGCATTATTATTTGTGTTGCTCTCCTTTTTTACTCTCTCAATTTACTCCATTTTTTCTATTTTAATTTTTTAACTCGCTCTCTCATTCTGAATCTGTATTGCGAAGTCTGAATTTTCCATGATAATAGAATCATTGGCCTCATCTCCTACTACCAATATTCTTCTTCTTTACAATTGCTTTTTCTGTAGAATCTTAATCAAAGCGCCTTTCTAATACTTATTCATAGAATATCCTATAAGGTGAGTACAGAAGGAGACTAGAAATGCCAAATGATGATACAAGTTTTCATCATTTTCAATAGTCTCCAGAGCCTTCCCTTCAATCATAATGCAAAACGGTTTGGTTTTGGATAAGTTATTGTTCATTCCTATCAAAACACCTCTTGTGCTGGCTCTTCTAGCCACATTTATTGATTTTCTCTTGTGATTAGGACTGCTGAGTTTTTCATTATTCTTTTTATCATTTTGCTCTTCCCTCAATTGTTTAATCAGATTATTATAGCACCATAAGATATGTGACTTAATCTGTTAAGAGATCATGTCATTCGATTCTATTTTTAAAATTTGAATATTTTCTTTCAAAATGCTTGATTTATAGGCTATGGGCAATACCTTATTTTTTGTATCACCGCTGGCAATCCATATGGAGATGTCTGCATTCTGATAATAGTTGATGATATCTTTCAATTGTTTCTTCAATTTTTCTTACACTCCAACAATTAACACAACTTCCAATTGATTTTATTTATTTTTAATCTCTTCTACCGGATTCTTTACAAATAAATTATAACTGTTCTAGTCCATGTTATACTTATAATAGATTATTGGTCTACAACCTCTCTGTATTATTTTATTGATTATTCCATTCCAAACATCCTTGTCCTCCTTGTCCATGTTTATTCCCTCGATCAATTCCAAACCATCCTCTCTGATGTATTAAATGTATTCAAATTTATCATTGAATTAAAAGGCTAACAGTTTGTTATAATCAGTAATCTGTGTGATTACAGACAATTTATTATTATCTAATTGAGTGACTGTCACTGGAATTTCTACTAGATTCTCTTTAATTTCGATAATGTACTTATTTTTTCCAAAAGTAGAGCCAATAAATTTATAATCGTAATTCTAAGCTAAATTAATTTATAGTTCATCTATTTGATTGTTGAATTCTTATTATAATGAATCCTGCTTCTTCAGATATTTAGTCTAAGTGTTGTGGCAAATGATGAGGATAAACAACGATTCCTCAATGATCCCTCTATATTCTGGTGTCAATGACTTACTAAAGATTTCTTTCTCATTACTAATAAAGTCATCTTGTCTATCATATTGGATGTTGAATTCATCAGTCTTGTAGAATCGATCAGCTGATAACTTCTTCTTGGGTTCCATTTTCTCTAATATAGGTCTTCTCTCGCTGAACTTACGTCTGGCTGTCTCCTTGATTGGAGATTAAGACTTGATCATCCTTTATTCATTCAGCTGATTGATCATTCCGCCTAAATCAGTTCCTGACTCCCAAGAATCTATTTGAAACAGCTTTGGAGGTTTGGTTCTATGTATCTCTTTCAATTTGGAATGATCGTCTGCAATCTCTTCAGCATTGAAGTTGGCTTCTTCCTATTAACTTGTCTCACGTATATCTTACTCAAAATTGGGTTCGATGTTCACCAAGTTGTCCTCCAATCTCCAAGGCGTAACTGTGGCTCTTTTAGCAGGACTCATGGGTCGATGATGGGGTGACACCTTGATGGATGAAATCTGATTGGGAGACAAGGATTAATCTTGAATGAACAGCATCTCCTAATTATCCAACACCTCTTTCTGATACTTCTTCCATTCGGTTGTATTTTTAAATGTTTTGTTATGAATTTCGTAAAATGTTTCATTTATCAAAATTAATTTAATTTTAAATTGCGGTATGGTCATCGTACAAGTCTTGTCAAAAATGACAGAATCTACCAAAGACAAATCAGCTATGGGGGTTGCATTCAATTTGCTGTACACTGTATTTAAGTCCATCTTGTGATTCATAAATATATTGAATTCCTACTGACTCTCACTATTGCTTCCTCCCTTCTGCTTAGTGAATTTGAACAGTTTCTAACTTGAACTTAGAATTTGCAATAGATCCAACAATCCCATCAAATAATAGGGAAACATATTCAAATAAATCAGAAAGTGATCAGCTAAATACTCAATCCTCCACCCTTAATTAACTAAACGGATTGACTCAATCATCCAAGATACAAAGGATAACAAAATTATGAGTATCAATGTGAATTTGTAGAAGGTGTCAATCTTGTTTTCAAAAAAAGACTTAGTTGACTTCTCAAAATTGCTCAAATGATAATATTTACAATTCAAACCACAACTCAACACAAGTCCATACACATAATCACAGGTCTGCAATTGTTGCCCTCTATACAGAATATTCTCTCTCTTGATGTCCACTGCCTGAGGATCATTCTTCAATCGAATAAACCCTGTGTAGAAGGATTCAGATTTGTAATCCTTGTCGAATGTCACCTTCCCACTCAACAATAATCGATATTCAAAACCATTTCCCTTGAATTAATGCATCTTGGGCAAGGATGTTAATTCGTTAGCACTCTTTATTCCCTCCTCCGTCTCTCCATTCACACATGTGTTATTCACGTAACACCTCTCCTGGTTTGACTCCAATATCAGACAATCCGCAGGACAAATCTCATTCCTTTGCAATATTATGATGTCTCCAATCTCCAAGTCCTCCCATCTTATTGTTTCTATGATACTCACTTTTGTGCTCTCGTTCAACTCAGTCAAAGGCTGGGGAGAAGGCGGTATCATCCCCTTGTCTGCTCTTTATGTGGATATCATTTGGGTCTTATTTAATTTTTGTTCATATTCCATTAAACCGATTTTCTTGTTATGCAATATTTTCTTCAGTTTCTTAAACACAATCACCTGTCTTTTGTTTATTAAATTGTCCTCGCCATGCACCAATATCATATAATAAAATGTTTTTATCAAATACATCACTATACCAAATAGAAATGGAATGACAAATCCGTAGATAACTTGTGAATTGTCTTGAGTTATGCTCAGACATATAATGTTAATCATCAGAAAAATGTAATTGAACGGCCTCCTCAAATATCTCCATATAATACTCCCCAATGATTATATAGTGGAAATTTTATTTTTTAATTCTGAAGAGGAGAAGCCCTTTAAATTTACTGTGTCTCCATTTTCAAATTCTATCTTGTTTATTAAAATGTACGATATACTTGCTTAGAATATGAATCATCATTCTTTTATTTTGTTTTTGTGTATTTTCTATGCAGGTATTCATAAATTAACTATGATAATTTCATAATTTTAATATACAATATGATACAACAATTAGCGCCTGTAACCTCCTATGAAAAATATGATCCCCACACCATTCCCTCTTCAAGCCTCTTCCCAATTCCCAATTCCCTATGTTTCGTCCTGCTCAGTAATCGAATTCATGATTTTTTTGTATTTAAACCCATGTAGACTCATTTACCGGAATAACACATAAAGAAAGAGATCAAATTATTTAAATTTAGGTCTAATTATCGAGACCTGGTATATGATCTTCTGGGATTGCAATTCAAATTTTATATCATATAAAATATTTTTAAAAGCCTACTCATATAATTAGGTGTTGGATGAATAAAGGATAAATTATAACAATTCACATTGAACCTATTAAGTTCTAATATTATTTCCATGGGATTTCTTGTATTTAAATTTATATTTCTAAATTTAAATTAACATGCCTTTTAAATTCAAAGTACTTTTATTTCTAAATCAGAACGATTTGGTATTTATCATTGTTAGAATGATTAATAAAGCACCTTTTTAAGGCAAATTATTTCAAAAGATTGTATTAAATTATAATGCAGTTATATTTTTCAATCAAGAAAATAACGAGCCTAGATGTATATATCTAAGATTCTTAATTTATAATATTTAAATCTTAAAACCTTTTAATAACTAGTATATATTTTATTTAAAACAAATACTTAAAATTAGCTTAAATTGTTAATATAAAATAATCATTCCTTTCAGTCTATTTGAATTTAATTGAAATCTAGTTCCTGCATTTAATTCTGTTATTTTGAACCTCATAGATTAAAAATGAATGGTATCTAAAATAAATTTAAATACTTCTATGTGCTTAATAGTATTGAACCTTCTTTATAAGTATCAATTTATGAACAAATATATACAATGATTCAGATATCTATGGAACAGAATTTTATAGAAATAAAAAAAGTTAATAATTATAATTGTTTTTCTATTCAAAATCATAACATTAATTTAGTTACAATAAATCCTTAAATATAACTAAGAGTGAAATTAGAAATTAATATTATATTATTCCCCTTTATAAATAATAATTCTGCAATTTATATTGTAATTGCTAATAGAAAATACTTATCAATAAATTGTTAATAATGTTCTGTTGACAAACACTTTCAAATTCTGCCTATCACGTATTCTAGTTAATGGATCGTTAGCAAAAAAATGATTGAAATCAAATATTCGCAATTTTAATTTTAATTCATATTCATTCAACCTATAAATATACTTTTGTAAGGGTAAATTGATTAGTACCATTATCAATAAATCAATCATTTGTAACTTAAATTATAGTTTGATGGACTGAGTATATTTTTCTTTAGGTTTGGAATGTTCTAATTTTTAAAAAAAGGTTTGTAGTATATTTATTATTCGGAGTGTGAAATAAATAAAAAAGTGGGAGAAATAATTTTTAAAAAAAATTGGTCGGGGCGGGAATTGAACCCGCGACCGTTGGCTCATAAGACCAACGCTCTAACCAACTGAGCTACTCGACCATGTACAATGAAAATGATGCAGTTTTTCATAAATAATCAAGTTATTTGATAAACATTTACATTAAACTCTAAAACATGATAATTAATATAGCCAAAGCTGATATTTAATAGGAAGTGTTAATATTATTTTGAATTTAGATAAAAAATCCAAACTTTCCATCATAAATCTGTGACTAAATTAACGTTATCCTTGAGTATCTATTTTATATTTAATAAATTCACTTGAATAATTCTTAGAAAGAGCTAAACAGATTAATTGAAAGATTAAATCTTTTTTTAAAGTCTACTTCAACGATAAATCTTTTAAATACTCTTTATTTCAATATCAATTTATCCTTTTAATAATTAATAGATAATTTATTAATTCTAGATCTGAATAACCTTAATCATCTATAATTACTTCCAAGATTTAGATAAGAAACTTATAATTCCTGTATTTCTTCATTATTTAATAATTTGGTTTTTAGACTATTTTTAGAATTGTTATAATCTTCTTTTTAATTATTATTAACATAAACTTACTCATTCTTATTAAAATTCATTATTTTATAATTTTTTAATCAATATTGTAATAATATTAAATTTAATGCAAGATTAGTAAACACATTATTTTTTATTATAAGTCCAAATCCTACATCAATTAATACTGTTGGAACTTAATAATGTATTAGGAGGTGTGAGAACAAGTATTAAAATATGAATTAAAGTTTATAATAATATTAATAAATTTTATTTATGAATAGAAATAATTCAATCAATTACAAATTTAGCATGTCTCTTAATATTCCCAACACTATAATCTAGTTAGGACATGTCTGCCAGATTCGATTCAGTAAATGAAATATCTTCAACTTCTGAATTCGATTGTTTACTTGTTCTTTTGCTATTCTTACTGCTATAGACATTAAGATTCTTATAAATTTTTTCCACATCTATTCCTCTGGATTTAACTGCCTTCACCAACTGTATTAGTTTACGCTCCTTTTCTGATAATGTAAGCATTTTTTATTGCATTTCCTTGATTTAATCTTTTAATTTATTGCGATCATTGAGGCTATCTTTATTGCCTTGATTCTTCTTCATTTGATTCAATTCATCTTAATACTGCAAGACTCTGTGTTGTATTTCATATTCTTTGAGCTTGTTTTCTAGAATAGAAGGTAGAATTACCGAATTTCAATTAGTTCTCTTTAGATTATTATTCTAATTGTTATAATCGTATCAATAATTGAGCCCTTTCTTAATCATATACCTATTTTTCATTGGTTTGATTGTTCTGTATAATTTGCTTGATTGATTGTATAAGTTGGATCAAGATGAGAGACATATCTTACTCATTGATACAAGAACTCAATCCCGCTAGCAATTTAGTCAAAATAATATTCAACTCTCTCATGCCAATGTTTTTATCGATACTGTCGACAGTGGATTTAATCAATCTGATTATTTCCTTTTTTGAAGCCTCCGATTTAAGTTAAGATTATTCAGAGAAATAGCTTTAGACAGATAGCGCATCTTTTTTTTAAGTCGATTAGGTTGTTTATCTACTCTGTTATAATATCAAATGATACCAATCGTTTGTCCGGAGTCAATAAACTATTATTGTTATAGTATTTAGATACCGATAATGATTTCATAAAATTAATAAAAATTTATAAATAAAACATATCAGCAATTTTAATCTAAACCTGGTTTCTTAATAATAATTCAATTAATTATACTAATTTCTAGAAATATTGCAGGCAGGGTGTCAAATTCAATCCGCAATTTTCGTAATATGAAGTGCAGTAGCTCTGACAAATCGGAATCGTCAGATTTGTGGTTTAGTCACAAGGAGGGAAATTCCATTTACACAAAAATTGTTTATATGCTTTGTAACAGGTATCGTCTTTGATTAACACGCTATCTACCTCCCCATTGATTTCCTAAACTAATCTGTCCCTGATATAGGCCACAAAATCCAATCGAATTTCTTTGTCTCTATTTTCAATTGTATGGTCTGGCCACAAATTCTAAAATATATTCACAAATCTACTCTCAGTTCAGGAACGCAAATGTAATCGTCTAGCTCATAATTACAGAATTCTACTCCATCAGATATTTAGACTCTTTGTGAACACACCCCTGATTCATAACCATTGATCTGACATCCCAAAGTGAATTTCGAAATTATAAATAAAATAAACATAATTATAGTTATGATGAAAAATTGGCAAACTATTTTATAAACCTATTTTGGATCCCTCTTCCTATTATATGATTATCTAATATTAGACCATATAAGATTAGTAGGCTATAACTATGCTCAGTTTTGCGATCTCATTTCAGAATTATTCAATCAAATTTTGATGCTATAAACATATTAATATACAGGAAGAAATTAATATTGATGAGATTACTATAAATTGTTAAGAGTTGGAAATTAAATTTATTGTTATCTAATTTATCAATGAATATTAGTAATATAAGTAAATGAAACCTTGAAAAGAGAATTTGATATTAATGGTTAAATAAAGAATGTCAAGGGAAAGATAAATATACTCAGATTTATCAATACTATTGTTACTGCGCTAAAAATAACTAAATCTGAATATGATTTTTGAGGCATCTTTTACATTTCATAAAAGAACTTCAATAATTTGTTTTCTTAGCAGGGGAATAAAAATTAAGCCTAAAGAACTATTTGAGTAATTGAATAAAACATTTAGACAAATTTGATTAAAAAAGTAGTTAAGACAGATTCTTATATTATTTTAATTAACTATTGTTTATCTGACCTTGAGATGTTGTTGTGATTATAAGTAATATAAGTAAAATCTTTGATTAAATGAAGTAGTTTTGGAGTCTATTTACTTTTGAATTTAACCTTCGCATTATTGAGTTTATATATGATGAGTCGTCGAGTAAATAAAAATAAAATGAATTATTTATTAATATTGCTTTATATATATTAAAGTACAATATTATCATTATTTACAATCATAATCCCAATTTTATTGGCGGAGAAGGGATATACATTTGAATAATAAGGTATGTATTCATTGATCAGCTATCCATTTTATTTTAAGTTTTTATTTGCACCAATAATTGACTTGTATCAATTTTAATTCCTGGGCAAAAGAAAGAGGTAATAATTAGAATTAATAGAGCATAGTTATATTTTACCAATAAACTTGGTATTGTCGGTAATTCTGTTGTATCTGTCCAGAATCGACATTTTAACAAATTACCACATTTTATGGATTTTAGGATTTATTTTGTGTTTGTTTCTGGGAATCCAAGATATCGCAATAGATGGACTTGCAACTGACTTATGTAAGTAAGAGGGAGAGAGTGCTGCATTACTTTAGAACATTGGATTTACAATAGGAAATTCGTTTCTTGGGAATTTCTTATTTATTGCCTTGTATTCTAATCAGGTTTGTTCACTGGAGACCTTCTTCATGTTACTATCAATAGTGGGTTTGATATTGACTATATTCTTGTATATAAATTTGTACGAGAAGGAGGAGCAAGAAAAGAGAGCAACCACTTTTCAAGACTTGTTGCGTGTGTTTAAATCATTTTTTAAAAATGAAAATATGATCACATATTCATTATTGATTTTCTTTGAAAGGTAGAGTATTGAATGAATGATTAGAACTGCATTGTCCTCCCTAGATGCAACGTTCCGATTGAAGTTGGTGTAATTCAACATCAACAAAACCTACATTTCCTTTATTGACACAATAATATTGCCATTGAAAATAGCAACAGGATTGATCTATCACCAATACTTCTACAAATACGACTTCAAGTATCTCAATACATATAGCAATGTAGATATTATGGGAACATACAATATTTGAGATTGATTTCTACGTTCTTTGCGATTGTCACCCTATTGTTGATTGATAAATTCGAATTGGAGGGGCCATTTAGTTACATTGCCATATTCTTTTCGAACATGTGTTGGTGGGTTCTGTTCAACATCACATACATCGTTAGAGTATTGAGTTTACATTGAAATTTAAGGGTAACTTCCAAATGAAAATAACTACGCCTGGAGTGGAAGCCACAACCCTGACAATTCTTAATAGCATCAGCCAATTGGGAGTTAAGTTGGCATTCTCAGTAAACTTGATAATGGCCAACTACGTAAATTACTATTGGCTGTTGTGTGCTGGATGGATCATCCATTTACTCTATTGTTTTAGATACTCAGAAACCTACAGAAATTTGTACATGTAGCCCATTCAAAAGTGGTATTTAAATAAATAAATAAAATAAATTTGATTTTATATATGAACTATCTTTTGTTATTTCTGTACATTTACTAAAGTTCGATGCTTTCGATATTTACCTAGATTATGCCCATTTTACTGGCTGAGCACGGATTCAATTATGAGTAGTAAGGCCTCTTCTCCTTGGTAGCCTATCCATTTTTCTTCAAGATCATATTTGCCCCCATCATCGACTTATTTCACTTTAAGTCCTTGGGGAGAAGAAGGAGGTATATTTTCAATTGCAGTTAGTTACATCCTGCCATGCACAATATTGATGTCCTTCAATTTATTTTGGTAGTCTAGTCTGGACATTCAACAAAACTATGTCCTTTTCTGTCTAATAGGCTTATTCAACGCCACCTTCTTGGGGATGCAAGACATCGCTATAGATGGTTTCGCTGCGGACCTATGCAAAAAGACCAACGAGAGTTCTGCTCATATTTTGAACGTGGGATACACAATAGGTAGTTCCTTTTTGGCCAATTTCCTTTTTCATTCTCTAAACAAATATCAACTTTGCTCCCTGTCTACCTATTTGAAAATGATCTCTGTGTTTGGATTATCGATGGCAGCGTATCTTCTGTTTCATGTCAAGGAGGAGCCAAACTCAGAACAAATTAAAAAACTCACTGGATTCAAACAAGTCATCAGAGGAATATTCGGCAATGAAAATTTGATCACTCTTTCTTTGCTCCTATTTTTTGATAGATACGGTGTGGCTCCAATCGAATCCACATTCAGAATCAAATTGACAGAGTTGAAATTCAACAAGGCCTACGTCTCATTCATGGATACAGCCATCCTCCCATTGAAAATAGCTGTTGGATTTGTGTATCACAAGTATTTCAGCAAATACAATTTCGAATACTATGGGTATGTTCAAGGATTCAGATTAATATCTTGTATCTTTGCAACCTTGACAATTTTTCTGGTTGACGTGGTCAAAGTAAACGATACCATAAGTTACATTGCATTGTTCATCGCAAGCACAACATGGTGGATAGTCTTCAATTTGACATTCATAGTTAGAGTAAGAAGTACATGAGTATCGATAGGGCAACTTTTAGATGAGGATAACAACTCAGGGATATGAAGCCACAACCTTGGCTTTGATGAACAGTCTGGGATCCTTGGGGGGTAAGACTGGGTTCTCATTGTGTATGTTTTTGACAGAATATGTAAATTATTATTGTTTTGCCTGTTTTGCCTTGGTTGCCCAATTGCTATTCACTCTCAAATCCATCAAGTGGTACAAAAGGCTGTATAATGTTCCTAAGGAGAAGTATAGTATAATTAAATAGAACTTGAAATCAGAATGAAGAGTAGAAATAATAGAAAATTATTATAATATAATTGTCTTCATAATGGGAAATATAAATATTTTTTAAATTATTTAAATTATCAGGAATGGCTTAAGAACTATACAAATTACTGGTGTTGGCATACACAAGTACAGACAACGCTTTGCGAAAGGATGCTGAAGAATAGTTGATGAGTGGAGTAATAAAAAATATCTAAAATTTCTCATCGATTGCTTAGATTGCAAAGAGTCAGGACAACAGTAAATAATAAAATAAATAGAAAAGTGCAGAGTCAGGCAGCCAGTTTGTTGAATTCAGTGGTTTTGAAGATGTTGTAAAACAATTGTATGAAATTCCGCACTTATTAATTTAGTTGAATTGCAATTGGAACATGCACAATTAGTTTTTGATGTGATAATATCGCAATAGACTTCATTGAAGTGCAAGCAATTATTGTAGAAATCTATGAGTTTGTTGATTAAATAAAATAAAAGTAAAGCACTTCATAATTAAACTGATTAGAGATCAAGCCAGAAATAGAAAACAAAATGAAGCAATTGGTGAAGAGTGATCAAATTTGGGAAGTGCAATCAGGATTATTCTTCTTCAAGACATTGATTGATTCTTTGGATTTGTCATCCTATAATCTGGTCTTAAATTAGGGATTAGATTGGATCAAAGACTTCTTCGATCTAATCTACCCACTATTCAAGAGGTGGGATGAACAATCAGCAGACATAACTGAAGAGTATATACTTACTATCCGATATTACGCATAGATTGTGTGTGAGTATTGTGAGAAGATATTCAAATAAAAGGCTCATAATAAAGAGTCATTGATCCCACTCTAAAATATGATGTTTAAATTAACTTCATTCCAAATAACCTTATTTACCATTTTCAAATACTCCTCTCCAAACAATGTTATCTAAAGTTGCATCATTTCTTGCACTAACAATGAACAATTTGACAACAGAATAAATGAAGTGAAAATGTATGGATTTAAAAGTCTCCAAATCTTAATGAATTCCTTATTAAGCAAAAGTAAAAACGAACAAAGAAACAGTGTCTTTTACAATCAACAAGCCAATTTGAATTAGTTATTGCTCTACTCCATCTTTGCATACACTAGACAAGCCAAAATCCAAGACATTCTATAGTAATTACTAACCTATAATTAGGAAACAATTTCTGCCGAGTATCCTGAGTAGTATGCTTAGATTACTGGCACATTTTGGTGGTCAGGCTGAGTTGTACCCCTATTTCCAAGAATCCAAAGGCCTTTTGATTACTGACATCATCTATCCGTTTCTAATTACCACCAAGAGCGAATATCAAATAATGAAAGAACAACCAGAGGAATTCGTGAACATTGCAATTGATGTTGTGGATAAACAAGAGTCAGATCTACCCAAAACAGCTGCCACAACTTTGCTTGAAAGCCTATGTGATCATATAGATGGATCAACATCCTATCTAGCATAAATGGCTATTGTTGTCATATCCTCTGCCATCTTAGAACTCTCCCAATCACAATTAACCAAACAATAACAACAAATCATATTAACAGACATCCAACAGATTTCTGATAAAAAACTATTCTAGGAATTTACTCCTGTGGATAGAATAGAAAGTAGTTTGATGATTTTGACAATTATAAGCTATTTAGTTCAAAAAAGATAGGACATCATATAATTGATGGAGTAGTTATTATCATCGAATCTTGTGTTCTTCACTAACACAACTGAATAGATTATAAAGGTTAGATTTGCCTTGTTTTTTGGTTATTATTGTGACAATTTGTTCAAAGTGGGATCCCAATTTTCCATTATGTTAAACTACATATAATTGCTGATTTCTTATGCCAAGCCACAAGAGCCAGTTGTTTTGTATTAGTCAATTGATGCGTTAAAGGATATCTTCGAGGATGATGAGTTGAAAGATAAGACTGGAAATTTGGTGGTAAATGTGTTCCCATCCTTGATCAATGGATTGACTTTCAGTACTTATGAAAGACATTTTGAGATGATAGGCAATCTACTCAAGAAGTTCCCGTCTATCTTCTTTGCAAATGAAAGTTACATTATCAACCTGGTTTAAATATTAGTGCAACGCATAATCCAAGAAGAAACCTTGGTTAAGAACAATAATGATTCCAACAGATACATTCATTTAAATAGATGTTGGAATGTCATCAGGTAATTACCAACAATCAATGAATTTTCACCTCTCCTTCTCAAAATCGAATAAGCCATGCAACCCATCTATCAACTGCTTGTCATCTAAGATAGCAGAATGAATTTTTATGAAGACTTGATTTTGTTCATCTCCTCCGTTATCTAGAAACTATAAACAGTTACTCAATTCCAAAAAGAAATCTTACCTTACTTTTCTCACATCATTACCAAGCAATCTGGAAGATTCTTATACTTATACGAAACTCTAAATATGTACATGTATTATGGAAGAACCTATTTCTTATAAGAACAAGCACAACACATCTACTTCAACTTGTGTCTTCAAAGTCTGATGCAAGAGGAAACTTTCGAAGACGTCGATTTGGCTGAGGGGGCACTTCTGATCTAATTAGGAATTCAAGTTCTACAGAATGATCTCAATTAAACCATATTAGCTCAAGTGTTCTAGAATGTGCTCTAATTAATGGCGAAAGAGAATGTCACCGGAATCATTCGTTCTAGAATTACAGCCGTTTTCTTGGTGGCTTTCTACTACATTCCCCAACAATCATGCCAAATATTGGGTGATCTTTTTCAAAATGTGTACCAAAAGGTCTTGATCACTCAATATCATCCAGGATATGACATCAAGTTGTTCATAATTACAATCTGCAAATTAATCTAATCGACACCTTAATTGTTGAATACTGAATTGATTTAAGTAATCATTAGGAATTTGGAAAATCAGGAGAACGATGAGAAGCCAGATAAGGCAGATTTTGAGTAACTTATTAATCTATTATGTAGTGATGATATGATGGATGATGATGAAGAAGAGGAGGAGATCTTGGAAGAGGAAGAACGTCAGTAGGCTAAACAGCAGATTGAATAACTTAAAAGTGATCTGTACAATATTGATGAATTCACACTCTTTAGAAACACCATTTTGAGTTTCAAGACTTCGTAAGAATTACAATTCTAATATTTTAGGCAACCCATGATTATTGAGATTATTAAACAAAATCTTGATCTTCCAAGTTAATAAAAATTAAACAATTATTTAAAATTTATGAGAATTGATAATAGTGAGAGTGCAAGAAAAGTAAGAGTTTCTATCTATTTTAAGGTGATGACGACTTCCAGAAGAAGATAAAATAAATGAAATAATTATTATATGTAAATAAATAGTTCTTTATTATTTATAAAAGTTATAATCATATGAAATACATTTAAATGGCTGATATCTTCGGAGTCCCTTATAGGTAATAGATTACTTTAGAAGAAAAAGTTCAGAAGTCTGTTCTTGGTGGAATAAGTTCTTTGATTGTTATCCTGGTTGGATGTGGTTACTTTATCTACGTGATGAATGAATGGATTAATTCCAATATTCTGCCTAAATCAACTAGCACTATGAAGGTTGATAATTATTCATAAATAATATTTGATAACGAATAGCTCTTTGAATTTTGTTATTGGAAATATGATCCTTCTTAAATCGATCCTTTTAGAATGAAACGTAACATATTAACTCCTGTTGGAATCTATTTCATAGATGGAATCCCACAAAAACCCTTTTCATTATTATCAGAAAACTAAAAACAATCAACTTATAATACCACTCTCATGAGCATTAATAATTTATCATTAATACAAAATAGTAATTTCAACAAAGAATTGAATGCAACTAAGGAACTCATGATTGTGATCACATCCTGCAATTAAACTTTGATGAATGAAGGCTATGAATGTGCATCACAAGAGGAAATTGAAGATTTCTTTAAGTCATCAGTTAATTATATAAGTTTCTGGTTGAATTTGAAATAATACGATCCTTATACCTAATAATTTGAAGTGGTAAAAAAGTAATACTACTTATCCTTTGATTATGAGATTGCTCAATAAGGTTAGTTGATACTTACACAAACAAAAGCCACAATTGATACTGGAATTCTCTTTGGAAAATTCTATTCCAAAAGCTATGTGTACAATGCCTAACTCGTAACAAGTGCAACATCCAAAAACTTCTGGTAGACCCTATTAGTTTAATAATCCTACTTCAATTTGTTTGTCCGATTAGATCCAATGTCCTATGATACATAAATCGTGTATCCAAAGTTAGGTGAAATTCTAGCCCAGGTTGGGTCTATCATAAGCATGTTGATGATAATTCAATATGGAGTATAACATTATAATGAGCGACTGTTGGATTGCGATTTTATAGACAAGGTTTTGAGGTTTTATTTTCTTGATTACGTTTACTTAAAGCAATCTAAAAACAAAATAGATAAGGAAACCTGCTAAGAACTCGCCTAATCTGCCCGAAAGAAACTAGTATACACGAACATCATTTACGAGCTATCAAGAATACAACTATTTTTATTGTACCATTTTGGACGGACTTCGTTGGAATAAACGCATAATCTTGGTCTGTATGCTAGAGGGGATTTCAAGCCGAGTTGTGACATATATGACAAATTCATTACGATTCCGAAAACTGAAACAGACAAGCAACATGTTCAGTTCGATAAAGCAGATTTTAATTTATTATGTAGAGCCAAGTCGAAGACGATGATTTTAGGAGGGAGTAGTAATAATTAAGGAAGCTCAGCTGCTATGGATAACATATTTTTTTCGGATGTCAAAAGTTCCTCATTGAAATCAATTAAAACATGATATATTATTATAAAAATTATTATTTGAAATTGAGAATGCATTAACGGGAAAGAAGAAGAATATATTCATTACAAAACAGAGAACCAATAAATCTACCAAAATACCGTATAGATGTCTCGATGGATAACTTACAAAAGCGAAAGACTTCAACTAATGAGTTACCATAATTGGTGTAAAACAAATTGTAAATGATAAATTACACAAATTCTATGCAATTGCAACTAAAAACCAAATATGAGCAATTGTCAATGAAGATTTTGAAGGAACCCTACAAAGCAACCAATAGCAAATAAAGAATTATTACCAATCATTTTATATTGCAATAAAAAGTCCAAGATGTCATGATATCAGATAGCATCAAAAATAAATAGCTTGACACAGATAAAACAATAATAAAGGGAATAGTTATGCTTCCATCTCAGAATGATCAATAATACACAATTCCAGTATCAAGGTAGGGCAGTCGAGTGGTGAAGTACGATCATTATGGACTGGTGTTTGGAGGACATTCTCATAGAGAAAATATTGAAATACAGGCGATTTCATTACTGAATGGATAATGGAAAAGGAAGCAGGAGTATTACTATTCGTAGATTGAATAATTGAAATAAAAATAGATTGCAAATCCTAATTTGAGATTGGGTTGTTATTTTAGTTTAAACATTGATGAAAATAAGACAATATATGCATTTGGAGGAGAGAAGAATACAAGTAATAGGAAAACTACGAATGTAATCACCAAAATATGCCTAGAAGAAGATCGATTAGAATGGTAATAATTTCAAACTTCGATCGGGTGTCGTAGAAATCATAGTGGGAATTATACTCACAATCATCTCCTTGTTATTGGAGGCATAGATTGTAGTGATTTTATCACAAAATATTATAATGATTTCTAATTGATCAATTTGTCTAAAATGCAATGTAGTCAATTTCACCCGAAGTTTTATAAAAAGTAAGTTCTCTAAAACGATCATCCCTTTAAATTGGGTATAGCCTATCATAGTGCAACCCTAGTGGGTAACCCCTACTTGAGACTGACTTATGATTTCTCTTAGATTGCTAAAAAGGAAGAGTAGGTTGATCAATTGTTCACAAAAGAAGGCATATACATTTTTGGAGGTAAGGATAGCGAAGACAATCTCTATAATGAGTTGTATTAGATGGTTATTGATACATACCCAATAGTAGTATAGATTGTGGAGACTCTGGGTTAGAAGCCTCCGAGTAGAAGATCTCATAGTATGAATTATGACGAGAAGATAAGTGCATTGTTATTATTTGGTGGGACAAACGAGGTGCAATGTTTTGGAGATTTGCATTTATTGCTTCTCAAGAATTACACTTGGTAGAAAGTGCTATTGCAGGGGTACTTGGAGTATCCATTCAGATATGAGCATTGTAGTGTTTTTAATGAGGATAAGTTGATTATTTTTGGAGGTTTAAACTAGGATGGATTCTTAATGTATAATCCAATTACAATATAAGTTAAGTTTAAATTAATTCATAAGCTTAATTGAATCTATTTAATATATTTTTATTTTTTAGTAAATATACTATTTTAAATTTATGTAAATAAAGAAAGTCAGTTGTTTTGGAGCAGGCTATGTGGGAGGACCAACGATGGCTGTGATGGCCTCCAAATGCCCAGAACAGACATTCATTGTTTATGATATAAATGAATAGTAAATTCAAAGATGGAATAGCAAATAATATCCAGTTTATGAGGAAGGTTTGGATGAATATGTTAGTAAAACGATAAACAAAAATTTGATATTCACTAGTGACATTGATCTTGCTTTGAAGGATTGTGATATCGTATTTCTGGCTGTCAATACTCCAAGTAAAAGTTATGGGTTGGGAGCTGAATCTTAATTAGATATATCCTACATAGATAGTTGCCTTCAAAGCATAAAGAAATACCCTTTGACTAAAAAACTGATATTGGTTGAGAAGTCAACAGTTCCCATAAAAACCTGCGATTATATCAATGCAGTTTTAAAGAATTAAAATATTTGTGTTTTGTCTAATCCTGAATTTTTGGCTGAGGGCACTGCAATCCAAGATCTTCTTTCTCCAGACAGAGTGATTATTGGTGGACCTTTGGAATCGAGTAAATAGCTTGCTTCATTGTATGAAGAATGGGTACATAAGGACAAAATCATTTTCACAAACATTTATTCAGCCGAATTGAGTAAAATTGTAGCTAATTCCTTCCTTGCTCAAAGAGTGTCTTCAATCAACAGTATATCCATAATTTGTGATAAAATTGGAGCAGATGTCAATGAAAGTATGATAAATAGACACTATATATTTACTAGTTTCACGAAGCGTTGGAAGTGATAGTAGAATTGGTAATAAGTTTTTGAAGACATCTGTCGGATTTGGTGGATCTTGTTTAAAGAAGGACTTGCTCTGTCTAATTTACTTGTGTGAATCTCTACAATTGGATGAGGTAGCTCAATACTGGAGGTCGGTTTATTTACTAAATGAGTATCAAAAACAAAGATTTATAAACTTAATAATCAGTTCTATGTTTAACTGTTTGAGGAACAAAGTCATAGTGATTTTGGGATTAACATTTAAGGCCAAGACCAATGATACCAGAGAGAGTGCTGCTTTGTTGATTATTAAAAAGTTACAAGAGGAATAGGCGATACTAAGGATTTATGATCCTCAAGGGAAGATAGACAAATTGGAGCAATGTTAGAGTTTGGATGGCATCTTTGAAGGGGCGTCTGCTGTAGTGATACTGACTGAGTGGGAAGAGTAATTTTATGTGAGCATATAGATAGATTTACAAAAATAGATTATGTTGAGGCTTACAATCAAATGGCGAAGCCTGCGTATTGCTTCGATGGCAGGAACTTGTTGTAAAGTGATTTGATGAAGTCTATTGGATTTCTATATTACGGATTAGGGAGAGTTTGATATTGAAGAAAATAGAGGTATCAAAAATGATTTAAATATATAAAATTTATCATTAATGTCTGAGGAACAACAGTAATATTGGCCCATTTTCACGGAGTAGGATGACACCAAAAAATTCTGGAACAAGAAGTCCTCTAATTTGGACAAATATGCTATAATCTATCAGCAGCCAATGTACAGAATTAGTTGGAAAAGTAACAAGCCTACTGAATATGAATTTTTATTGAATGATGAAGGAGTGCTGTTTTATAAGCAAGGTAATAAGGTCAAGGGACATGTTTAATTAAACGAAGACATCAGTCTGAAATTGATTGATCTCAAGATCTCGAGCAAGAAAGCAGAAGCTGTTAAGGTCATCAGGATTAAGAGAACTAAGGACATCTTTATCTACATATGGAATAAAGATTAGTACTTTATAGTCCCATTCTTAATTTTAGTTCGTATACTTTTCAGTTTCTGAAACATTTATGTTAATTCTGTTTTGTTCAAAATTTGGATTAGTTGTACACTCTGCAAGATGTGATTGGAAAAGGCGGATTCTCCAAAGTGTATACTCTAACTCCCAATATCCGACTGCCTAACCAGCCCTTCAATTATGCAGGTAAGGTCTATAATAAAAACGAATTGTTATCTAAAAAGGACCTTAAAAAGTTCTATCACTTTATTCGAAATGAGTGTTATGTGTTAAAAAGAATCAATTTCCCGTACGTGCTCAAATTGTGCGAGATTATACAACTGGATGAACTCCTAAGTATTAATGTAATGTATACCAATTTAGTCTTAGTAACTGAATATATCAAAGGAGGATCCCTGTATCAATACTTGAAAGAGAGAAAGCAATTGACAGAAATGGAATCTATTCAGATCTTGCAGAAATTGGCATTAGGCTTGCAATAAGTTCACAAGTAATGCACTCTTTTTCTATTCTTTAAGTCTGGGGTATGTTCATCGAGACATTAAATTGGAGAATGTGCTTATCGACAAAGATTAGTTGAAATTGATTGATTTTGGATTTGCAGAGAAAATATGCAGAGATAGATTGATCAACGGTCAAGGAACAGCTGGTTACATTGCACCTGAAGTGTTTATGAAATAACCATACCAAGAAGTAGGTGACATCTTTAGTTTAGGAGTGATATTCTATTCAATGTTATCTGGTAAGGCACCATTTAGATCAAATACTTATGATGCCTTACTAAAATTAAACAAGGAATGTCAAATCGACTTTTCAGAATAGAGATTCCCGAATGTCAGCCAAAAAACTATGCATCTTTTAAAAGCTATGTTATAAAAACAACCAGAAAACAGAATCAATGTTTAGGATCTCTTAAATCAACTCACTGCTAATTAGATCTTCTCTCCTTCTCATAACATCCCTTCAACTTAATCAATAGTGGAGGGTTCAGTTGGCATAAGCTTTAATCATTTGCAATCAAAAAACACTCTAAAATCTTTTTATCAGCATAGTCAAAACTCATTTATTGAAAACAATAGTCAAGGCTCTTAACAAAAACCATCGAAAAACCTTAGGGATAGACGATATAAGAGTCAGAGCATGGATAAAAAAGGTATGCTTTTGAAATCCTCTTCTTTCAAACCATCGCTTAAGAGCATTTATCAAATTAAAATTGAGCAATCTGAGGATAACATTTCTATGGCAGATTATGAGTAACCAATACCAGAAGTCAGTCTTCAATTTCTCTAAACTTCTTATCAAACACTAAATTGCTAAAAGTTTATTTGATTTTTATAACAATATGTATTTATATATCATAAATAATAGTATTCTCCATTGAATTCCATATTTTTAAATTTACTCTTGACATCCCCCAAGTTGTATTCTTTGAATGAATCCAAGACGTTTTCAAATTTGCGATCCCCTATCAATAGCGATACATACTTACTTTTGCTTAATAAATACAAGATGAGTCTCAAGATGTCCAATATGTTGGGGTTCTCCTTAATAATCTTCAAACTATACACTTCCTTGATCAATTTAATGGTCAATTAATAATCATCCATCTGGCCATCCTCCTTCCCTTTGTCTTAAAAATAAAATAAGTCGAAAATATTGCTCAAGTTGATGCAATTCCTTACAATAAAGAAACTACTGATTTCGGTGTTGTAAAATACAAAGCTCAACATTTAGGATAAATACAAAACGTTACTGTAATACTCATCTCTTCTCATTTTGCTCATGCAACAGATCTACTTGAAATTGTATCCTAAAGAAGTCTTTTATTCTTTGTCATAAGCAGTGGCTAAAATAAGCTCAAGCATCTTTTTGGAATGAATAACAGCAGGTTTAACATTCAATTAAGTACATAAAATCGCCATTGATTGAGTCATCCTCTGAACTGTGGGATGAAACAATTTAATATAGTAAATGAACAGTCCACTTACAGTTTACTAATATATAGTTTTGCATATTAATTCAAAATCCTACAAAGACTCGTAGTATTACAATTCAATTTGATCCTCAAAAATGTAGGTTTGATAGTAATTGGACAAGTCAAACATGTCAATAAAAAACTTGGACAATTGTATTTAATTAGTTTCCAAATTCTTAAAAAGTTCCTTTTTATGAAATTTCTTTAACAACTTTCTAGCAGATTTAAATGTTATAAGAGAACTTGAATAATTGTCCTTCCTCTGGAATTCTTGTATGAATTTGACCACAGAATCAGTTGCCTTTTCCAAAATTACATCATTAATTTTAACAGTCTATGATAATGTCTAAGAGTTCATCAATAACCTCTTGATTTGTGTTTCCTCCTCAATGTACTTTTCATCAATCTTATACTCCAAATATTGGTTCAATTGCACTCTCTATAATTTATGGAATATTTTGGGATGATCACACTTGATTTCATGTAGAATGTCAATCAATACAAAGTCCACTTACAATTAATCATATGGCACCAGTTGATTGCAGATTGGACACTTCCATCTATTCTCATTCGGCTTTTCATTCATCGTCAAATAGGCATTCAGTTCAAAACAATCAAAATGTTAACACTGTTTCCCTCGAACTGGAATCTCCAATTACTGCATCGTAATTCCATCTATTAATTTTACTGAAAACAATGAATCCTGAAGAGTGTCATCAACCACTAAAAGTTTAATGAATTGCAATACATGACAATGATTTAATCTTATCTTAATATTATTACTTTTATTAAGTAATAATGGAGTCTATTATTTTCTCTCTCCCCACATCTATTAGTTTACTCTTTAATTCAGATATTTTAATACTTTTAACTATTACAATACCAAGTAAAGAATTGCTTTCTACATCTTCTCCAACTTTCACCTTTATTGAATTCGCTCCCCATTAGATACATGTGGATGGTCTAAAATTATAATATTTTTAATTAGATAAACATAAATCCATAATCGTTTATATGATATGCTATGTGGTGTTGGTTGTTCAATTCAACATAAACATTTTTGCTTGGCCACTCATACAATTTTTTTGGTTCTTTTGTTTTGGTACAAAATATTGCAAGGATTATCGATTTCTTCTTAAGTTCTTCATAATACTAATTCACTTCAAATGTGAACACCTTCTCTAGTAATTAGGCAGGTTTCTTGATTATAGCAACATTAAATTTATTGTTGAGCTTAACGAACGTCTAATATTCTTAGTGAAAATTTACTTCAAATTGCATCTAGGGATTATTCGCAGTTAATGAGCATTGAAGACATCGAAGTTACTATGGTTACTTATCTGTTATTTGATAATCATAGCATTGCCAATGATGATTCTTATGACAAACATAACAGATGAAGCTATCTAAGATGTTATTTTATTCACAATAGCATTATTTTTACATTTAATTAATATTTTATCCATTAATTAGCGAATGAAGAATAAATTTAAGCAATTAACCTTACTAACTTTTAGTTGCAAAGGCAATTAAATAATTATCACACTAAATCTGCTAATATTAAATTAAAAAATTATATTTGTTTAATATTTAGAATTAATATATATTTATAGGAGGAGATACTCCAATTTTGTTCATAGATCCCTTTATTCTCAATGAATATTAATTTATTTCCATTTGTATCCAAATGTATATAGAATTTATTTATGTATATAATAATTATGAATCGAAGTTTATTATAATTAATAATTTAGGATTAAATCCTTAGCTTTGATATTATTTCAAGATAGAGATGTTTTGATTTCATAACATTATTAAAACTATCTTTAGTATATTTCATATTTACTTTACCTTAAATACAAATGTTTAACATATATCTACCTTAGATATTTATCAAAATTTAAAGATATTTAGTAGAAGCCTAAAATAATAAATAAACTCTTAAAGAGTATTTGCTAATAATAAGATAAACTATATTTTATTGCATATTTTAATATGAATATAATTTAGTTTATCAATTCGTTACAATTCTTTAATTTTTAAACAGTGATAATAAATCTATTCCTGTTTTAGATATGATAGTACTATTCTCGACCACTGTGTCCTATGATTCAAATTTTAATAGTTATGACATTGAATACTTCATAGAATAAATTGAATTCTATTTCTAATAATATCGAATAGATTTATCATTACTATAGGTAGCGTAACAATTTAGTTTTAAATTAACTGCAGCTCCATTGACTTCTTCGTCATGCTCATTTTCAATAAGCATCTATTTATTTTCTTCGTCATAAAAGATAACCTACTTATCTTTTAAACTGTTGGTTATCAACAATGTCTTTTCATTTAAATAATTGAGACTATTAATGGAGAAGTCTTTAAAATCCTTTTCGTAGATAATTTCAAATGACTCTGCTGAGATCACCTTAATTAACTCTTTAAAAACTACAACCAATTTTGATTTATCAGGAGATTAACTTAAACAAATAATGTTTGGTTGATTCAAATCCAAGAAGTCTTTTGTTTTCTCCCCTTTATAATTCCAGAAGCCAAGTTTGCCATCTTTATCTCCTGAATATATTGTGTTGTTCTCATCGACTAAAAATGTAGTGGGAAAATGATTATTTGGCTCTTAGGCGTAGGAATACTTAAGCTTTTTCTGCAAGATAGGAACATAAAATAATTGATCATCCTTTGACCAAATAATTCTTCTCTAATTGAATAAGACTAGTATGGATTAATTATCATTTAGATTGACAATCTTCTCAGATAGCACGAGGTCTTCTGATATCCACATGCTTAAACCTTCGAAAGTATGTAAAACAAAATAATTTTGATCATTAGAAAGGTAGAATGAGTTAATTGTGGATCCTGTATCTATGACCTTGATTGGTTTATCATCCTTCCATTGTTTTAATATCCCATCAAGTCCAGCTGTGATAAACACATTTTGGTTGTTAATCCAAGCAATTTTAGTAATACGTCCATTGTGAATTTCAGGTATCACTTGATATTAATCCGATTTTTGAAGGTCAATAATAAGGAGATTCCCATTTTAAGTGCCTGCGTATATGGTATTACTATTCTTCATACAAATAGAGTGTATATGGTCTTTCTTCTTTTCTTTGATCACCTTTATAGTTGACTTCTGACTAATATTCCAAATACGAATTGTTTGATCGATAGAGATATAAAGGTTATCATTCCACACAAAGAAGTCATTAATTTTAGTAAATTTACTTTGATAATTAGAATATTAAGTAAAATCACTAAATTTCCAAAATATAATTGAATTCTAACCTGATGTCATAAACAACTTATTATTTAACACATAAATGACATCACATTTGCTTTTTTTATGAGCTTAGTTTTTGAATATGAGTTCCTTATCCTCTACGACTAAAAGATATCCCTCACTCGTACCAATTAACTTCTATAACCCATTATTGCTTATGGCTAAAGCAGTTATATATTAATTTTAGATTTTTAAGTAATTGCTTATGTTATACGATTCAATGACATTGACTTATTGGTCTCTGCATTAATCTAGTAATTTCTTTGTTTCAATGTTGGGAATCAGTCTTTTATTTTCATCCTTATAATCGTATATTAGTAGGAATTCTTATAAGTTATTAAGACTCCATAAATGAATCAGTTTTTCTTCAGTTAAGGTGACTATCTTGTATTAATCCTCCGAATAAAATATAGAAACCTTGGAGATTTGGGAAGCATAATGATTTATCTCATTTCTAATTTAAAAGTTTTGCAAGTCCCAAATATATAAGTATCCATCTTCTCCTCCTGAACATAACAAATTGGAATCTTGAGAGATGGCTAAACTTCTTATTGGCAATTAATGCTTTTCAAGATTCTGACCAATTTACTGTCCAGTTTATGTGCTCCAAATCTTAATTAATAAATCACTAGATCCAGATATTAATAAAGCTCCATCAAATGAAAATATACAACATTAAACTGTGTTGAGATGGCCTTATGGATTGCTGATTGAAGTGTCTTGACTATTTAAGTCCCAAATTTAGATCTGCCCTTGATTTTACCCTGTCACTGCTAAGTAAGAATTAGTGATTAATGTTAACGAGAATATTTTAATAAATGCTGTAAAGTTGGCTTGATTAATTTGTGACAATTGCTAAGTACTCCATAAAATAATGGATTAGTCAAAAGAACATGAAACTAGAATTTTGCCATCATTCGAAAACTTCAATTCTGCTATTGCTTTCTTGTGTCCACAGAGATTCACAGGTTTCTCAATTTATGATAGGTTATAGAGATATATTTCTCCCTTTCTACCACCGATTGCCAAAAGATTCAATTCTAAATTACTATCCATGCAAATGACTCTTTCACACTTCGTCTCAATTTGTTTCATCAATTATGTTTGCTAACTGTATAAATTTATAGTTTTTGACTGCCTTTGCATAATTATAATTTTGCAGCATTGAAGGTTCACAATTTATTCGCTTATTAGTTATTTAAATGAATCTATGGTAACAACCATATCCTTCTATTACTAGATGATTTCAACTCTATCTTCAGCCTCTTATTTTTGGTTTTATTATTTTCCTTTTTTCTTGTCCTTGTCTGTTACTTTCTTTGAAGCCTTTCTTTCAACAAATTCAATGTTTATTTTCAATTCATGAGCACCATTGTACCCTCCAAAAATCAAAGATTTATCATCATATCCAAATACACAACAGGTCCTTTCTTTATCAAAACATTATCCATATTGTATCAATTGAATCATTTTCATGTCAAATAAATCAAATAATAAAATCTCATTTTCATTCACTAAAGCCATTATTCTTTGATTATTTGCTAGAATAGCCTATTTTGGTATAATTTTGATGTTTAATTTATTAACTTCTTGAATTTTGTAAATGTCATATTGTTTCATTTCTGGCTTTTAATCGTCGAAGGCAAGAAGAAGCTTCTCCTTTTCAATGTAGGTCAATCCTTTGATATTTCCCAAATTAGTATTGATTTTTGGTAGCTAATTCAATGAAATATCAGTCCATTAAGCATTGACCACCTTGGATAAATTTAAATTAACAGATGATAGATTTATGCCTTTAAAATTTGAACTTGTAAAATCACAATTAAAAAAATTGGCTCCACTCAATGAAACATCAGCTATTTTAATATTGCTTAAATCCATATCAATAAACGAATGATCCATTTCATTTAACAATAACATACTATTGGAACCTGCAATAATAAAATTATCATCAGTTCTTGTCAGATATATGAAATTTAAAAGCTATTACTTTTATTCTTCATTATACTTCAATTTATCACATATAAATGTTATTGAACCTTTCAAATATTCATATTCCCAAATTCTCTTAAAGAATTCATACTAAAATAGTTATTTCTTTGCATTTTCATCTATTGGAAATTTGATATTGGATAGATACTCAACAAACCATTTAGCTACCAAAAATTCTTAGATTGACTTATGATTAAATGAATAAATGCTATTTTTCTACTTAATAGGCATGCATTTTCTAAATAGTCTTTTGTACACTCCTTCCTAACATTGATCGTCAAAGAATTCATCCTTCCAATCAGATTCTAATTTCTTGAAGATTAGCCCACTTGGTTAAAAATACACTTAGGTCATATTTTAAAATGTCATCTGATTAGCCAAATGATGAGTGAATCTCCACAACTCGCTACCAATTTATTCGTAATCTATAGGCTCACCAGCTTCTCTTAATTTGTAAATCTATCTCTTAAAATAATGCTCCAGAAATTAACTATAAAAGTCATACGTTGACAATGGTTCTAACATTAAGGAGTTCTTAATGATAGTAAACTTTTAATTGGAAGTAAAATGCTTAGTAATTAATTTATCAACTTAAATTTCTGAAAACTCTTGAAGGTATTCATTCAAAAAATTTGAATTATGAATGATTGTTTACCATTCATCCAAAGCCTATTTCTCCAGTTGATTAACTTACAGCAATTAATACTCACTTTTTGCGAAGTAGATATACTTCTTAATGAATCTATTCTTTACGTTATTGATTTCTGACCTTTACCTTACAATATAGGGGAGGACTGCCATGACGATCTCCGCCATGAAAGGAGTCTCGATCACTTTGTCCAATTTCATTATTTAGATGAATTTTAAATATTAAGCACTTGACCAGATTTCTGCAAGCAATTAGGACAAGGTCTTTTGCATTTCCTTTGAAACAAAGTTAGAACACTTAAATAGGATTTACTATATGATATTTGGATTAAGCATGAATGTACTTTCAAATTTCATCTTGGCTAAATTCAATGATTTAACTAGGTCAGTGAAAAAGGTCTCGTATTCAGAGTAATCTTAAGTACCGTAATTACTAAAATAAAATTCTCTAATATCCCTTTTTACACACAATATTGTGTATTGATCGATATACAATTTTTATTGTTCTTAGTTAAATTTTAACAATTTGACTTCTTTGTAAAATTAAGGAGAATTGGATTCTGATAAGAACCATGTATTATAACCAGCTATATTAAATATTTCTGATCTGCAAGTGCTGATGATTTTTGGAAATTTGTTTTTGTCAGCTTAACATCTCCATTTAGAGAGCTTATTTGAGACATTGAGATTTAAACCAATATAATCTGACTTTAGCTCGTCATAACTATCCATTATTATAACTAATTTTATTTTGCGTTATTCAACTGCCTCTTAAAATTCTTAGATCTATCTTTCATTAAATCTATAATTATCTGATTTTAAGGTTTCTTCAATGCAACAATACACAGGGTCTCTTAATTGAGGCAATTATACAAAAATTGGAATTAATGGTATATAATCACTCGACTTTTTATTCTTTTGATAAAACATCCAAAGGAACTCTTCTATTTTTCTAGCAGCTGTACTCTTACCTGATCCAGCTTAACCATGAATCAAAAAACTATCCTTAGATTACTTCCAAATAAACTCATTGATCTCACCATCTCCGAAGATATCTTCTGTGAATAGATTGGTCTTTTCAGATGAGTATTAAGAATCACTCAATTTTTCTTTCGATTTAATTGGGATATAGACATTGTCTGAATTGAAAACTAGTCTCTATTATAAGATCTTTTTCATTCTTAATTCCAATAATTCATAGATGGTTCTCCCCTTCAAATATTTAATGTCCTTGCTTATTTAATCTAATGTTTCTTGCATCTAAATAATATAATTTTCAATTCTCTGTAAGTCTTGTTTTAGATCTTAGAGAAAGATGATTGTAATTCCGAGTGTGTTTTAGATTTAAGAAACATTATCGAACATTTACTAGATATCTTTTTCTAACTTAGTATACTCCTTTCGTAATTGTTATTTAAAATTTTCTTAGGTTTCAATAGATATTTATTGGGCTAACTCGTTTAAATCTTTTAATCTCTCCTTTAGTTTATTTTAGATAATGGTTTCTTGACTGGGCCAATATTTACCCATCAATTGATTGGATAATTGAATGGATTTATCATCAAATAGTGATCTAATTCTCTTATCAGTTTCGTAAACTTAAAATCGAATATACAGTCCAGAATTCAATGACATACAATTTTGTTGAAGACAACTTCGTCTCATCTAAATTAATTCATAAACCAAAAATTGTCTAATCCTCCATTAGTTATTTGACAATAGATCATTAATTCCCTGCTAAATTAGATCAAAATAATCATTTGATTTTTTCGACTCATCTTTATTTTCTATTTGACTTAAAATAAAATAGATTTATGGCTCAAGATCTGAAGGATACTAATTAAACTCCTTTACTGAAATGATCTACTGAACTTACTGATAGTCAATAGCAATCTCAATAGTCTAATTACAATATTCACTCATTGATTCCTGCAAAAATTATTCAGATTCCTGAAACTGCTAATAAAATTGAGGTTTCTTTGCAGCCAACTTTTATAGAGTAATCATATTTAAGATTTGAGATTGCACTTTCTCTGAATTATTGAATATATTCTAGAATTATTAAACCTACTCTTGCTGTCTGGTCTTAATCTATTTCATTTCATCTACTAATTGTTCGTAGAATTTGATTTCCTCATTCCAATCAAATTGCTTTTATTCAATCTTAACTGATGTACTTTTTACTATTTTACAACATTCACTTAATTGTTTTTGTATGTCTTCACAAAGATAAAATGCTATTTCCTTATCCTTTTCATTAGTTATTTTCATCAATTTGACGATATCAATCAATTCTATAATGTTTGAAATTGCCGCCTTCTTGTTTTCTAAATACTAATAAAAATCATTATCTTCATTTTTGATGTAATCTTTCATAATTTCAAAAGATTTTAAGAACTCATCCTAATAGGCTGACAGTTTTTAAAAGCTCAATACAATCTAGGATTACAAAATGGAATTGGTATTGAAATTGGGGAAGATTTCATGAAAGATGGATTAATCTCTTAAGATAATGAGATCATCTTTTTGTTCTGAGTTGTTGTCCAATTAATTTTTGAGAATATCTGTGATCATTTTGATTCCATTACAGATCTAATTTAAATAGTTGATATTGTCTGTCAATTCCTCTTATACAATTTTACAGATTTCTTAGTCAATGCTTACATCATTTTTCAATTTGGTTTCTTTGAATAAATGTGTTGTCAGAATTCCTATTATTTAATTGATTGTTATGAACTTTTCAATTGTTATTGCTTTTAAGATTTTAACAAATTTATGGGATTAATCAGTAGGTATTTTGGATAAGATTTTGCTACTCTAGCATTTTAGGAATTGGTTGTACATAAATTACAATGAAGATTATAGAGAGTCATAAGAAATCATTTACATTGAAAGTTGAATGATTTCTTACTTTAAATTTAATTATTTCTCATCTTCTTTAAAAGAATTGGTCATCCTTAATTTAATTGATAGAATCACTTGAATCTGTAAGTTCCAATTTATGAAGCATTTTGTTTTCTACGTCAGATCAAGAGCATTGTAAAATCCTTTTAACCATTTATTCTCATCAGCATTGTTTTTAGCACTTTCCTGTGGCTTCTTCATTTTGAGTGAAACAATCAAGTTATCAATTTAGACCTGATTAATAGTTTTCTTCAATATATCTTCCCTTAATTCAATGCTTATTTCCTCTGTTGAAAATTGATCTAATAGTGATTATATGGCATTCTCTTAAAATATTGAATCGAAATCAATGTGTTAAAACTATTTACTTGACAATTGACAATTCAAGTATTTTTGTAGAAACATCACTTGAATTTTGTCTGTTTCTGGAAATTCATAAATGCCTTCATTGTAATTGATTTCCCCTTGGATAGACTATTAGATGATGGCTAAATATTCTAAATTCCTCTTCAGTTGAATAGTTTTAGTAATCAAATCTTTCATTAAGTCTTCGGCTTCTTTGATTTTTTATTGATCATTGTTGATGACAAGCTACTTAAATAGCTCAATCAATTATTGCTGACCCTATTAGATAGCACTAACCGAATTCATAAATTATGAAATCTGAGATGAACTAAATGAGTTATTTTTTAATGTTGAATTAGTTGCTTTGATAACTGATAATTTATTAAAGTAATATTGCTCATAACTTTATAGTAATCCATATCCATTTAATAAATAATATTATAATTTAGATAATTCTTGTAAGGGTTGACTGCTTTCAAATATTAATTTTAATAACTCATCATTTTGAATTTAGAAATAATTGATTGATACATAATTCCTACCATCAAAATTAGGGATTGTGTATTCTTTCCCTTAAAAATACTAACAGAGCTGATTTTGAATTCTCAATTCATCTACTGCCTATTTCAATGAGAAGAGCTAGGACAACACCTAAATCCAACTGCACCATATCTCCCAATCCGTAGATTCTCGAATGATTTCACAATACATCCTGCTCAGAACAGTGGCCAGATACTTAGCATCCTTCCCGTTTTCCAATTCATCAATTATGTAAAACTTTAGCTATTGAAGGGCAAAAATCACTTCCAATTTGCGTTTTCTACTGTACTTAACTCCCTCTTAATAGATGTAGATGACACTCTTTTTAAGACTTTAAATTAGATCGTCATTCAATGTGAATGTGCTCAATGATTTCAGAGCGCCGCTTAGAAACTACATTGCGATTTCTTAGCCCTCTTTTGAGTTAGTAGGTTAAATGGTTATAATGGATTTGGTGATAAAGAATTCGAAATAGAGATTATTGAATAGTTTATCTGCACTTCTTTCAATTTTTAATTGTTCTTTTATCAAGCCCATTTCCCTTAATATTAATTGTTGTCTATCTATATCCAAATATCTCTCCTAATTTGTGGTGTAGTACATAAACATTATCCATAACAATTAGGTCATAATTTATAATACATATAATGCATATCCCACATTTTATTAAATCACTTTTTATAATGCTGACACCAGCGTATCTAAACTTTATGACACAAGTTCAAAAGTTGATTGGTTTAGTTAAACATTGGTAACCAAATTCCATATTTGTCTCTGATTTAATTGGAAGAATTGGAAGCTATTCATGAGATTATTTTCTTAATCTAAAACCGTCACCATTGATCTGGCGATGCGATCACAATGAAACTTGATTTAAGTAGTCAATCCTGGGCTATTTTTTAAGGTTTAGGTTTTTACGGGGAAAGGTGTAACAATGTGAGATGATCCACAACCTCCTCCTCTTAAATTCATTATAAATTATTAATAATATTAATTGTTTGTCATTGATGATGCAAAATTAAGTAAATAGTTATATTGCATATTAATAATTAACGATGTCGATCCAGAAGTAGGATATTACTTTTTAAATATTATAATTTGTATTGATTTTTCATGACTCTAATTTTAATAAAATTTAAGTTGAATTCAACATGAAATATCTAGAGAATAGACTAACACTATTAATACCAAGATACAAGTTTGATTGAGAATATTTAACGGAATCCGAGGGGTAATTAAGAATGGCAAAATATTATTCGTTAGCTATATCTCAATTCTAAAATTAGATTCTAATTGTTAATTTACACTTTTGTGTTTAATTAAACTCAACTATTAATATAAATATAAATTTAATCCCAAAATGATATAATTATAAATTTGAATCATATCACCAATTTTGATTTGTTAATATACAAAGAGATGAAGTAAACAAAACGAAATTATTAAGGAGAAGGGGGGTGATTGAGTGTATTGATGTTTGAATATAAATAAAATAGATTAACTTATAAGAAGTCAATCTCGATTAAATATGAAGACAAATATCAATAAAATTATATAACTCCTTCTTTGAGTATAGAGCTACTTGAGTTAGAGTTATCTAAAGTAGTTTTAGTGCCACATTTCTTTAATATTTCAAAGATTTATTTGGCTGGTTTTCCCAATTGTTGATAGAAATCTATAAATAAAGTAGCCAATAGGATGGTTGAGAATCCTGCAATTTCCACCCATCCTAATACAGATACGTATTCTATTTCTGAGAATAATAGGAGTGATTCGGAAATTGAAAATAAGATGGCGATGGCTGCTATCAAGCATTCGGTTATGATAATTTTGTAGTTTTCAAATTGGTTTGCAAAAGGTCTCATTCTATAGACATAGACAGAATAAAAGCCTGAAATCAAAGAGGTTAATATAGGTTGAACAGGGGGGACTGTTTGCAATAGGACTAAATTAGCAATGAAAATGGTCTTTTTAATCAGGACCAGTGTGGTGTATTGCTTATTCCAATAGTTCCCTTTGATTTCTAGTCCTTCAAAGAATATGGAGAATCGTTTCGATAAATTCTTTACAGTACTCAGGTAGGAGTACAGTTGGAACATGAGAGCAAAATTGAAAATGAGTATGAAAAGTGCAAGAAATGAGCTAGTTTTAGTGATGGAGTCGTAACTTTAGAAATTGGCCACTTGCAGGAGAGCAGAGAACATTAAGTCATAGAAGTTGGATAAGTAAATTCTAACAAGTCCTGAGTAAATGAAGTATTAGTAATAGGATTTGCAGATTTTTTGAATGAAATACATGGCTTTGATTATTTTGGTGACTGTTTCGACATATTTTTAATCAAATATGATGGGCCAATTGTAGTATTTGAGTGCAGTAAGTAGTAGTTATAACAAGTAAACGATAATGTAATTGGTGAATCCAAGAATTAGTATAATGATGAAGGATTCCAAATTGATTCCAAAGTAACAATTGACAGAGAAGACTTCAAATCTTCCGTAGGCAGGTATGAAGGGAGAAGTGTATTGAAACATTTCTTCAATGAATCCACTCAATTTGAGTCTATCTGTTATTGGCTAAATGGTAACAAGGGAGAAAATTTCAAAGTAGATGGATAAATTTTAAGGAAATTTCAGATTCAAATACTTCATATAAGATAATTGTTATAGGGTATCTATGAGATTCCAGAAGATTTCTAGATTTCCACTAATGAAAGCAACACAAGCAACAGCAATCAATGAATAGATTACAATTTCATTGAATAAGGCAGCATTGGCAGCCACCAACTTTTGAGTTGACGATAATGTAAAGGGATCCTTCAAGAGGATGGTTTATTAATTAGAAGCTAATTGATTCTCATATTGATTAACTAGTTGGTCACAATTGATCTTGACTATTAATATGGGTCCGACAACAGATTTATAGAAATTGAGTGTAATTTTGTAGGAGACTGGTTGCAAAGTGTAATCAATGCTCAGGATGGGAATTATTTCATAAGTGTAATCAGAATCTTAGAGATTGGAGATGGAAATTTGAATGAGTTGTAGAAATATCTCTTCAGTGATGGAAGTCGAATTCAATCTGACTTCTTCACTGAATGAGAGGATGATTTCTTAGCTCTAACCATAACTATATGGAGGAGTAGTCAATTTGATGGTTGGACTGATATTGTAAATGCAAACACTCAAGGAGTCTACGAAATAGCACTTCCAGAATTTTTCAATTTAACAATTAGAATTGCATCCATCATTATTGTCAGTGTTGGCATCTTCGCATTGTTCGTAATGAGAAACAAAGAGACCATCTCCGCATTTACTTTGGCAATATGATTCATTTTCATACAATCCATAAGGGCATTAGATGCATATTCCTTGGAAACATTTCTGGCAATGAGAATCACATGAATATTCACAATTATAACAGCCATCAAATTCTACGAGATTACCATCGTCACAATATTCTTTGCCCACAATAATGCCATCTCCACAAATGGATTTGCATTGCCCATCTGCCAGTTTCCATCCATATGAATCACAAATTTAGCATAATTTACCCTCACACTACAAACAGCCCAAAGAACACTAGATCTAACACTTGTAGCATCCATCATAAGGAAGATAATTGCCATCGTCACATACTTCAGCCGAATTAGTAATGATCCCATCTCCACAAAAGCCTTCGCATACATCAGTAAAACACATTTGTAATTAATCATCCCAAATGCATCCCTAATTATACTTATCACTCTAACAAGCCTCCTTGATTGAAAAATATTGACACTCATTTATCTGCACACATCCTCCCCCTTTCTTAGCAGTACATGATGGTAAATACTCTTAACATTGTTGATGAGTGGTTATGTTAGTGGTAGCTGTGTTGCATGTTTTTGTAACACAAGTAGTTGTTATCCACGCACACTCATTGTAAAACTTATCAAAAGTGCACCCATCCTTAATCAATACTTCTTCACAACTGCTCCTTTTGATGCATTAATAACCATTTGTAGTACAACTTTTGTCTGGGAATATAGAGGCACAAGCAGAGTCAATTGCATAATAGTAATCAGTGCAAATTCGTAATCTGCATCCACCTTTTTAACAATTCTGCATATAACCCTCGCATTCCTTATCAGACAAAGCGAATTTAGGGCCATTCTCACATGTCTTTTCTACGCACTATATCTTCTCTGTATTCCAAAAACACTCAGTACCATTAGTATTGTGTTGTCCATCACTTTTACATTGCAATTCATTATAACCTAGACATTGACTCTTTGCCAACTCGCATTGTGTTAAATTATCATTTACTGAACAGGTTAAATCAAAATACAATTGACATGCTCCTGATGAATACTTCTATAACTATGCAGTAATACATGTTTTCTAATCGCATTTATTTTATGCTTGGATCCACTCGCATTGTATTTGTAAACTATTGATATAGCATTGTTCCTTAATTGTATACAAGTTGCAATCAGCTAAATTAATACAACCATTCTTTAGTGAATTCACAGTGCAATGTGACAAATACGATTGACATTTTTCATGAGAATCGTTTTCAATCCCTAAATCTGAACAATTAAGTAATTAAATGCATTGACTTGTTGATGATTTCCAATAGCATCTATTTCTATTATTGTCAATATAACATTGTTTTTATGTTGCCAAACTGCAACTAGCTGGTAGATTTGTGCAATTAGAATATTTACTCTTTACTGTGCATTCTCCACTTAAAAACAAGGACTCACAAGCTGAATGAGAATCTAAACTATTATTGGATTCACAGTTTTCAATATTACTTTGCCTTGTGCAGATTCCACCTGCATCTGAACAAGTATATCCTTAGACATCTTTGCTTGTATTACATACAGTAGAATTATGCACACTGCATGTAGTAATGTCTACACAGTTACTTGAGGAATCTATTGTACAAATATCTTAATATATTGTACACTCTGAAGAACTTAAACTGGAACAAATAACATGAGTACATGTTATTATTGCATCCACCGTATTCTACATACATTTGCTATCAAATGTATGACAATCTGCATGATCTGCTGGCGTACTTGGTATTGACATGCAATAATCCTTACAACTCCCAAAAACCCATGCACATTAGTATCCATTTAGTGTTACGATGCAAGAAGATTAGAACAGATAATCCTCGCAATCGGTCTCCTTTAATTTACAAATTGGACCGTTTTAATAAGAAACAGTTTTGAGAATATCCTAATTGTGGCAGTCTTCATGCTTTATTAGAGCCAGATTAATGGTTGGATCGCAGGGATTGTTTACTGAACAAGATCCACTGCACCAATAACACTTCACAGTGATAATTTTTGAATTAATGGTCAATACTCCATATTTTGCTTGGCAACTCAGTTATGTTGTGAATTAATTACAGGATTTAGGAATGCACAAACTACCATTCCAATAACAATCCATTCCATCACTGGTGTGAGCAGAATCACATTGTGCCATATTAAAAATGTAATCGCACTGTTCGTATTTACAACCTTATCCACTTCTATAATCTAGTGTGCATATTTTATTAATTAATTAGCATTCATATAAAGAAACTGCAGTTGTATTCAGTTGACAATTCGCACTACTTACACAGTCATTTTATTGTAAAGAACATTGTGAATATTGTAAACATTGATGCTTTAATTTTATTTATTCACAATCTACATTGTTAAAGGGTTTGCAATTAGTACCATCAAAAACACAATTGTGATTCCAATCAAAGCATGCTTGGTCATTTAAAAGTCCAACATTTGCAGATTTCAAATGATTGCATTGTCGGTTCTCACATATGAGAGAGNACTCGCATTGTATTTGTAAACTATTGATATAGCATTGTTCCTTAATTGTATACAAGTTGCAATCAGCTAAATTAATACAACCATTCTTTAGTGAATTCACAGTGCAATGTGACAAATACGATTGACATTTTTCATGAGAATCGTTTTCAATCCCTAAATCTGAACAATTAAGTAATTAAATGCATTGACTTGTTGATGATTTCCAATAGCATCTATTTCTATTATTGTCAATATAACATTGTTTTTATGTTGCCAAACTGCAACTAGCTGGTAGATTTGTGCAATTAGAATATTTACTCTTTACTGTGCATTCTCCACTTAAAAACAAGGACTCACAAGCTGAATGAGAATCTAAACTATTATTGGATTCACAGTTTTCAATATTACTTTGCCTTGTGCAGATTCCACCTGCATCTGAACAAGTATATCCTTAGACATCTTTGCTTGTATTACATACAGTAGAATTATGCACACTGCATGTAGTAATGTCTACACAGTTACTTGAGGAATCTATTGTACAAATATCTTAATATATTGTACACTCTGAAGAACTTAAACTGGAACAAATAACATGAGTACATGTTATTATTGCATCCACCGTATTCTACATACATTTGCTATCAAATGTATGACAATCTGCATGATCTGCTGGCGTACTTGGTATTGACATGCAATAATCCTTACAACTCCCAAAAACCCATGCACATTAGTATCCATTTAGTGTTACGATGCAAGAAGATTAGAACAGATAATCCTCGCAATCGGTCTCCTTTAATTTACAAATTGGACCGTTTTAATAAGAAACAGTTTTGAGAATATCCTAATTGTGGCAGTCTTCATGCTTTATTAGAGCCAGATTAATGGTTGGATCGCAGGGATTGTTTACTGAACAAGATCCACTGCACCAATAACACTTCACAGTGATAATTTTTGAATTAATGGTCAATACTCCATATTTTGCTTGGCAACTCAGTTATGTTGTGAATTAATTACAGGATTTAGGAATGCACAAACTACCATTCCAATAACAATCCATTCCATCACTGGTGTGAGCAGAATCACATTGTGCCATATTAAAAATGTAATCGCACTGTTCGTATTTACAACCTTATCCACTTCTATAATCTAGTGTGCATATTTTATTAATTAATTAGCATTCATATAAAGAAACTGCAGTTGTATTCAGTTGACAATTCGCACTACTTACACAGTCATTTTATTGTAAAGAACATTGTGAATATTGTAAACATTGATGCTTTAATTTTATTTATTCACAATCTACATTGTTAAAGGGTTTGCAATTAGTACCATCAAAAACACAATTGTGATTCCAATCAAAGCATGCTTGGTCATTTAAAAGTCCAACATTTGCAGATTTCAAATGATTGCATTGTCGGTTCTCACATATGAGAGAGCCAAAATTGAATCCACATTTTTGTTGGGATATGGTCATTGAATCATTACACCACTTGTAATTGATCGTTCCCTAAACTGTGAGATCACTACAATTTATGATCTGCTTACACGACTTGGTTGTTGAATCAGTAGTGATATCATAAGTACAAACGGAAGAATAGTTGTGACATATATCATATTTATCTGAAACGCTACCTGCTAAATTACTTAGAGCACATTCTTTAGCCACACATTTAAGATCAGATCCAACATATTGATAGCTGCACAATATGGCAAGACTTGTTTTCACATTATTACAAGTACTTTGAGAAGAGAAGAGTTCACTACAAAATCGATTACGTCTGCATTCATTACCATAATAAAGACACTTTAAATTTTTGTAAAGAACAGCAGAATTGCAGTTTGTGTTTACAAGATTACCACATTCATCTACACTATAACATCCCTTGCCACTCTATTGTAATAAGCATAACGAAAAATAAAATTGGCACTCATCATCGCTGGAGGCCTCAGTGATTAATTTACATTAGCTTGCATCAGTAATTACATTGCAATTATTGTTAAAATAATAGCATTTCTCATTCAAAGTTGTTATGGTTTTATTACATACCTTTTGATACTTTACATCTGAACAGTTGGTCGGCCTATCTTCACAACCTTCTAGAGGTATTCCATCTTCATTATATATGAGTTAGCATAGATATCCACTTTTATATTATAAGCATTCTGCCTCTGTTATTGCACTTGTGTTTTGAGAGCATAATAAATCTAGACATATACCCTATACCTTATCCCAATAGCAAGGTTATTGGTATTTGTTCAACCTACAGGCTTATTCTATTGTGTAGATAGTGCAATTCTCTTAAAGGTCGACGCAAAGTGTTGTGATATCATTAATTGTGCAAATCTTCATAAAATCTTCGCACGAACTGTGTGTTAATTCACCGATGTTATGCCTACCGCATTATAAAGTACCAAGTTATAGTGCGCTTAGACATGTAGATGTTGCGTAATCCCAAAAGCAATAGTTTTCAGACTTAGGATACGGATACAAAGAATCTTATATTAATTTACATTGATTTTTGGTCACGTATTCTGAACATAAAGCTCTTTTGTATTAGCAGCCTGCAGGAGTAGTTTAATCTGAGATAGTACAATTCGGATTCCAAGCTTGACATTCTTAATGAGTGTCATACATTTCATTATTTGGAGATGCTGAACACGCTAGATTGGTTGGTCTAATCATGCATCCCGAGAACGAGGATGTTACAATGCAATCGCTCTAGAATCTGTGACATTGAAGATTGTTGATATACGAAGCACTTGGAGCATCTATGCAATTAATTTAACGACATGAACCAGAAGACCAAATACAAACAGTAGAATCCTGCAAACCAAGATCACATTGGGTTTACGACAGCATTGAGGAACACGAAGTAGGCCACTCAACGCATCCATCATTCGTGCTATTTATAATACATGTTTTTGAATCAACTTTGAATCGTAAGCAACGTCCATTAGTTGTGTAAAAGCTGTCTGCATCAATACATTATTTATTTAAGCATTAGTCCGATTACCACTTACAATGAAAACCCGAATAGGTTGAATAGCATTAATCTTATTTTGCTATTGAGCACTCCGATGGTTTATCAGTGCATCCAAATTTTATAAAGTTGCCATCGTATTCATATATGTTAACAGTGCATGTTCTTATCCAACTTTCGCATTACTCATTAGTATCATAATAACTGGGGGCTAATTTACATTTCTTCACAATACAACCATCATTCAAATTACATACTTGACCTAGAGAGTCAATAGTACAGGCAGTAACATCAGTAATGTTTGTACAGATGTAATCTATGCATCCACCTATCTCAATGTTAAATGTACAAAATCTGCTTGCTTCTTGACATTTCTGGTGATTATCATATTTTGGTAATTTCAAATTTGAGCACACCAATTAATTGCATTGACCATTTACCCAAATGCATCGAGATTCGTCATATGTAATATCACAGAACTCTTAATTGCTGATGTCCTAACAAGATTAGGGTCTCAATTGGCAACCCCCCAACAGTGTGCCCATACATGTTCCATATCCTTTACATTAGTTATGGTTAAAACTCTTGGGAGCATGGAAACACTACCTCTTGTCACATTTATTCTCAAACCATACACAATCTTAAATGTCTACCGATTTGCAATCTATTTCTTAACAATAATCCTAACATTATATTGGTCTATCTTTACATCCTCCATTTTATGCACTCACACAATCCAGCAATTGGTCATATGACTGACATTATTCGTAGTTATTATATGACTAGGGTGCTGTTACACAACTCTTCACCTGACATTGTCCATTGTAATACACACATTTTTTGTTATTGATGTCCAAAACACATCCTATTGCATTTCCAATATTTTTGCACTCCTTTTTCTCAATACAATGGACACCATTTGTAGTACACTTTGACATGTATGAATTGCATTCGTCATAGGTCTTTAATCGCTTATTCTCGCAATTCTTAGTATAACACATTTATAATTCATCATCCCAAAAGCACTCAACTTTTTTATTATATGTAAAATAGCATTAGTTTTCGAAAGTGTATTCTTCGCATTTGTTTTTTCCATCCTCACATCCCAACCCCAAATCATTTACTGTACACTATTACATAGCACTTCTGCAATCATAATCACTCATTAAATACTGGGGCAGTTAAGTGCATTACTATGCATCTTGGCATCTTGGATTAGCATTTACATCCCAAAAACAATAATTTCCATTCACATTTTTATTTTGACAGCCTACCTCTGTGTCATAATCCATACATACTCTCTTCTCAATACATTTTTATCCGTCGGAAACGCATTTTAATGAAGATTCTTAACATTAATTTTTTTAAAATAAACTACACTCTGTAAACCTTATGCACTCCCCCAAATAAAATCCGCACATATCCATCTATATGCAATCTTCCTGTATATACTTATAACACTGCTCTCCATCTGACTAATCCACCTATTGAATATAAGTTTCACCTGATCTTAAAATGCAATTTTCTCCGTTCCAAATGCAGATCTAAGATCTCTAACATTCATCCTTATTGTCCACATGTCTACAAACACAATATTGACTAATATATCTCATTTCAATTGATGAGATCATCAAAAATACTAAGTAATTATAGATTTTCATTATTTTTTAAATGAAAAAATATTAAAATCAAATCTTGATTTGCTCTATAATTTTTATAAATGATACCATAGCACTATGGCATTATATCATATCGATAATTGTGACCAACAATTTATTTTATAAAATTATATTTACATGTTTGTAAATTTTATATTAAAAATTAAAGTTCCCTCTCAAAATGAAAAATGAACTTTTTTCTAATCCATAAAAAATGAAAATCTAATCATAAAATCAAATAACACTAAAGAGTAAACAATTATATTGTCTCCATTTAAATTATAATATATCATAAAATTCCTTTTCTTAAAATTAAATATATCCCAACGAATCAATACGATTTCTTTACTAACGACCAACGATTGGTTAATATGATTATTCTTAATTAATATTATTTTTA